ACCTTTTGGTGGCTGAGAAGTTGTGGCATGGCAGAGCTGATGAGATTATCATAGTGGAGAAAGCAAATTACTGTGGTCTTCACAGCGCCTTTCGAGCCCATTTTCAGTGGAATGAAATTACATTACAAGAATTCTCTGTGCATCCTCCTGGCAGCGCCTTGGTAGTTCCTCCATGGCTGAGGCTCCCCGGTTTGAGTGTTTATATCGCCGTCAATGGGACCCTCCCCTCGCGTCTGAGCCTCTTTGGCTCGGGATGAGCTCCTGCTCCACAGAGCAGGGAGGTCGTACCCTTTGGAGAAGCGGACAAATTACATTCTGCCTCTCTTTCTTATCTTTCTCTGTTCGAAATGATGCACACTTTTTTTTTTTTTTTTTTATCAGCATCCTTGACCAATTTTGTTTGGGCGAAAGGGTGGGGGGGGTGGAGACGGAGGCCGAAGGAGAGGGGAGGCCAGATGAAGGAAAGTTGGAACTTGGAGGTAGAAGACTCCTTTAATGAAAATAAAAAGAGGAGAGACGAGGAGCGGTGAGGATGGAGGGGGAAATTGTCCATCAGGGTGACAGTGCAAGGAGGCCGAATCCGAGGAATCGCTCCTCAAGTCCTCGCGGCTTCGATACACAATCAACCTGTCAAGGCAACGCGGACGGCAATCTTGTTTTGTGCAGGGGGTGGTGCAGCTATTTGGGGTGAAAATCAATTGGGGACACGTGGCGCCTCTTGAATCTTTACTGTCCCAAAGAGTCCAGCCGTGTTGAATGACGGGGGGAGCGAACACGAGTCCCACCTGTATTCTGTTGGTGTCCATAGCAGCGGGGGGCAGATTTACTGCCGTGAACGCGGGAAATTCATCCAAATGAAAAGACGATATTGAGGGAAAACCAACTATTCATGTACCAGACCGGCGGGACGTGATGTAATTCACGCTTGGTACATTTGCATTTTTTAAATGAAACGCTTGAATAAATATCAAAGTGGTAGATGACTTTGTTGGCGATCATTTAATAAAGTCATTTCTGCGGATCCATCTCATCGTTAACTGACCGCTAGGTAGAGATTCATCGTTGTGTTTGTGTTTTCCCCCCGATTGCATGAGTGCGTAAGTGACGTGAAGGTTGAGTCCCTCTGAGTATCTCAGTGCGACGCACGCACACACACACACACACACACACACACACACACACACACACAGGTAGCGCTCAGGACGACAGGCCGGACGTCTCGATAAGAGTGTTTTCCCGCACCCTCGGGACACAGCGAGTGTGGGTGGCCGGCTCGGGGGGGGGTATTTTTATTTTGAGTGTTTAATGTATTAAAAGGGGCCGGGGTAATGAATTATAATCTTTAATGCAGAAACCGATCGATACCACCCAGAGAATAAATCAGCTTTTACTGAGAGCGTCAAAGGCCCTTAATACACTAGGGGAGAGAAAGTGAGTGCAGGAGGGAGGAGCAGCAGAGAGGGGGGACGCGGGGACAAACTGCTGGGAGAGGAAGAACGATCCACAAAGGGAGGAGGATGATGAAATGGGAAGCAAGGGGGGGAGTGCGGAGGAAGTGGTGGGGGGACGGAGGCCGGGTGGAGGGAGGTTGTAGACGCTCACCTTTGGGTTAACCTCATTGAGTAAAAGCCCGGTGAAAGCAGGGAGATCCTGAGCGCTTCGTGCAGCGTTGCAGGGTCGGCCCGGTGCGTGAACACAACCGCTCCACTTGTTATTTCCACCTGTTTGTGTTATTATTCCCTCTCAATGACTCCTGTCGCCCGGAGCAAAATATGACTAAAGAATTACACCACCAACCTTCAATCAAAGCTCAGCGAGCAGCTCCCTGGTGTCCCCGCCTCTGTTGGGGGTGGAAATGCCAGACAACAATCCATGAATTAGAACCCTGAGTCAAGTTCTGCCGTGTGCACTGATTTTAAATCAGCCAGACGGCAGAAACGAGAATGGAAATTGTCAAAAAATAACTGTCAAAAATATTTTTTGACATTCATCTCAGCGACGAAACAAATATCTGACGCACCTGTGAGTGTTTGGGACGTCCGGCCCGTTCCGTTACCGGACCGCGTGACTGAAGTGAGGTTCTTTTGGAGGCTCTTACGTCATCACAGCTTCGCCTGCTTCCAAGGTGCATGCAGGGAAAGGCTGCATAACACTTGTACTCAACAACTTTATTGTTCAGAACAGCGCGTTTTGCCTTCCAGCCCGGTGGAAGCGCTGAACAAAGGGGCTATTCTATTCTATGTCTTGATCAAGTTTGATAGCTAAGCGAGGACTGTTGATAAATGGGTGATGATGAAAAAGAATACACATGTCAGAAAACAAGTCGTTGTTCGACAGCGGCGTCTCCTTCGAGCACCTCATCAAATCACCGGGAGAGCGTTTCTCCCTCCTAAAGCATCACTCGCTCCTGCCCATCACTCTCCTCCTCTGCTGCCTAAACTCTTTCATCCTCCCCCATCACATCCACAATTTACTACAACAGAATTCATTCATGGCGCATCAGCCTAAGGTCCCGAATACGGGGAGCTCAGAAGAGCTCATCTTCACGTCATCGCGTGTCCTCCTGTCCTCCAATACAGTGTCTCTCTGCAGGTCCCCCACAAAGCCTTCATGCAGAAGACATCCGAGACGGAACCAGCCTGTCTCACACTCAAATCCCAAATACAACTCACCTTTTTAGAGCGGATTTTCAATGTGTGATTAATGTTGTGTTTCATTTGTTGTTTTTTGTGATAAGCTTTACTTGTGTGTGTGTTTTTAGTTCAATGGAAGCTCCCCCTCAATCATTAGTGTTATTATTGAACATGGGCCACAGTGGTGGAGAGAGAACAGCCTTCGCCAAAGGAAAATGGGGAAAATGATGTGGGCTGGTAGTGTCCCGCTCCTCGGGTGCTCAATGATTAAACATCTGAGCAGCCTCTTGAGATCCAACCATGATGTCAACCGAGGCAGCCGTCCATCATTCGTCCCTTTAGGAATCACAGGCGGCACTTAATCACTCATTTCCCGCCAAGACTATTCTCTCTCCACTGCTTTTTGTTCTCCAAGGCTTTTTTTGACTGATGTGTTGCTGCTGCTTGTTATGCTTTCAGGGACGAACTAACCCTCCTTTATTCTCCTTTCAGGCAGACATCTTGTGGAAAAAAATAGTAATTTTTTTATAATAATTGTATAAATAATTGCTTTTATCATATTAATATTAACTCTGCTCCAAGCGCCCCTCTTTATGTGTTTCTTGATAATGTGCGTGGGGTCAAAAAAATGATAAAAACCAGCGTGTGACGCTGTGTAGAACCTTCGGGCCTTTGCACACACAAAAAAGCAAATGACCCACTTGCGGATACTTTTAATCAAAACTATATTCACACCAGCGCGATGCCATTTCGCAGTTTTCTATACAATGCACAAATAAATTGTCAAAGAAAGAGGCTCAGCTTGTTGCTCCTGCGTGTGGTTCTCTGAACCACCGGATGCTTCCTTCCATCAGCTCTACAAATGGTTACCAACGCACCAACGGTGTCTTTTGTTGTGTGTGTATACTTTCTACCTTTTAATAATAATATAGCATGTTTTAAGCAAAGGGAACCTACTCACGACTAAAACATAAGTTCAGCTAAATACTGTTCGATCTTATCACACAAAAGAAACCTCCCCCCCAGTGGGTAAAGGCCTTTAAGCTTCCATTTCTTCCTCCGTGAGCGCTCTCTGCCCGTGTGCCCGAAGGCGTGTGATTGTTGCATCGCGCTCATAATAAGCCTCTGAGTGACTGGCAGAACCAATATCTTGCTATCGCTTCGCCCTGCGCTCACTCAAGCGGCTCGGCGTGCAGCCGGCGTCACGCATCTCAATCCCACAAACACAATGTTCGGAGCCCAGAGAAGGGGCTTGGTTTCATGATTAAAGTCACCATGACAACTACATAATTCATGAATTCTATTAGCAACCCATTTGTCATTTGCGAATCGTAATTCGGGATGTGCGTTTGGGGAGAGCTGGCTTTCGAGACGGAGCTACACACACACACACACACACACACACACACAAAACAACCCCTGCATGGAGAGCCTGCCTTATACAAGGGCCCTTTAGCCTCATGGTGGACTCTAAGGTCCGCTGGTTTGGAACGCTCCGTGCTAATTACCCCCCCCACCCTCCACCCCCACTACATCTGTCTGTTGGCCAAGGCCCCGCCGGCTCTACACTGACACCATTTGGTGCGACAGCGTAAGGATTCAAAGAGGATTCATTCATTCATTACAGCACTATAACCGGATCATGTGCTGTTCGATCAATGACTTGATTTATACAGGAACCCTAAATGCAACATATGACCCATTGCCATATGCGAGCCTGACAGCGGCGTTTCCTTGTGTTCCTTAATCCTTTTTTCTTAGGTGTTTACTTGGATAAAATATTGTGGGCCCTTAATTGGGGTGTCAGTGCCTATATTCAATAACTATCAGTATCTAATATCAGGAATCAGGAACATTTATTACCAAAATATGTCAGACATACAAGGGATTTGACTTGGCGGTTAGTGCATAAGTAAGACGATGGACAACAAGACAGATAAGACAACATAGTGCAAGAAGAATAGCCTCTCCGTTTACCCTGAAGCATATCCTACGAAATATGGGACACTTCTTTGACTTTTAGTTAGCAAACTGAGAGAGACGGTGATCAGAAGGTCTAAAAAAACATTGTTCTCATGAACAAAGATGAAGCATTTCTTCACTGAAATACATACAAACAATATTTATTTTGAAATACTCCCGCCGTCTTCAGTAAGCGTCTCCGCACACTGTATGTAGAGGACAGGGCCCTGAGTAAAGTTAAAAAAACATGCCAAAAACATAAATAAATACACATATATGTGGATATAATATAATGCTGCGGTAGCTGTGGTCGGGTTGGTAGGAAAAGATCCTGAGCGGTAAAAATTTTTTTAAAAAAATTGATCAACTCATTTGTAGTAAAGGAAAAATTTTCAGTGATGTATTATTATGTGTATTATGTTTTATTTTTGACTTGTCCAAGACATTTTTTCTAAATACAGTCAGAAAGAATGTTCACAACTAACTACACTATTAAAAATATACCGGGAGGATCTCAAGTCTAAAATAGGCGGACGTTTCAAAGCTGCGCCACGATGTGCTGTCAGGAGAGCTGCTGCTCCGTCTCAGGCCGCCGCCGTGTCGTCACTGGAGAGCTGAACGTCTGCAGGGGAGAGGACGTCACAGTCTGACCGCCGCACACACGTGTTGCACTAACATCATATCACATGTATGTTCAACGCTCAAATTAACTTGTTACTTCACAGACATTTCACAATGCTCGTTAGGTTCAGACATCCTAGTAACCCCCCCCCCTCACCTGTGACCTCGTCCTCTTCCACACTCTCCTGACTGCTCAGCAGTGCGGCGGCGGCCTGGGGGGTATTTGTCTCGCGCCTCTGTCCCTCCCAGAGGACGGCAGAGTTGTCCTGGCTGGAGCGCAGCGGCAGGCGGGGGGTTGTTTTGTGGTCACCGGGACTGAAGGACTGGGACACTCCAGAGCTTCCTCTCGCCAAGCCGAGCCCCCAGCCGTGACGGGATCCCAGCTTGCGGCGCCCCGCGTAGCCGGAGCGCGTGGCGCGCGGCGTCCCTGGAGCCGAGATGTCCAGCTCCGTCTGGGAGGGAGCTTTTCTCAGGGGACAGGGGGAGACGGGAGCACTGCGGGGGTCTAAAACAACGTGAAATTGATTCAAAGTCATTATTACATCAATGTCTTGGCCTTGTAACACTTTAATATGATTACATTATTGGCTTGGTACGGAGATAAAGTTATAATCAATGATGGTTTTTAAACATTTGTCTTCTGCAACCAGTTGGGACGAATCAGCGGACGGCTTTAAAGCACAAACGGTACATTTCCTTTATTCCGAAGCGAGAGAAGTTCCAGGGACAGGAAGTGAATGAAGGAGGGACAATAGCTGCAGTTCGTGTGGTGGAGCTTCTCATCACAAGGTTAGTTGTTCTGTTCCTGTGTCTTGTTGTTCTTGAGCAACCTTCTTTTTGTTGAGTGACAATATGGCACACAGCATAGCAATTACAACTTTTGATTGAAATCTGTGAAAATGTGGCCTAAATAATTGTCTGAATTGGTAATCAATGCTTTTACTAAGTGTACTTCTAAGCAGATTAAAATCAATACATGCTTTTATTATTTTATTATCTTTCTAGAGAATTTAAAGCACAGCTTAACAAAGACAGAAGCCTGATTTTTATATTAAAAAAGGCAAACGTAACAGTACTTTAAAGACTGATGATTCATATATTTAGTTTAATGCGATAAGCGACTGTCTGAACAGACTGGAACACAGTGACCAGTAGCTAAGGTCAAGTTAACCCACCATAAACCCGGTGAAATGTTTCAATTGTGGGAAATGTCACCTCAAACTTACAAGATGGGTGTGTGAAAGTGTGAAAATGTCTTGGCTAGCTCAAACAAGCTTCTTATCAAGACACATGATCAAGAGCAATTGAGCCGGGATTTAACACTTTAACTGTGATGTAAAGTGTTTACTACGAGATCAAGTCTCTTTCAGGCAAACGGGCTCAATAAAAAGCACCAGTCCTGTTGTCGAGGAACAGAAAGGTGTTGCTCCTGAGTTTAGTGGGCTGAGGGATAATAGAAATGCGATGCGAGCAAAAATTAAATTAAATGGGCGTAGTATGTCAAAAAGAGGCTTTGAACATGTCTGCAGAGGGTTTTGTTCCCTTTTCTCGGCCCGTAGAACGCATTCCACGCATTCCACGGTCAAGGTGCATTAAAAGAGGCTTGAGAATATTTTCCTTTCAGCGTGTGGTTAGCAGAGAAAGCCGGCCTCAGTAAGTCTTTTCGCTCTACGGGGAGAGATCTGACGAGAGGAGGGTGCTATCAATGCCGACCACGCTTGCTAGTCATGAGATGATTTGTATGCATGCCCGTAGCCTCGCTGGATGGGGCGAGCGTGTGAGCATATCTTTGTGAAAACCGGTCGGCTGACGTTTGTGTGTGTGTGTGTGTGTGTGTGTGTGTGTGTGTGTGTGTGTGTGTGTGTGTGTGTGTGTGTGTGTGTGTGTGGCGCAGACAGGGAGGCAGTGTGTTGGGCCGTGCGCGCGCTCTCACCAGACTGAGGTGCGTGCGCGTCTGACGTGAATTCGGTGCTGTCGGCCAGGTTCTCCACGCTGCCCAAGGCGGTGAAGAGGGCGCGTCCCTCCCTTCCAACTCCCCGGGGTTTGATTAGCTTCTTCATCCTGTCCGCAATCCAGTTAGATTTCCTGCGAGGACGCGGAGGACAGGCACCACTTAGAGAGAGGGATGAGCTCAGAGCGTGCGCACACTCCCTCACAGTGACCCGATTTTTCAGAGACGCTTTGGAGGATGCCAAAGTTTCAAAACCAGAACACACTTTGTAGCACCGCGTCGAGCTAAATCTATTTGGAAATATTTTAATTACAATGTCATTACCATATCCATTTGAATTCTACACCATAATCCTAATCATTACATTTTCATTTGTGGTACAAACTGCTCGACAATCAAAGACTGCTAAGCAGCTGCGCCTCGCTTTACCAATTTGGTTTCTTTCTTTCTTCTTCCGACTCACTCTGTGGAAATAAGCGTGTTTTCCTTCTGCGTGTATCGCGTGCGTCCACGCTGAGAGAAAAGAGATCGCTCTCACAGATATGATGATGGTGCACTCACGAGAAACCAGAGATGATATAAAACACTCCGCGAAGGGGCATAAAAATCCTCCTCCCGATATAGAGAGCAAGCCCTGGAGCGCTGGTGTGTGTGGCGACGGGGGAATGAACAACAATATAGAATAACTTTACACCCAAAAGGCGCAAACAAACATATATTTCACTCTAACCGCTGTCACCTCAACAGATTCCGCACACAATGTGAAAATGGAAGAAAACAACAACCTACACACAGGTTGTGTTCCCCTTTTCCAAATATTTTCGGGAGGTGATCTTGAGAGAGCGAACCACCCCCCCCCAAAAAAAAACAAATAGGGGAAATGACATAGACGCCTCTCAGAGCCCAATAAGAACATTACAAAGAGAAAGAACAAGAACAAAACACTGAACTGAGGGGCAAAGAATCCACACGTTCTGTGACGTCAGCGAGCAGCTCTCACGGTTCATTACTAATCGTCATCAGAGTAACAACGATGATAAAATGGCAACAACAAGAAATCCCAATAAAATACAGTACAGGCTTTAAAGGCACCGTGTGCTCTGGGATAAGTAAGAGTAATAAATGGAGTAGATTAAATCCTAGATTCATTGATATTAGTACCAAGAACCAAAAGTAAATAAAACATTTCCATTCAGATCTTTCGTAAAGTGTTATCATGTCCTAGTGCGTTTGCACAAATTTTATTCTCTCTGTTGAGAGCACTTGAATTGTTGTTGCGTGTGAAATGTGCTGCATGAACACATTAGCCGATATCTTCTGCAGATAGAGCACAAATGTGAGTTGGTGTGCGTGTATTTGGATATATATATATATATTTTGTACTTGGCTTTGCTGGCTGGAGCTTGCATGCTGGGCTCGAGGACTCGGTACTGATCCATAATCTTCTCCACCAATTTCTGCTTCTCCCGACGCAGCTCGCTCAGCTTCTCCCTGAAGAGAAACACGTGAAGCGTCAGCTGAGGAGGAGAGTGCCGTTCATTCGTCGCATGCGTTCATTATCCGTGGAAGTCAGTTTGCTCTAGACTGCGAAACCGTAACAACTGTTGGATGACCCTTCAAATGTCATTCAATTGCTTCTTTTTGTGCAAATTGTCTGATGTTGCAATGCTAACTTCAGCTTTATTGGGATCATATATACAGGTACAGACAACCTAATGTCTTCAGCAGCCTCGCAGGGACACTGTCATGGTTTTAGACCCGTCAGCATCATTCAGATTAGTAATCCCAGTTTATTGAATGTTTTCCAATTTAATATTGTGGCCACTAAGTTATTTTTTTGTCCTTTCTTAATAAAACTCAGTATGTGAATCAGCTACAACCCAAAGCATCGATCTGGCAGCAGAGGAGTAAGATGTTTTAAATAAGTTGAGTTTGATGAACGACTCTTGGGAGCAAGTTGAATTCATTCCATGAAAGCTTACGAGAGAATGTTTGCCCGCTGAATTCACAACGTTTCCTGCAACGTTAAGTTTGGAAGGGCAAAGTCACTGCTTCATTTGCTCTGCGTCACTCACAACAAAAGTGATTTTGTAAAGGAAACAATCCAAACTGTCCTTCGCACTGACCAAGGACTTGAATATGTATTCTGTGAGTGACTGACGGAGAGAGAGGACAAACAAATATCCATCTTTAATCTGCTTTACTAAAGTGTTTATGTGTTTAGGACAGAAGGTACTTTAGCCAAGTGGAAAAGTGATATTTTGTGCATTTTAAAATGTCTTCTGTTTCCTCAGACATCACATGTAATAATATGCAGCAGATTGGACTCTTATGTGATTTCATCTATTCACAATAAACGTCCACACTTTTTGGACTTGAATCCTGGTGTTAGTTTAAAACCTTTTAAAAGCCTTTTCTTTCTTTATGAAACATTAACAGTTTACTGAGTTTTCCTGTCCTAACAACCTGAAATGTAAGAATAAATCCTCCCGTTCAAATAAACTGCTTTAAAAAGGCACCGTACGCCCATTGTTATGAACCTGAGACCTTGAGATGATAATAACTAATTCAATCTTTTAGAAGGAAAAGAATATTGATCAGGGAACCTTTTTTGAGCAAGCACATCAAGAACAATGCGCCTTTACAGGCAACACGTGCTCGGCTGCTGGACTGAAATGTGCTGTGTTTACAGGGACATTTATCACATTTATTCAAGGAAAAAAGTGAAGCGTGGTAATAATAATCTTTTCAAGAATAAAAGCTTAGAATTGGGTTTCAATAAGGTGTGATTATAGAAAATGTGTTTCACTATACTTAAAGGTGAATTGAGCTCTGCATGCTGCCCATTAGTTCTGGTTTAATCTGTCGTCTGTCATTTAGAAGGACGTCTGCTGGGTGTTGTGGAATTGTTGTCTCGCAGTCGATAACCTTTACACAAGTGCTTTCATGCCCTGGATATGAACACAGACTGTGTTACCGCCTACGATGTTAACAAATGGTGTTTTCTGCAACACACATTACTTTAATTTAATTTGAGCAAGAACTTTAAAGGTTTTTATAGTCAAGAAACCAGATTTCTTCAATGACAGAATTACTGAAAACAGAAACATGTTTTGTCAGTAATCACAAACAGAATAAATTATCCGTACTGTGTGTGTGTGTGTGTGTGTGTGTGTGTGTGTGTGTGTGTGTGTGTGTGTGTGTGTGTGCGCGCACTGACTGGTATTCCCTCTGCTGTGAGTAGTGCTGGTCTCGGCGCTCCAGGCTCTGCTCCAGTAAGGCCCGGTTCTCCTTCAGCAGGCTCTGGTTCTGCTCGGCTAAGTGTCGGTTCTCCTCCTCCATGTTCCCCTTCAGCTGAGTCAACAGCTACACACACACAACGCCGTACACGTCACAATTAGGATGAATAGGTTGCTACGGTACAAATATTTAGTTTTTGTTAGGCCACAGATCGCCATCAATGTCGACAAGAACAGAAAATCTAAAAGGGAGAAAACAGCAGAAAAATCTATACTGCTTGATTTAGAAATAATTAAAAAGGAGTTAGGGGTATTGATTACATCCTTAAGGCATCTAGTGAGCTTTTGAAAATTTGCAGTGTTTTAAATGAAGGGGCAGTTTATCTTGAGTCGACAAAGAAATTATCTGGCAAGTAACAAGGCTGTTTTGTTTTAAATTTAAGTATTAATCTGAATCAGAATAAAGTTCTCGTTTGGTGGATTCAATGAATACGTTGAGAAAAAATAAAAATGCAGGCAAAGTACTGCAAGAAGTCAATAACTTTAATATGAAATACAAATGTGAAGAAGAACGACAAAAAAGCAAACATCCCAGCTGGGTTGTTTTGCACCGCCAAATCAAGTCAGGGCGTAAAATGGTGCTGGATAATGGCCCGTTCCTTTCTCTGAACACACCCACCTTCAACCATCTTCAATCCACCTCCAAAACACCTTCAAACATCTTCAATCCACCCCCAAAACACCTTCAACCATCTTCAATCCACCTCCAACCTTATTCAAACCACATCCAACCTTCTCCAACCATCTTCAAACCACCTCCAACCTTCTTCAAACCACATCCAAACATCTTTAAACTACATCCAACCTTCTTCAAACCACATCCAACCTTCTTCAAACCACATCCAACCTTCTTCAAACTACCTCCAAAACACCTTCAAACCCCCTTCCACTGAAAGCTGTTGTGCGAGCAACCGAAAACAATCGAGAAAACTGCTCTCCGCTTGTCGGAATCCTGCAGTGATTTTGTGCAACATTTCTTCACATGAATCTGGAGACTTAAGCTCCCCTGCCAGCTTTTCATTCATGGTTTATGAGTAGCTGGATGAAGCAGCACAACGTAACATCTGCTTGTTGACTTCTTATACGCTTCACGGGAAGTCAATTTACACCTGTTACACCCCTCAAACGGCTGCAGACGTTTTCAGCATTCGCTGCTCGTTTCACAGCATTAAACGCTATTCTTCTACTCTTCATTAACTGCTTGGTGGTGAGTTTCTGTATGGACCAATACATCATTTTTACTGACATGTCAATCTGCACATCAAGCAGTGGAAATCAGCCTCTCAGTTTTAAAGCAATCGCTGTTCCTCAATGACCACGACCATGTAAAATACTCTCATACGTTTGATTTAATTGCTTTTTAACTAAATGCATTGTTTTATTAAAAAGGGGGAAATGTATCTGGGTGTCTGTGAAGCACTGAAGCCCCTTTGTTTTGCAGAACAAAGAGTGTGTGCCTGCGGGTTTTCAGCTACCTGGTACTGGCTGGTGAGGCGGGCGCTGCTGAGGTCCAGGCTCTGGTTGGTCTCCCTCAGGCCGCTGAGTTCCCCCTCCAGGCGCGTCCGCTCCAGCTGGGAGTTGCTCAGCTCGGCCCTCAGCACCGAGCCCTGAGCCAGCAGCTCCGCCTGCGACGCCGACCCCTCCCTCTGCTGGGCCTGCAGCCTGAAACACCCACATGCACCCGGGCTTTACTCCCGTGACCCGCACGGCGCGGCGCATCGATTGTTCTACTGAGAGCTCGCTGCCTGAAGCTCGGCACTATGTTGTGTTATGATCTCCTCAGAAAACAACCCAAAATGACTAGAATGTGATGCGATGAGACAAAAGGGTCGAAGAAGTCGTTATGTGGCCAGTCAGTGGTTTTAGAGCATTGTTGAAAACGACTGAGCAGTTCCCTTTGTTTTATAGTGGTAATTAGAACTGCAATGAGATGCGATGAAACTCTTAATGGTCACTGTGGGGGAAACTTTGTAATATTTACTATAAACAACAAACGATTATGTTCCCAATGTGGATTTAAAATGTGTTGGTGTGAAACTTTTCATGTGCAGCACGGCTCTGCATTAAATAAATCAGACACTATCCGTATTGTTTTTCATTAGAGATACAACTAATGACAGCCCATCATCAGCGTAATCAATTGTGTCATTGTGACGATTACTATGATTAATTATTGTACACGAGTATCTTATAATGATGATGATTATCATCGTAAAATCCAGTACCCACCACCCCGAAGATAAGATGTAATCAGACGCTCCAGTAAGGTCTGTGGCTTAAAAACACATGTGATTAAGACAAGAAATGCGATGATAACATATGCAAACAAACCTACATTCTGTCTACTGTTTCTTATTGTCTTGTTCCATCTCTGCTGCTGTTTTGTACCCAACAACTCAACTTGGCAAATAAACATGCTATCTGTGTCTTCCTAAAGCACATTTGCATTCAAGCAAATCCCTGTTTTGCTCCCAATGCTGCATATAGAAATATTAATGCTGCTTCTTTATAGTCAGGGCCACGTGCATGCAGAGAAAGGATGAGCAGATCTCATTAACATGATACCTATTGGTGAGTGCGTTTGCTACCTCTCGTTCTCCTCTCTCAGCCTCTGCAGCTCTCGTTCTCTCTCAAGTCTCCTCTGGGCTTCTGCTTCCATCTCCCTTTTCTCCATCTTCATCTCCAGCTCCCTCTCATTCAGCTGGGACTTAAGGTCAACGAGCTCCTTGTACCTTGAGATCACGAAAACCACGCAGAGACAATTATCTTAATTCTTAATCGTCTTAAAACGAATTACAGAGACAGTTGTGTTATGAAAGGTTGTGTTATTGAATTCGTCATGTGTGTGTCTGGAGTCCTCACAAGCGTGTGTTTGTACCTGGCCTCCAGCTCCCTGTGCTGAGCCTCCAGGCCGCGGTTGTTGCTCCTCAGCTGAGAGTGTTTGTCCAGCAGCTCCTCCAGCTCCGCCTCCTGCCGCTGCTGCAGAGCCGCCATCCGCTCGTGGTCCCGCCTCAGAGCCTCCACCCGGGCCGCCGACTCCTCGCGCTCCCGCGCCCACACCGTGGCCTCGGCCTCCAGGGCCGCGCGGCGGGCCTCGCTCTCGCTGCAGCGCGCCAGCACCGCTGCATGCTGGGAGCTCACGGATGCCTGCTCCACCTGCGTGTGTGTTTTTAAAAGAGAAATGAACCGTGTGCAGGCCAATTCAAAGCAATGGTCTAGTTATCATCATCGAGTTACCTGTAGCTGGGTGTTGAGCGTCTGCAGCCGGGTGCAGGAGTCCTGCAGGCTGAGGGAGTGCCGGCGCAGAGCCTCCAGCTGCTCCCTAAGGTGCTCGCACGCCTCCTGGGACTGAGTCAGCCGCGGCAGCAGAGCCTCGCGTTCCGCAAGCGCCAGCGCTTTCTGAGGGAGAACAAAACGTCACGTGCCGCCAATGATCCAATCACAAATATCTGCACGCGTATTTGTTATTTGCTTGAAAGATGTTGAATGAGCCGAATAATAGATATATTTCAATTTTTTTTTTCCCAAAAAGAATTCCTGAAATTAGGTGGGGTTTTTTTGGAAAACTAAAATGGCCTTGAGGCACCAGAACCTGGTGTGCCTCAAGAAAGAGAAATTGAATTTTTGAGCAAAATGATGAGCACTGGCACGGTAACAAAACCCGTCATGTTTCCAGTCGTCTGGAGGGTCTGGAGCTCAGTTCAGGAGTGCAGAGAATCTTTTTCTCATTTCAGATTATTTTACATTTCCTACCAGCTCTGACTGAATCATACAGCCACTGAAGGGGTTGTTACTTTCTTTTCCCCGGCTCTTTTAGATTTCCTACTTTTTATTTCCGTATCATTTTGCAATTTTTCGAAAAGATTTCTTTGTTTTTTACTCAACTTAAGTCATTTGTAAGCTACAGTTATTAGTTATGTTTCAGCTTAAAACATATGAAGAGTTTCTAGAATACATTGCATTGTTTAAGACAAACTGTCAAGTTTCAATTAGGTTGTTACGTTGAGACATTTCTAAACTTGTCAGACTGTTTTATTTTCCTAACAGTTTGAGGCCTAACGAGGTGAAAGCATCCCCGAAATATTTAATACTTCACGCAGAAGAAGCAAGAATTCGAAAATGATGTGTATTTGTGTAATTCTTTCTCCTCTCATGACACACAGATTTATACCGTGACCTTTTAGGGAAGCAACCGACTAAACTAACTTACTTACAAACAACTATATTTAAAGTGGTGAAAACCAGTTCCACCACGATCAGCGTTAATGCTTCAGTATTAATGGTCAAATATTAAATCAATCACAGAACATACTTCTATTTTAGTCGCTTCCAGTACATTTGACTAATTATTATTATTTATTACTACTTATGTGGGTGTCTATGTGAGAGAGAGAGAGAGAGAGAGAGCTGCAGAAGAAATAGTAATAGAAGAAGATTAACGGTAGCTGAGGTGACATTATAAAAACTGATGAGCAGAGATAAAGCGGCAGTCCTGGAAATTAAGTGCTGCACTCGTGGAAGTGGCGGCCTACTGTGGATTGGTAGTCGTCGAGCATCTCTAGAGCAACATTTTAAACATGATATCGATCATCACAGATGAGCAGCAGCAAACCAAACAGACGTCCAGACATATATTACTATATATATATATACATATGCTCACAAACATATGTTCAAACCCGGCTACACACCTCTCCTTCCAGCTCCGCCACCCGCTCACTCAGCTGCCTTTCCGTCTCTCCTGCGTTTTCACGGGTCAAGGAAAGGTCCCGACCTTCGCCAGCTGCGGGGGACGGATCCAGATGTGACGTCTTCTGGGTTTGCGTCTGAGAAATGTGTACTTTGTCCGAGGAGTCTGAATATGAACTCGAAGCGTCCACCTCCACACTCCCTCCTCTCTGGTGCAGAGGTTCACTCTTCTTCAGGCTCTGGCAGAGCGACTCTATTCTCTCCTGTGATTGGCTGAGAGAACCGGTGGTCGTCTTTAGTTCAGCGTCGGCTTTTTGTAGTTTCTGGCACAGACATTCGACTTCGGTGGACAGTTTCAGGGACTTTTCCCGCTCATTTGAAAGGTCCTGATGAGAGAGAGAGAAATAAGAGGAAAGATTAGAATCTGAGCGAAAATAAAAGAGCGATCTTCATAGGAATCAGAATCACCTTCATACTTTAGTACCGATTCTGCACTGCATACTAATTCTATATAGTTAGAACAATTCAATGCTCACAGTAGAAGTTAGCAGATAGTAAATGAATACTAACAGGAGGGTTTTCACTGGCCTGACAGGTATCAATACAACAAGCTAAACGCTTTCCCTCAAAATGCAATGGTTTGTTATTTCATTCAAGGTGGAGCAATCTTTCTTCATCATTTTCCCGTGTCATCGCTGACAGACGTGGAGCTGCACCGCAGTACTTTAAATGCATTTATTGGATTGCCAGCAGGACATAGTGTTTTTGTTTCTACGGACACTTTTCAATGCATAAATTTCACACAAGGGAAACACACTTCCAACCTGTGACCAGTCTGAATTTAAATGCTTTGGATTAACATATGGTCCATCAAATCCAGAACATTTTGAAAGAAAATTATTAATATTCTTTGAGAACACCGACTTTAGTTTGAACACAATGATTTTTTTATGCAGTAAAGACATAATAGGATGGACTATTACTATTAATGTATATAAGGGGAGAAAGCGTGAGTGAGTTTACCACGTCACGGCTACTACACGCACACACACACACACACAAACACACACGCACACAAACCTGGGACAGTGAATTAATCTTGGCCTGAGCATCTGCATACTGCTCCTGCAGCTGCTGTTTACCCTCCTCCATGCTGGTTAATCGAGTGCTGAACTCCTTCTCAAGGTCCTGTAGCCGAGTGCAGAGCTCCTTGGATTCAGACAGCTGCTGGTGCACCCGTCTGCACACACACACACGCACACACACACAGCAGCAGGGTCAGACACGGGTTGAATGAAGATAGAGTTGACATTAAAGATAAATACATGGTGCAGCCGAGTAGCTCTCTGTGATGCCTTGTAAAGTTAATTGCGTACCTCAGCTTTTGATCCGGGTTAAGTGTGCGGAGAGGCCGGTTTGCGTGAGTGTGTGTGTGTGTGTGTGTTCGTACCTATGTTCAGCGTCCAGGGCCCGAGCTCTCTGGTTGCTGTGCTCGAGGGCCAGGGTTGTGCTGTCCAGCTGCTGCCTCAGCCTCGCCGCCTCTCTCTCTCTCTGCCTCCCCTCCTTCCGTAGGCTTTCGTGCGCCGACTGACACAGCTCTTTCTCCTGCTCCAGCCTGGACACCTCCATCAGCGCCTGGTCTCGCGCCCGGGCCAGAGATTCGGCCTCCACAGCCGCCTCGCGCAGCTCCGCCTCCAGCTCGTCTTCCCGACGACGTGAAGTCTCCAAACTCCGACCTTGTCGTTCCAACTCGGCCCTGAGAGTCTGACAGGAAAGCTCGAGCTGGTCACTCTGCAAAAGAGAAGAGATGCTAATTTAGTGCCATTTTATTATGAGTGGCCACTAGATTAAATGCATTAGTGCCAGCACAGCGGCAAGTAATAAAACACAAATCAGACACATTGAAAATAGACAACTTATGACAAATAGAACAATAACAGTAAGACATGCTGCAAGAGGACGCTGGTGTGGCTGAGCATTTAAAAAGCAATGTCGTTCATTAATGAGAGGCCAAACAAGAAGTGAGGCACCTGAAAACAGGATTAATATAAAAGGCAACAGATTCAAAACAATCTTGAAAATAACCGATTTTCAAAAACATTTAAAGTCATTTAAAGTTTCACAACAGGGCACAAAATCTCTTGAGACGTGGAGCAGCTTGACATCAGTAACCCGTCACTGAACACCCTCTGTAGACCTTTCCAGCTGAAGTATGGGTTCGACTCTCCTCCTGCTTCTTTCCTGATGTAACTTGTGGAAATTGTTTGTTGGAAATTATTCAAAGTTCCCTGTAGGGTTTTTTTCTTCTTTTGTTTTTGTTTTACTTCCAGTAGCTCAAGGGAGAAGATCCCCTCGTGTTTATAACATGCACAGTGGTGGAGGAAGGATTCAGAGTCTTTACTAAACAACAATTCTGTGGTAAAAAAATACAATATTACAAGTAACAGTCCTGTATTAAAAAGATTACTTATGTATGAGAAGACAAGTATTAAGTACCTCAATTGTACGCAGGTTACAACACATTGTACACAGGATGCATATTCCGTACAAAGATTGGAAAGTGGAAGAAGCATTCTGCAATGTGCCAAAAACGGCACAACAAGCATGCAAACGAGGATGTGATCCATGAAAGAAATGCTGCTTGAGTATACTACAAAAATCAATTATTGCAGTTCAAGGTAAGTGACATCCAAAGAGAACTTTGAGGAACGTTGTTCCTCAGATTTAGAATGTAAATTCAATCAATCTTTTTGTCAATTTTCTGAATTAAGTTATAATTATCGTTTAGAAAAGTAAGGAATACTACACCTAGATAAAGTACTCTACTCTAATAACGTTATCTATATAACAGGATTTCATTGGATCATGTGGCTGGGTGGAGTCATTGCAGGCACATTCATTGGAAACTGCCCAGTAGACACATTGATAAAAAAAAGAAGGTACGGGTTCTGTTTAGGTTAGTTAATGTCCAGATACAATATTTACGATAAAGAATAGATCTTTCCTTCATGAAAAGACCGCCAATAATACAGGGAGATATTTCTACATAAGAGGATAAAGTGCAATACTCCCTGAATGGGAGGCATTCACAAATTCCTTTTAAGGTATTTCCTTAATGCTGACTCAGCACTTCTGTTCTCCCTAGCTTGCAATTTCTCTAATGTCTTGAAACTTTACTAAAATAGCACATCAAACACATTGATATATATATATATACATATATACTAATTTCAGAAGATCTCAAAGGCTTCTAAACCTGCGTAGGTGTGATTGATGAAGGTGTGAAGAGGTGTGATTTTTTTCATTGATCCTACATCTAGGGAAATATACTGAATAAATGTACACCTCTGATATCCGTGTGTTTCATATAAATATGTGAATATTTCAGTTCAAAAGCCAACTAACTCTCACAATACCGGCTGTATGAAAACATTGTTCATTCTCAGCTTGAATCAGTTTCCCGTCATGCTGTCAAATCCAACTCCTGCTGAGCACTTTCTCCATGTAATAGCATAATTATATTCCAGATATCATTTGGCAAGCAGAACCCCTGTTTAGAGTAATTTATTTAATGTAACCTAGTAAGTATCTAAATAGATTACATAATAACAACATTAATGTCACAGCACAAAAACTCTTAATTTGGTTTGTACTTTTCTACATGCATTTCTCTGCCTGAAGAAAAATGACATCTGCCGCGGTCTTGGAAGCATTTGGTGTCACGGATGCATCACGCGTTTGTGTGTTTGTGGCCGTGTTCTCTTCTACCTTGCGGTGGGCGGTGCGCAGGGCGTCCGTGGCGCTGCGTAGCGCGTCCCTGTCCCTCTCCAGAGCGGCTCGCTCCCCCTCCAGGGTGGCGATGACCGTGGTCTGCATCCTGTGAAGCTCTGCTTGGCTTCGCAGGCGGCACAGCTCCTCCTCCGAAGCCAGACCCTCGGACTGAAGAACCTGAGAACACGGCGGGAGCATATTGAGTGAGGGAATCATTTATTAATGCAGACGTCTCTGCACATTGAAAAGTCACTTGATGGACACGGTTCGATTATAAACAATGGCTCACATAGTTTCCTATCATTTAAAAAAAAGGAACTCTTTAAGTTTCCATTTTCAAGGAATGTAACTCCATTCATCCATGCATCCATGCATCAATTCATCCATCCATCCATTCATCCATTCATCCATCAATCCATCCATCCATCCATCCATACCTCTATCTGCCTGCGGGCGTCTCCCAGACTCTCAGCAGCTTTCTTTAGACGCTGCAGCTCAGCCTCCAGGACCACCAGTCGCTGCTCAGCCCCCCAAGTTTTCTTGCTCTGCTCCCCCAGCTTGGAGCGCAGGTCCTGGGCCACCATCGCCTGTTGTTCAGCTTCCTCGTGGGCCTCCTGGAGCCGCTTTGTTAGAAGCTCCACATCAGCACCAGGCAATGAACAAACCGCCTGGTCTGCACACGTGGTCTCTGTATTGTTTTCTAAGCCTTTGGGGGGGTCGTGGATCTCTGAGCTGGTTGCTACAGCAGTTTGTTCTTTCTTTAATTGTATTTCTTTCACCTTCTCTATTTGTCCTCCCTCCGCCTCTCCTCTCCTTTTGGATTCGATCTCCTCATCGCATCGTTCCTCATTTTCTCCTTCAACATGGACAATCTCTTCTCCAACTCCTGCTTCCCTCTGGGTTACAATGATCTCTCCTCCACCCTCTCTCACCCCCATCATCCGCACCCTTCCCTCCCCCTCTCCCCTGCAGCCTTCATAGCCCTGGATTCCTCTCTCCTTTTCCTTCTCCTCCTCCTCTTTCTCATCTTCCACCACCTCCTCCTCCTTGCAGTTAGGCTTCTTCTCTCCTTCAACCTTCCGTTTTTCTTCTATTTGTTGCGGTTTGGTCAACAGCTGTTCAAGGCGCTGCTTCAAAGTGGCAGTTTCATTCTTCACGTTTTGAAGCTGAAAGTAAACAGACGTTTTTATTGGAAGTGAGATATTGTGCGATATTTTTTTGTCTTTCTTTCCTTTCTTTTGGTAGGTGTATCGAACATGTAAGAAGACTGAAACCACCTCTGGTTGTTACTGATAAAGCTTTCAGGTGGTATAAAGGACAGCAGGTAAATTAGCAAACTATTTTAATGATTTTTGTTTGGTTGTAGAGAAAGAATACGAAGGCACAACTCTGCACAAACAACCATACAAAACTAATTAGAGCAGCCTGAAAAACATCATAAATAATTCAAAATCCAGGGAAAATATGTAAAACAATGTAAAAAAATATTAACTGGCTGTTTCAACAGTCCCAGAGTTTCCGTATCTTCCGCCATGACATTTAAAGGGCTTCAATCATTTAATGCGCTGATCATTTACATCAAATGTAATTAAAACATTGCCCTGTTTACACTGTGTCGCCTAGAAACTATTTCTGTCAGGTTTCGGTTCAATTCCAGTCTACTGCAACCTTGATTTCCCTTTCACCTCTCTCAGTGCGTTCTCGTGCTCCGTCTTCAGGCACGCCAGCTCATCTTTGTCCTCCGGAGAATCAGCCTGAAGCAAAAAGAGATGAATGTTTAACTCCTGTTGCTTCCTGCTTTCCCTGTTTCATTTACTCAGGTAGCGACGGGCTTCATGTCTGACGCCTGCTTGACTTGAAACGTTGCTCCACTGGTATTTTTCATCAAAAATTCTCTTAAATGAATTTTACCAAGACGTGATGATACCATCAAATATAAAGCACATTACAGACATGTTGAATCTTTATTATTTACTACCGGATTCACTTTCATTGAACATTTCTGCCAATCGTCAACCCCCCGTCCAATCCCTGAACCCCGACCTCCTGCTGGGCCTGCAGCTCCTCCAGTTGTCTCCTCAGCTCCGCGTTCTCCTGCTCCGCTCCCAGCAGCATCAGCGTCGAAGCCTCGCCCACCTCCACGCTCAGCGGCTTCTCACCTGAGAGAGAGAGAAGAAGTTATAAAGAAAAAGAGAAATGGAGGAAAAGAGAACTGGATATATGAAAAGGCAGGTGCTCTGACCAATCAGGTCCATCATCTCTTCGTCGGAGTTCAGTTCTGATTGGAGGAAACGTCCATGAACCGCGTGGACCGGAGCAGCAACGCCGCCACCGCCGCCGCCGCTGCTGCTGCGGTTGTTGTGCCTAAAGTCCGCCTCAAGGCTCATGTTCATCTCCAGCAGCTCATCAACCCGCTGCCTCTCGATGTCCCGCTCCTAAACACGCACAAACAGACAAACAACAAACATTCATTCATTGTGAAACGCCACTGCTTTGGACACGAGTGTACAAATGCAACGAGGTGCCAGGATTTTGACTTACTGCTGCGCAAATACAGCCAGCATGTAAACCAAACACAAAGATTAAATAACACCGACCCCTTCCACGTCCATGATTCTATGGCGCAGCAGAATGTTGTCCCTCTCCAGCTCCCTGAGCGAGGTGCAGCGCGCCCGCGCGTCGGCCAGTTGTTCTTCCAGAAGAACTTTGGTCTCCTGCAGCGCTGCACACAGCTGCTGCTGCTCCTGCAGGGGGCGCCGTGCACAGACGGACAGGAGACACGCAGCAGGATGAAGTGGCACGAACGTCACATGCTATGAAAAGTGATGTCGTCTGACAGGTAGACATTCAGTGCAAGCATGTGCTGAGAGAATCACATGGGTTGTATGCGTCTATCTCTGATCCACATTTTTGCCTTTTTAGTGGCAGCTAAAGGCAATTTGGGTTTTCACCATCATTTCAAGCAGGGACAATAGCATTTTCTCAGGAAACACAGCAACATTGCTACAACAAAGAAAGACAGGTCAAGGGCCACAAGTTATTAGACGTCTGAACAAGCCAACGACTCGACATAGAAGTTAAAAAGTGAGCACATACAAAGTGGTTACACCAGGTGAGTAATATGTTAAATAGACCAATAGGACTAATGACCACAACTAGGCAAATAAACCCAAGATGTAATAAAAAATGTATTACTGTTCCTGGGTGTGGGGATGGGATTTCCTTTTAAAGGAGAACATCCAATGTTCACATTGCTTTAACTGTACTGGTGCTAACTAAACAATCATCCTGCCATCTGATCGTCAAGGAGATGCAGCACGGAGCCGGGATGAGATAAGACAGTCAGGACGCTCTGATGCCCTTTTTCTGCCTTAAGAATAGTTCTACCACTTCAGCATGAATCTCATTGGGTTGTAAAAGCTCCAATAAATGAAGAGGTACTCCTGCTCTTTATCAATAGAGCAGCTTCGGGCTGTAAAAACTGATGACATCACACAATATAATCCAGTCTTCTGGCTTTAAGCATCAGAATTATATTCTATACATATTTGCTCCTGATTGAAACGCTCAGGGCCATGAGGGGGAGTACATGCCTTTTGAGATAAACAGGTATGTCTTTAAAACAGTAAGTACCTTCTCTCTGGGAAGTTAAAAGGGAGATCTTCTTGAAGTGACCTTCACGGGTAATGCTCATATCGGTTTGTCGTTTTGTGTGTGTGTGCTTGTGGGAGGATGAGCACGAATGCCTCGTGAGTATGTTTCATCGTGTTCTCTATGGGAGACTCAAATACTGCCGAAGCAACGTGAATGTATTTCATGGTGTGAATATTGTCGAACTGCGTGTTTTCTCATTCAGGAGTGTGTGTAATGAGCCGTGTATGTGTGTTGTGTGTGTGTGTGTGTGTGTGTGTGTGCGGGTGCATCTACCTTCAGCTGCGTGCGTGTGAGCTCCAGGCTGCGCAGTCTGTGTTTACAGCTCTGAAGCTCAGTCTGGAGCTGCTCGCCGCGCGCAGCGCGCTCCCGGGCGCAGTCCAGCTCGTCCCGCAGGGCGCGCATGCCCCTCACCTCACCCTGCAGAGAGCGGTTCTACACACACACACACACACACACACACACGAGAGGATGAGGTCAAGGGAGTTTGTGAAAACATCTAAGATGTGGCGTTAACAAAGTCTAACAGAGGAAGAAGGACATGTGCGTGTGTGCGTGTGCGTGTGCGTGTGTGTGTGTGTGTGTGTGTGTATGTGCAGCACTCATGTGTTTGACGTGTTTTAAGGCTAATTATCTACACGGTTTTAGTTTAAAGTGAATACCAGGACTAGGTTTTGGCAAAGGTCTGATGTTATCCAGCATCCTTCCCGCTGAGTGACTAAACTGTGAGTTTAGCAGAGACAGAAGTTAAAGACCAAAGTTCTTCAGGGAAACATTGTAGTTGGCTTCAATGAGTGTTGTCTAACTGCGGCTAAGTACATAACCCGGGAGAATTTACTCATTGGCTATTAAATGCCACCTGTGCCTTGTGCTGCTGCCTGTGCTGTGCTGCAGCCATTAGCAAACTGGTTAAGCTTCTTTTTTTCAATCCAAAGCTGGAGTATCTTCTTTTTCTACAGAGGAAGAACTAAATCTGAACACACGGTTTCAGTCTGTACCTCTTTGTGAAGTTTCTTGAGCTGGTCCTCCATGGTTTGAATCTCCAGGTTGTAATCCAATAGCTGATCACCTTTATCTTCCCTGAAGAAAAGTCAAATAAACAAATACACTATTCTGTCTAAACTATTTTATTTCGGTGATACATTCGGGAACATTACCTTCACTCGTAAAAACACTTATATGCAGAAATTATAATTGGCCCACAGTGACCTTTGTGATATAGTCAAAGCAGTGAGTGCCTGATTTGTATTTTACTCGTTGCTAAGTAACAACTCACAGTTTTGTGTGACAAATTCATTTGCACATTTTTCAAGTTGACCTTTATTGCAACTTTTCTAAAGGTTCTCTGGAGTTTTCTTGAATCTCACACACACACACACACACACACACACACACACACACACACACACACACACACACAAACACACTCACAGTTGTTGTTTAAGGCGGCGCAGGGTGGCCTTGCTGTCTGCCAGCTGGAGTACCAGACCTCGGGGTGCCTCCTTGCCGTGACCACCCTGGGGCGACGTGGGTGAGTCAGGCCGGGCCTCCCGCTCCCGACAAAGCTCTGCGATCCTCTGGGAGGGAGAGAGGCGATGCAAGTAGAGAGAATGAGACACGAGAGAGAAGAGTTTGCGAGTATCAAACTAAATAGTTTTTGAACCCAAAATGAGTTTTGTACAGTAAATGATGATCAATGATCATCATTTACTTCAAACTGATTGTGTCGTTATTGTCTCTAACCTTTCCAATATGAATGCCTGTAAAATTACGGACTAAAAGCTTTGTTTTACACACATATGAGCTTATTTGAGTCGGTGGAATGATTTGATCATAGTTAAATATTTTACATTGCTTCATTGCATTCATATCACGGTTGTAGCTCAAGGTCTACAGCAATTTTCACCGTCCAAAACAAAGATAATCTCTTTAATAAGGTCTGAATACAGGCCAGAGTCAAATTAAGACAACACCCTCTTACTTGTGTAAGTCTTTAGGTTTTAGCAACAAAAAAGGTATCATCATTCATTGTGTACCTCAATAGGTCTCATTTTCGTTCCTTTTTGTTGACCACAAAGATATGCTCGATTTCACAGTGCCCTTCTATATTAATTCATCCTACAGCCCTGGAGCTACTTTGTAGGTCGCTTTTCTATTGCGGTTTCATCTTTCTACAAGTGGTATCGATCTTTTCATCCGACTCTGCAGACATTTAGAAAATGTTTGCGTGTGTGTGTGTGTACCTCCAGATGTGTGTCTCTCTGCGCCAGCAGGTTTTGGATCTGTTTGGTCATGGAGGTGAACACCAGCTGAAAGTCCGCACCTTCCACCTCTGCCAGCTCCTCCCACCTGAGCGGCAGCACCGCGCGAGGATCCTGCGTCACCTGCAGCAAGGACACTTTCTCAGGTCACATGATAAGATCAACGTGGGACCGGGGGAAGCCTGGACAAACGACCCCCGGCGGTGTGAAGGCAGTGTGAACACCCAGCAGAGATGCATATGTTCACAAAAGGAAGAAAATCCCATTCATTTGGAAATGTTACTGCCGGGGAAGAGTGTCCAGAAATGCCTGACTAATGCATGCAAAACTAATGGTTATGCAGACAGGTTTGAAATGTCCTCGGGTGGAAGGTCTATGAACAGCAAGCAGGGGGGGGAGCATCCATCCACACAGGGAGAGCACCTCTCCCCGCTATGATTTATGAGGCTGAGAAACCTGGCACGAAAAGAGCTGCTGGGCAACATGCTGTTACTGTAATTCAGACACGCTGATATGCAACATGCTGTTTTTGTAATGCCGGCGATTATTCGCGGGGGTGGGAGGATTTTTTTAAGAGTACAATTTGGTATTTAAGTTGTAGTGGAGAGGATGGCGCAGAATGACAGGAAAAAAAAGATGAAGGGGAGGGGAGGATGTGGAGGATCCATCCTACGGTGGCAGCGAGGGGAACGCAGAGGTCCTTATAAGGCCGCCGGCAGAATAACAAGTAACTCATTTTCACGCTTACTTGAAGCGCCGGCAGAAGGTGCATTAGTTTCACTCTGGCTGCCTACAGGCCAGACAGCGAAGAGATTCTTATTTTGGGAACAGAAAGCATCGTTATATCTCCTCGCAGCACCGGCCAGTCGCTGAAAGCCTTTTTTTTTTTTTATATATATATTTGGGGGCGATGCATGATTCCATCAACTTGAACCAACCTGCTGGATGCAGCTGGCGATGGCCGCCTGGGTCTCAATGTCCAGAGATTGGATCTGCTGAATGAACGCCTCCTTCTCCTCACACTGCAGACACGATGGATGACACACAGTCAGAGGTGTGCGTGAGTGCGTGCGTGTGTGTGAGTCTAGAGTTGAAACGTGGTATGATCCTAGTAAAAACCGATCCGGTCATAAACTGAAAGTGTGAGATAAGTGCGAACCCGGGGCTCGCCTTGGTTGTTAGGGTTCTCCGGGGACACTGTTCCACAACTATTCTTTTACTCTGGTCCGTCACGGTTAAGTAAAACCACACTGGTGTCATTATCAACCTTGAAAAGGCCCGGTGGTCATGTGAGTGTGTGATCACCTGCACAGCGCATCCCAGCAGGAGGAGAAGCAGCCGCCTGAGCTCCTCCACGGCTGCCTCTGAGAGCATAAAAATAAATAACCGCCATCATCGTTATCGTCATCACCATCATCATATCCCCCCCCCACCTCAAACACCAACCTCAGTATCACCTCAATGTCTCTCGCAGATAGCAGAGGTACGGACTGGTGTATAAAGTATAATTAGTTTCTTGCTGCTGGGAGACACGGCGCTGATAGGATTGTGTACGTGTCTTGTACCTGTTATGGGGTCCTGCCCCAGAATGGCCACGTTTGGGAGGGGCATCAATATCAACTGCTGCAGGTCCTCCTGATGAGCAGAATGAGTGTGAAGGGTTAAAGAAATAAATTGGCCGGCCCCTACTGCCTTTCTGCCCCCCACTGAGCCGTGATAAACAACAACAGAAAGACTTTCCACCAGGCTGCCGCCGCATGGTGTAAACAAAGAGCCGATATCTGATAAGAGCGACTTTTCGTTTATCCTTCCAGGTCAAGCAGGCTTCATGTTAGGATTTATATCTTTCATTCAAGCTTATTCTGAGTACCATCTAGATGTAAAATAAGCGTTAAAAAGAAATACGATGGGTGAATAAAAGTCTTCTGAATGGCGGTTCCCCGTGTGGTGAAAGGATGCAGATAATCGGGGTAATGTGTCAGAACCAGCTAACAAACCACAGAAAACCACCACGGACACATTATTTCCTGGAGCCTACGACATTCATATAGTTGTTATTATTGGATGTTAGTTGGAAGCTGTATCTCCTGCTCCAAGATCTTGGACTAAGCTCCTGGCAGATTTTAAATTAGGTTTAATCAAGCTGGACGGCAGAAGCCACCAACATCCCCGGTTCCAGAAACCCGGCTCTCCTGGCAGCAAGTATTTGTCGTGTGGACCTGCGGGCTGCTTTGCTGCTCCTCCTCCTCCTACATTGCCATCTAGTGCAATTAGACGGATGACTTTGCGAAAAGAATCTGAGCAAAGTCGTCCGACTGATACTTTATTTCTCTACTTACTAGATCCTCAAACATTTTCTGTTAATTAAAACTGTTTCTGTCAAAGAGCCACATTCCGACGTTGGCCGGCTCCTCTCCCAACTGCTCTGAAAGCCTGTTTAAATCCTCCCGCGATCAATCGGGCCGAAACCACCAGGAGACAGTCCCAATTACACCTCTTCTCTTACTTCAGCTCATACATTTCATAGAGCGAGAAAAGAAATGCGCCAAGAGGCCGGCGCTTTCTTTGTGGAGGATGTTGCTGTGTTGGTCACCGTGCAGCTCATGGTCCACGAAGCCAAACACACTCTTGCAGGAGACAGAAATCACAGACAAGCTGCTTGTTGTTGTTGTTGTTGTTGGCGAGCTAATGGCCTCGCATCGCGCAGCCCAAATACTCGGGTTGGTGTTTGCTTCAGACCTGTTTGGCATTGTGCTTTTTACATTTGGTGCTTTCACAACCTGCAGAGGCAAACGGCATGAGGAGTGCTGGTTGGTGCATGAATCTCGATGGGACAGTTGCCTTTATCTCTCAGTGAGTCTGCCGACAGAGAAAACAGTGTTGTACGAAGAAGACCTGAGGTTGAAATAATATTTGTCTTCAAGCAGCTGGCTACAGCGCAGCAGCAGATGAAAATCAATCTGCTACATTTTCTTTCCCAAATCCCATCTTTCTATCAATAATTCAACATTGTGTTGTTTGGATCGGTGCTGGTTTTGATTTTAAGTTCTTCTGTCGGCCGTTTCTCTTTTTTTCTTTATGTTTTCTTCTCCTTTATTAACATGTGAATACCAGATTTCATCATGTTGATTTAAAAGTAGTGTATTGGAGGTTTAGTAGCCTTAAAAGTATAAAAGGTATACAGTTTTTAGTGAGGACAGAGACCTTTAAATGTGGAGGCTCGATAAATTAGAAGGCAAGAGAAATGAATAATTAAATTCCCATTAACCCATTAACAGACAGAATACTAAGTGAGATGTGGATTAGAATATAATACAATAAGATATAATGGAAAACAACAGAGCAGAATCTAATAGAAAAGGATAGAACAAATGACAACACAAAATGGACTAAAACAAAGAGGACGGGATAAAAAATGAATAGAGCTACAACAAAAAAAGAGAACAGAATGAAAAGGGTGAGCAGATAAACAGAATATAATTGAAAAGAAACAGAATTGAAAACGTATTACTATTGGGTAAGTAGGGGTCTAATATAAACAACAGAATATACAGAATAGAACAGACAAATAGAATATAATTACACAAACAGTATAAAAAATAGACATGTAGAAGAAACAGATCAGGGTACAATAATGATCATTTATGTCACAACAGAGAAAACCACAGAGGAAATGAAGTTCCACCAGGCTGCAGACGATCACCGCTCGTCACACGCGTCACACTCCGCTCGTTGTGTGTACGTCTCTCTTCACACGCACACTCGCAACCACAATCACACTTCCATGACGAACAGAAGGCAGCAGGATATAAAACCATAAGACACGTGGAACTGAAGGTCCGCGGACACAGCGCAGCCCGTTGGGAGCAAACCAGGTGGAACTGTGGTGCCGACTGACACCAGCTTCCCGTTATTGCTGCCGTCCTGCGCTGCTCTGAGCTTTCAAGGGACATTAGTGATTCGCTGAAAATTAGGAAGTGAAACCTTGTAGACTTGTTTGGTTTTTTTTGCATCGTGTGACAGCCTCAGCGGCGCATGTTCAGTCCACCTGACTGCTGCTCGGGGAGGTTTTCTTCTGCCGACAACAGAAGCCTTTGAATCATCCTGTGAGGAAAGAATTGTGTCATTTCCTCCACGCCTGCAGGCGTTCGCAAGTCACATTATGAAATACACGAGATTGTGTGTTTGGTTCTTATTCACTTTCCTGCCTCAACCCTCCGACCGCGACTGCGGCTAAAATGTTTAGCTTCTCGCTCAAGCGCTTCTTCTCCACCCGTTTGCCTGATATTAAGCTGTGACACGTCCAGTGAGGGTCTCTTCTTATGGTGCAAATGATGCGTCGCCCCCCTGCATAGAGGTGTGTTGAGACCAATGCTTGAGCCTCATCATGTTGTTTATACAACGGCTTCTCCGGCCCTCATCTCCCCCCTCACCCCCTCCTCCCCCCCCTGCCTCACCATGTGGTGTTTGCCCCCGAGTTCAGTTCAGTTCTAGACCGATTTGAACTTCTTCAACAAGACGTTTCTATTTATGGCCGGCTGAGGATCGTTTGAGTCCACACTCGATCAATCGGTTGCGTGTGTGTGTGTCTGCCTCAGAATCACCTTGCCTTACTGCAGAAGTACACCCAGATACCCACTTAATTTGTTCAGCTAACAAAATAGAGCACTAAAATAACCACCAACCGGTAATGGGATGGTCCGTGTGTTCGCCTGACTGCTAACAGGTAACATATCTATCAGTACTGCTGTTCCTCTCTGCAGGACAGCGGTGAATGTCTGTCTTTGTTGCGTTTGGGCTTAAATCACGCGGCGGGTCTCATACGCCATCCTTTCATCAGCAGACGTCTTTTAGTTTGAATGAAGCGCGTTCTTTCCGGCACATCGGCGTCTGGACGAAGGATGTCGGCCTGTTGTGGTTTGTGCTCATTCAGTCGCACAGCAGCGGGCGTTGGAGACGTCTGGCTGAGAGACTCTCTGTACTAAGTGGACCTTTCGGGGTGATTAATCGGCCACTTGATGTCGGCACAACGGGCCGCAAAACCCAACGCGGACGGGTGATCTGTGTTAGACATCGCCTACGTACCCAGCAGACAATCATGTTTCTGTCTCCTTGATGAAGGAAAGTCCAATGTACAATCTTCCTGAGGCCCTTTTTTTTAAAATCTTTAAACACATCCTGAGAAAGAAACTGTCAGACCATCAGTCCTGGTTTTGCGCTTGATTATCGCTTCGCCTTAAATTACCCTCCTGCCCCTGCAACTCTTGCCTACCTGGTAGAAGGCTCTGATGTGTCGGTTTAAAATTGAAAAGTTCTGGACTTTCGACATGCGGTCATCTGTCTCGCTGTCGTACAGCTGCTCCACTTTGGGGTTGGGGTCTCTGGGACAAACACACAAAAAGACACAACGTTTTTTTTTTTTTTATTTACAGCAGCTTGACCAAACAGACCAGCAAACCATTTTCCAAATGAAAAATTATCATGCTGCAGTGCATTTAATGAAGCAGGGTGAATGCAGTTTTAATGAGCCTGAGAAGCAGGCTGTGGGAATCCACGTTCAATTATTTGTTGAAATAACCAAATTAATCAGCTGTTTAGCATTCTATATATATATAACGTATATATATATATATAACGTATATATATATATATAACGTATATATATATATATATATATATATATATATATATATATATATATATATATATATATACACAGTGGGGAGAACAAGTATTTGATTTGAGTATTTGACACTGCCGATTTGGCAGGTTTCCCACTTACAAAGCATGCAGGAATGATACGAATGCAGAAAATCACATTGTATGATTTAAAAAAATACATTTTGCATTTTATTGCATGACAGACTCACCCACTGTATATATATATATATATATATATATATATACAAACATCCCTATCTGAAAGAACGTCATACTTCAGCTAGACAATTGATGAATCTTACATGATCCTCATGATCTCATTGAGGAATATCCCATCGGTCAGCCTCGTGTAACGATCCCTGGCACTTTGGGAAATTGAGTTTACTTCCATGTACTGGCTGTAAAGCGGCCCGCTGTCCTCCCTCTCCAACATCTTCTCAAAGAGCTGAACCTGCGAGAGACAGGGAGGGATTACGTTGTGTGTGTGTGTGTGTGTGTGTGTGTGTGTGTGTACCGGGAGGTCAACAAAGACAGGGGAGACAGAGACGGTAGCAGGGAGAAGGTACAGAGAGAGATAGAGGGACAAAGATGCAAACATTTTCCCACCGGAAGCCACTTGAGTCGCTGCACCTGTCTGGACAGGTGGGATATGTGCTCTCACACTGGGAAGCACTTCACAGTGACGGGCAGCCAAGTAGGATGGCGGCCAAGGTCTCTCTCTCTCTCTCTCTCTCTCTCTCTGCTGGGATCAGCTGTGCCGATGCAAACTGCAATCTAATGAGGTTTATTCCCACCTGCACCTTCTAAAAACTGCACTGTCTGTAAACAGAGAAACAGGCAGCTGATAAGGTGAAGCCCCCGCTGCGTGCTGCTGAAGTGCCCTTCAGCAAATAATAAAGTTCCCCCTGCTGCAGGCCCCTGACCTACTCCTCGCCCTGACCTATGACCCCCCCCTTCTTCGGGGCAACAATAAAGAGGCTCATCCCAGTGTCACATTAGATTGTAAATACTGTTCCCATCCGGGGCATCGTTGGTTTCCCGCGTGGAACAAAAACCCAGCTGGAAATTCATTCTGTTGCAGCTGCAGCAAATCCTCGTATTCATTTGAGTACACAACGTAAGTTATTAGCAAACCAGAAACGGCCCAAGGACACGGAAGTATCGGAGCTTTACGGCGGGGGGGGAAGAGAAGAGAAAGCGGCTGTTAGAGAAGAGGCGAGGGGAGCTTCCAAAAGGAGAAGTAAGGGGCCGCTTGAGCTGCTTACAGCCAGAAAGCCACACATACTATTCCGTTTATTCAACTCGGGTGAATTGAACTGGGAAGCGAGCTTCTCTAAAAAGGTACAATGTTTGTGGGTGGAAATAATGCGCACCATGTGTCCGTTTCATTTGCCTCTAGAAGGAGAGGAGCTTTCCTGCGGCTGAAAGCGACAAACGTTAAATGACATACCCATTGCGCCAACGCACTCGCCATGAATTCCTCTACGGTCTCCATGATGTTGGAGTCCATCGTGTAACCCAACGGGAGGAAGCTCATTAAAGACGAGCAGCCATCGTTCGTCTGGTGAAGTATTTAGACATTTCTTTGCGTGGCCCGTCCTCTCCCCTCTGTCGCTTCCTCTCTGACTGTGTGACACTTCATGGTTTCATTTCTGAACCACACCGGAATTTTTCAAAAAGGCACATGCTGCGTCTTTTTTTTTTGTTAGTTTGTTTAGAGCGACACCCTTGCACGCCCTCCGCCCATTGGGTAACCCACAGACATGACCTTTAACGTACTGAATTAAATAACGATATACGAAAAATCTAAAAAATTAAATTAAATTAAAAAAAAACTGCATTGCGCTTGACAATCAGCTTGAGATTTGGGCCTATTTTTCCGTTGTGTGTTTAGATGATATTTGAATGAATATCATCTTATATCTCCAAACGGCTCTATTGAAATGTGTGCTTTCCGTCTTATTTCTGCGTAATACCTGGACGGTTCTCCGGTGAGGTTTATTCTGGAGTTATTAGCTGGGCGTTTATAGTCTTCTCGTCAGGTCACGTTTAAGTGTTGTGCAACAGCGACCTCCGGTGGTTCCAAACGAAACCTCCTCATGGCCAGTTTCAACACGCATTACATCATTATTTCTACAACAGGACCCCCGCAGCGAGGTGGAACCAGCAGCCCGTGTTTTATTCAGGTGCTGCACAGTCCTTGCTGTGACGTGTATTTGTTATTGTCATTTAAATATTTTTCCTTTATATCTGACCCGATGCTGGGAGTCATCTTTGATGTCATGCGGACTTCTTTGTATCTACACAAATGGTCCACAGGTTTCATCTTTAAATTATTTTAATGCACATCATTAATTCTTCTCTTTTTTTTCTTTTAAAATTTTTATTGGCTGTTCGCTTTGTAAAATAATTTAGAAACCGGCAAGCCGTAACCCCAAATTCCCATCGTGTGACTATGTTACAAATAACTGAAATGTTGACCATTTTAAAGGACATGACTGAATCTAAAACCACCAATTAAAATGCATCTTTCAGCAACCACTGAGAGCATGTTTGCTGCTAAAATAAAACATTCACAGAGATTATTCTGTTTTAATTAGGAACAATGAGCACACAGTAGAAAGCTAAGACTGATTACAATGCTGTATTCTCAACAACAACAAAAATGTTTTTCTTTGTGAAATAACTTGCAACATGTTGCATCCTTTCGCTTCTTGCGTCCCTCTGTGACAGCGCGTGTGTCGATACTGCTTGTGCAGCAGCTCTGGGTTTAACCACATCAGGATTATGAGATTGTTTCCGAGCTGCCAGAATAGACGAGATGACAGCTTCATTTAGGACACCACATGTTAATCCGGCTCTCCTAACTGAACTCAGATAACCGACACACACACAGACATTCGCTGCACGCTTTGTATAAATTATTGTACAAACGGAAGCCCACGCTGCAAAGCAGTCAAAAATGTCTACCTTTAATATATAATTCATGTGCCATTTTAACAGGTTCTCAAGCATTTCATTGCAGTTTAGCACAAACTCTACAGCCGTGAGATGAATATTATAGTGCTTTTAGAATGAACTCCAGCTTTTCCAGCTTTGAGCCACATCTCAGAAGTTGTTAAATGTGTGTGTGTGTGTGTGTGTGTGTGTGTGTGTGTGTATGTGTGTGAGCTCTACACCCCTTGAAAAGTTAATGCACTCTCTTCTAGTTACAACAAAAAGCACTACACGTCTCCTCGCCACATTCTGTGATGGTTACACATTCGTCGGGTCCTTCACAGAGGAGCGGTTCTGAGGTCTGTGCGCAGCCTGATACGATTCCATATATATTGCCTCGTTTCGGCCGCGGCGAAGGTGTTTTACCCGTAAGATCACTCTACCAAGAAACCGTCCGTCCTTCCCCCCCCCAGCTGAACGTTCGTTTCCCTCCTAACTGCCAGCTGTAGGGGCCGCATCCTTCTCATCTTTCTCGACGTCCGCAGCCTCAGGCGACCCCTCGGCGTCATCGGGGTCGACCTGCCCAAACTTCAGCATGGTCAGGGCCTGGGCTTTGAGGTCTTCGATGGTTTCCTTCACACTCTTCTCCAGGAGATAACCGTCGCTGTCGCCCGCTGGGTCCTCCAGAGCCATGGCGGCCTCCACAGCCGTCTGCAGGTACCTCAGGCTCACGAGCACTGAAATCTGGACAGAGAGAAGCAACAATGGTGTAAAAAATAATGGATTAGGGACCGTCGGGATGAAATTATTATTAAATCAACAGATTACAGTTAAACGTCAAATCTTAAAGTCTGCTGCACAACAGCAAAACAATCTTCAATTTTATCCGACGCATTCTCTTCCCTCCTCTGTTTGGTTTTGCGGATCTATATATGGATGGAAAATTAGACACTAACCACAAATCTGCTCGAGGCCTCAACACTCGGCATGGCAGCCATCTATTATCATCACGGGCGACTAGAAAGCGCAGCATGCTGAGCCTTTTCGAAGTATAGATTGTTTGTTTGGCTGCAGGCGGTGTGTAATGATGCACTGGCGAACACGTGCATGAGGGCCCTGCTCCAGCCGCAGGCCTGGTTTGTTTGTGCTGTCAATACAGTTATTTTAGAAAGTAAATGTTTGATTAAAAGACAAAAATCAATGTGTGTAAAGTTTCCTTTCAGGTGCTTGTAACGGCAGTCAGTCCTCAGGAGACAGTTATCCTTCAAACATGTTTGTATGTGTTGTATCTCTCCCACTTTTAAATGAACCCTCTGTGATTTTACCGCAAGTGAAAGAACAAGCGTGCGCGTTTATGTTCATGCCGCCCCGTATCCCACCTGCACCAAGATGACCGACAGCACGGCGGGGCCGGTGGAGTTCATCAGCTCCATGTAGTAGTCGGTCAGCGCCTGCCTGCACCCGAGGCCGTACAGGTTGAGCTCCTCTGATTGGTAGTCGTAGTTGAAGTGGGCGTGGTTATCCGTCAGGTGGTAGCGCATGCAGGGGCGAGGGGAGGTGGGGTTACAGCAGCTGAAGGGAACGCCGTCCAACAGGTAACGGCCGTCCACGTTGCTCCGAATGCGGCTGGAGACGGATTGGAAGAGCGAGACGGGAGGGAAGTTAGAGGCCTGATCTTTAGCTCAATGCACACTTTGCAATGAGTGAGAAATGAGCAGCTTCTCTCATCTCAAGTGTCGTCACGTCCAGATCATTCTGTTCACTGAGCCCTTTTCACCAATTCCCTTTCTTTACTTGCTTCATGAACTGCCTTTCCTTCCATTTCTGTCATTCTCTTCAAAAGTAAAGGCCAGATCTATTTTTACACACTACTTTAAAATCATTCCCTTTTCTCCCTCCATGTCATTCTTTGACCTTTTTGGATGTGAAGTCTATTCGTCTGTCATTCATCTAGGTTTATCTTCTCCTTTTCCTCAACAGACCAGTGTTTTCTCTTTCGACCTCATAAACGTCCCGTATTGTGATTCACTCACTCCTTGACGTCCTTGGAGGTGAAGTCTAAATATCTGTTGCTGACCCACTGGACTTCAAACCAATCCTTGAAGTTGTTGTTTCCGCAACAGCGAAACTCCATCTGCAGACGATCGATGGTCTCTTTCTGGAAACAGCGGCCCGGCACGTCTGTGTCCTTGTAGAAGCGAATGCCGTTCCTCAGGCCGACCTGACAGCGGAGGGAAAGAGACAGATGCGTGTCTGATGTCTTCAACAATGGCTGAACTGTTAACTATGACAACAAGGCAGCTGATTTCTGTCCATATCTGTTAAAAGTTAAACACATGATGGAGAGTTCTCTCTAATTCAAAGCGTTTTCCTTTGTGTCTTTCTAGTGACCCCCCCCACCTTCAGCGACTCCTCCAGGCTTCCCTGCAGGGCGTAGCTGAGCACAAAAACGGCGATGAGCAGACAACACAGCACTGCGGCCACAGAAAACCAAACCAGCAGGGGAACTCTCCAGCGGGGGAAGCGACTCGGGTCCAACGAGTCCTGACACGCACGACTGGCCAACCAGTTGGTGCCGATGGAGGCCAGGCCCACCAGCATCAGGATGTCGGGCACCACGTGGATCTCCGTGTTGTCCATCACCTGCCGACAGCCAACAGCTTTGATTAGCTGCTGAGATGCTTCATTGCAAACAAAGCTATGGTGATGTGATGAGTTTATAATTGTGTTTCAACAATATTGTGCCTTTGCCCTGTTACTGTTTTAAGATTACCGTCAAAAAACTAATTACGTAGCATACTAATTCTGTCATTTCAATAAATAAAATCTGTCTCTGGTTATGAAATAATCAGGTTTGTATCTGTGGTATCTGCAGTAAAGTTCAAAACAAACGGTATATAATTTGTTTCTATGAAGTACTCCTGTGCAGCCGACCAGATATCCCAGCATGCACCCCATCCAAATGAATCAGTGTTCGATCCCTCACAGGGACAGCTGGTGGAGGCCGTGACCTTCACCTGCTGGTCACGTGACCTAAATTCAATACTCATTGAACCCCAAAGACTACGGAAACAAATGTTGATTTTTACAAAATGGTTTTAAAACACACAATGTCCCCGCGACTTAACATGCACGAGTGCGCCGCAGTGTTGGTGTGCGCGTGTTTGCGCTGGTATCGCGTGCGCCGCGGGGTTCTATTTGCGGATTAAATTGAAGAGCTAAGTTTAAATAAAAGTCACTGATAAGCAGCAGCGCGGCCGACTCGGCAAACAAACCACGATGGAAATTTAAAAGTCTGAGCACATAGACGTATGTTTGCTTGACTTCCATTGAATTAATCCAGTTCTCAAACTTTAGTTTCTTAAGTTGACATTGCAGTTGTGTGCATTTGAGTGCGTTTCCATCTCTCCACCTCGGCCCTGCGGAGCAGCTCAGTCTTAAGGTAAACCCCCAGACAAAAGATGACGCCCCCCCATATCACTGCCATCCAGGACAGCAGCCACAGGCCCTGGGCCACGTGCACCCGCCGCTGCAGGCTGAACTTTATCTTCAGCAGCATGGCTCGCTACCACCGAGACGGAGGAGAAGAAGAGTTCAGTCCGTTGGGGTTAAAGAAATGAGTGTTAATCCAGAGGCGGCCAGTTGCATCTAAAGAGACCAAACCACCGGGGGTTTCAGTGGTCACACACAGTGGTCTCTGCAGGCCTTGCGCTTGTTGTTCGGTGAGTTATTAGCAGGTTGAGCTCATCTAAGTTGTTCCAGGTGGAGGGGATAAGTAGGTAGATCCCTCAGATGGTGAAGGACACGGTGGACCTCAGAGGATAATCCAAAAGCTTTCACTTGGATGCCCGAGTAGTCCCCAAAAAATATTTTACATTCCAAACCAGTGCCGCAAACCATGAGAAATGTCAAATAATAGTCAAATAATGAAATATGGAAGATGAGAAGTACTCCTTTTTCCAGAAACGATGGTTTCCCCTTCGTTGATCGGTCTCAGAGCGGCCTCGCCCCCCCCCCCCTTTTAAAGGGATTCCGTCCCTTTGACGCGATGATGTCTTCTGATGGCTCCCCTCTTGGTCTGTGCGTAGACCCCCTAAACCACTGCTCCCATGGTTGGAGGACACGGAGACTGGCCAAAGTCGAGAGTTTGGAGCCGTAATCCCCCAAACAGAGTCTCTGGGATCCTATTAAAGCCCAGAGGCCAATGGGAAAGCAGGCCAGTGTGTGATCAGCAAACTTGTTCTGATGGACACATCGTGTGGGATGGACTGTTATGACAGACAGAGCAAACTGAGGCTCATTAGGCGAGTTATTATATGAACGCCGTTAACTGAGGCTCAATGGTAACTGAAATAAGACGAGATCAAGTAAATCTAATTTAGCAGTAAAACATGTTTTTATTGTGTACTACACAGTAATATAAGAGAAGATGGTTTGCAATGTCCCCAAAAGATCCCAGGTCTGACTTTAAACAACTTACATGAAAATAAGTTTTCAGATCATTCACTTTGGTGAAACTAATACAACAGTGTAACACTACTATCAGTGAGCAGTATTTTACTCTTGTAGCAGGTGGAGATGTACTTCATACACAGTTTAGTTCAGAACCTGGGGCACAGGTCCCCCTAAAGGTGCACACGAGAATTCTGACGGGGTCACGATGAAGTTGATCAGAGAAGATAGAAACTAAAAAAAGTTAGATATGTTTCGTTCTGCCATACAAAGTTATTCAGATGAAACCATGTGAGAAGCAACTAATAAACCAGAGACATCATTCTGGAATTGCACTGTTGATGTCTGTGACTTGCTTTTTGTACTTATGTCGCATTGTTTATACGAGATCTAAATTCAAATCTAAGTAAGTGATGATGGTAAGCGAGTAAATAGTTTACTAGGCTGTGTAACTCGTGGGGCTAATCCTTGATTTATAAAGTGATGCAAAGAGTCCTGACCAGTATGTGACGAGTCGGGATGAGAACATTGTTGAGGACCCTCAACTAGATGTTTGATTGGACATTTAAATATGGCTGTCAAATAAATGAAAGCAATTAGAAGTACGGTATTCTCCTCTGAAATGTAGCACAGAAGTATAATAATTGAATAAGATGGAAATACTGCACCCAACTAGCAGACCTCAATCCAAATTCATGCCAAGCAGAGGAAGCCCACAATAGTGAATAGTGATGGTGCACCAATTTATCAGCTGAAATTAATTGACTTTAGTCCCCAAAATGACAGTAGCAGTGACTCATTCATGTACAGTAAAATGAGACTTGTGGGATTACGTATGCAGTGCAAGAGGGAGGGAGGTTGGCAGGTCTGGATCAATGGGATTAAAATGTTATAAACGTTTATGACAGCTTGAGTCGGAGCTGTAGTTTGATCAAGGCCGCTCTGTTGTCCCCGGCTCTCCCAAATAACTAAACACAATACTCAATCCACTGAGTTTCTTTGCCCACTTTACTATTTATCAAATCTCTGTCTGTTATTAAATGGTAAGGTTGACGGACACGAGCTCACATTGACGCAATGAGTAAACCTGCTCAGCCCTCTAGTGGCAGAGATGTGAATGTTGATCAGTTCCGTCCGACATGTTGGTTTAAGAGAAATATATTTGAACATCCGTCTCCTTTTTCCACTTATCCTGTTCAGATGATAGTGGGCGGAAGCAGAGGACACTCGCATAGACGGGTCAATGCTGATGCAACCATCCAAACACTCATCCACAACTACAAGAAACTTAAAGTGCATGTGCATGTTACATTTGTAGTCCAGCTAATGTTAAGTGGCTAAGAAGAGTCACGCTTACTCCATATTAAATAAAGCAGGATTACTTCAATCAACCAGAAGAGAGCAAACCAGAAATGATGAATAATGAGCAGTAATCTGAGATGTTGCATTCATTTAAGATGATTATCTTTATTGGAACAACAACTGTCATGACAGTTACATTTTGAATGGACTAGCAGTACTCATAGTTGCATAATTCATGGAGCAAAGTGGACACTGGTGAGAAACAAACAACATTGATCATTTCTGAATGGAAGGGCCACCAAGTTTCATCTATATTATGTACACAGTGTGAATTTATATTTACACAAATTTCCACATCTACATTTTTTTTATTCTATGCTAATTCTACTTCACATGAATCAATTAATCATTTTAAATGTTTAACCTTAGAGGCATTGCGCTGCAGTTTTTGATCTAAATGCCAGTTAAGTATAAAGCACGAACACAAAAAAGGAACAATGTCAAGCCTGGTTATTAGTAAATAAGTAAAAAATGTAATAATTTGAACAGGGTGTTTTTTAAGGGAACACAGTAAATTGCATATTGTTGAAGTTACCACAAATGGAAATATATCTAACAAGCATACTTGAATACATCTACCTTGGCATTCAATTTGATTGCTACTATTTTTTTTTAAGAATTTCTTTGCGTTTACTCTAAAGTCCTCAACTTTAAAGCCAAAATTCCAAATTCCCCCCATCCCTGCCAGCCCCAATAAGCGTTTACCTGGTATTTGGGATATATATATATTGTATATATATATATATATATATATATATATATATATATATATATATATATATATATATATATATATATATATATACAAAACCTTTGGCCCATATAAATACAAACACATATCAATGCAATAAGATAGGAATATATACATTCATTCTGCCATGTTGTTGGACGACATTTTCATTCTGCCACTTTGCCTGTTTGTTCTGCTCCGCCCGCCCACTCCTGCACACCCTGCTGCTCCGTCCCTCCACCCGCCTCCTCGTAGGGCTGCAGCTGCTTCATGAAATCATCCAGGATCTGCTGGGCAGTAATGGAGGTTGTTTCCACAACATCCTGCTCCACGAGCGTTACCTTCACCCCGCGATTCCCACCCCAGCTGTCGCCGGCCACTTGGGCTTGCTGCAGGTTTGGACGGCTGTCGGCGTGATTGTTGCCCGGGGGAAGCTGCTGTTGGCTTCGGGGATAGAGAGCTTTTGGTCTGGCTGCATAACTGGCAGCCATTTTCTGGTAGATGGCAGTGCTGATGTCAGCTACGGAGAACGGTGGGCTGTGGCTGGATTCGTGCTGGCCGTGGAGAGGCCCATCAGATGCTGCAGTTGGCGCCACCTGTTTAAACGGAATGAAGGCTGTGACCCGCTGCGGCCCGGCCTCGGATCTTGTCCGCCAATCACGTGAAGCTTCTTCCTCTTTAGGCGCGTGGCATTGGGCGTCTGCTTTTGTGGATGTGGCAGAATGGCCGATTGGAGCAGAGGTCGCCAGAATCTTCTGCATGGCATTAGTTGAATCAAAGTGCTTCTCCAATAACTCCTTCATCAAGCACGGCACCTGAGGGCGAGACACAGAGGTTTCACTGGATCTCATTCAGTGCTGATTACCTCAAATGTTTGCTAATACTTGTTTGACCTATAGTTAGAAACATGCGTACCTACCTGTGCCCTTCGTGAACAGGTTGTTGTGTGTGCAACTATTTTTCACTCACTCAAGTGCTGTACTTCAGTACATGGAACACAGCCTCTATTTCTGAGTCCCTTGGGTAACATTAATGAATTCAAGCTTTCACACATCTAAGTAAGGATATATCTTGATTTCATGGTTCAGGGCTATTTTTATCATCTTGAATTAACGTGTGTTGAGGCTCAAATAGATATAACAAAGAGAAGTGAAAAAGGTACACGTGTGTGGTTAAAACATGGGCACAGTGAGGTGGTTTCATAATATTACATGTAAAACTATGAAATGGGTTAGCTAAACACAGGAGAGACCTGAGTCATCCCAATAATGTATAAAGTAAAATGTCTTCTATCTGAAGTGTGCATGCATGTCCAGTAGGCGACACTGTGCTCACATTGATGTTCTCCAGGGCTGCGATGGTCTGGTGGGCGTCCTCCAACTCTGAGCTCAGCTGTGACACGCGGTTTTGCAGGTATTTCCTCTCACTCGTGAGGCTCTCCGACTGCACACAAACACATACCGACAAATACAATGGGGTTAGATGTACATGAGAGTAGCTCGTGATTCGTAAGGCAGTGAATCAGGTTGCAGATTTGACCCTCTTTTGTCACTCTGCCCCGTGGCTTCACGCAGGTGTTCTCACCGCTATATGCAGGTGTTCCCCCAGCCGATTGTTGGTCTGTTTGGTCCCAGTGTGAGTCTCTAGAAGGCTACAAGACACAAAGAAAGAAAGAAGAAATGGCAACCATGAATAAAGACCTAACACCATCACTATTTATTCATAACACATAGCACCCTGTCACCATTTCACTGTTTACTTTTTTTAATCTAGGGTTAAAGACAGTTGCTTGTGAGGCCAAATGGCAAACACAAACCCTCCAAACAAATATGCAACAACTGACACCCAACAGGAGGCGAGTGTGAGGTGACCATTCAATCCAGTTGCTCCAGTCTGTCGCAGGACGTGCTGTACGTGCCTGGTAGGCAGCAGTGGTTGTTTGTGGATAAATACAGGCCTGGCAGGGGGAGTGTGAAGGGGCATGCCAGATGCCGTGTGTCCCTGCCGAGGTCCCTGCAGAACCAAAATCTCTGTTCCATCGATCATTAATCTATACAACTGTAATGTAAAGGCATAGGTTGACTTCAATGGTTTTAGTTCTGCAGTCAATATGTGTTCATATGACATATTCATATGATGTACTGCATCATACTACATGTGCGGGGGAATGTTCCATGTTTATTTATGCATAAAAGCCATGAGGTATAGACGAGGTAAATAAATAATGCGCGTGGAATTCTGTTCTGTTGATGAAACCGAACCTTTTATATTTCTCCTTGACGTGGCCGAGCTCGTCCCTGGTCCTCTGCAACTCCGCCTCCAGGCTCTCAATGCAAACCACCGTCTGCAGTAAGTTCTGGTGAAGATCTGTATTCTCCTCCTGCAGCGCCCTGAACACAGAGGAACCATGGGAAATGGAGTTTAGTCACAGAAGATAAAAAGTATTGAGAGGCATTGCCTTATCATAGTGGTATTTTAGAAAAAATGTTCAGTTTTAACATACATTCAAATGTATACAGTAGATCTGAAGTCATTTGGCAGGGATGACGTAAAGTAATATTAAAGATGAGACCTTTTACTACATACCTTCCTTTAGTCACTTCATTGTGCATCGTCGCAATGTTTCTGAATGTTTTTGTTATTTTAAACTGTAAAAATCTTATGTTGATATCAGACATCTACACATAAAGCTCAAAGCTCAAGCAAAGTTATATATTTTCCTCCTTGCAAACTCTGCTGTTAGTAGTACTTTCTAATCACGGAGAGTGGAGTATTTAGTAGTCTAAATGTTAAAAGCCCTCTTTGTGTTGCTTATATTATTCTTCCTTAAGTTTCTCCGTCACATGCTTTTTCAATTCTAATGACAAAGAGATGGTTATATAAATCAGTTCCATAACAACTCTCCCTGTCAAAACGTGAACGGAGAGAGAAGGTGGTTGTTAGTGTGATCAATAACCACCGACCCATCAGACCGATGGACAGACACAGAGAGGACAGAATGACACAGAGAGAAATGTGAAGTGAGAAGGCAGCAAGTATGACGTATTCACTCACTGGAAATGTTCGTCATCACACAGCGGGTCCTGAGAAAAGAACAGAGGAAGAGTGAGAGAACAGCGCATAGTGCTCATTAGATACAGAAGACATTTGGTAATCTAGAATATTATACTAGCGTGGCTCATTTTTCAAAGCGTGTAATCAACGAGTGTTCACAACGTCCTGTTTTGCCACAGACTTTTGGGCATTTTTAATACCTCGAAGAGCAACGCAGGTGACACGTTCTCCACCGTTCACAACGCCTGGAGGAGAGCCCAAACAGCGCCAAACATCACTGTCCATATACAACATGCGGTGAGGTTCAGGCAAGGTGGCATCACATGCCTCCATTCATCTAAATTACAGGAGTGTGCCTTTGTGTAAAAGACAGGACACCCCCAGGATGGGTCATCAGTCCATTAATGGGGACACAACAGATGGAATAAATTATTGAGTTATGGTGGACATGCTCCCGGATATGGACGTGGATACTAGAATCGATGAGTGCTTCACCCCCTTCTATGTGTGTGGTTGTGTGCATGTCCATGTCAATTCACTGAGCTTCTGTGAGACCAAATCATACACAGTGGCCAAATGGAAAAAAAGAAATGTGATGTAATGCTTTTGGAGTTCATCAGTACATGAGAGTGGCAGACTAAGCAGATTCTTACATAAGGGCAACGTGATACTCGTCCAACCAGCTCACTCTCACATTTTACCCGGCGCTGCTCGTGATAAAGTTTGTCTAAGTAGACGTGTGATTGTTACTTTCTCTGACAATAGAGCCAAAGAGCACGTGGTAGGTGAGCCTTGAAAACTAAAATACATTTCAAATGGTGTCGGGTAGCTTCAAACAAATTCTCCACCCTAGAAGGACATCACCAGCATTTGCTGCATTGCTGAGGAATGACTCAGCTTGCAAATGCGTTGTATTTAGCACGTCGCACACGGCCTGTGACTCAGCTCACCGCCTCTGCAAGAGAGGAGCAGCACTGCATTCGTTACATTCCTCCTGTTCCGTCCTCCCTTCAGCACCCCGTGTTGCCCTCAGGAGCTTCATGGCTGACTCCTTTTCTAGGTAGACTCATGATTCATCTTTCTTGTTCAGTACTGACTCATGACAGCACCATATGACACTATTTGATTCATGTCTTTCACAAAAACCCTTCTTGGTTTTCAATGGATTTAATGAAGGTTCTATAATCACCAGATATCTTTAAAACAATCAAGGCATATTATTTATCAATAACATTACATATTTGTCACTTATTATGACCTATGAGGAAATAATCAAACTGTATTTATGTATATGAGGGCTTTCAATTCAATACAACTATTTATTTTCTTTCAGTGGAATCATATTTTTAAATTATATATTAGAGTATGGTGATAAACAATCAATTGGTGTAAATCTTAAATAGGTACACAAAAAACTCTCAGAAAATGGGATTATGATCAAATAGATAGTACTTTTCATCTGTTAACTATTTCTTTCACACAAACCATGTGTTTACTGCATGAGTAAAAAAAAAGATGAATTTTGCTATATTATCCAGCCCTATGAATATAGGTTTAAAATATTGTCAACAACAATTTTCTCCAACGTGTTCGTTAACGACAGTAAACTCACCCTGTGTTGTTTCACATGTGACTGGTGGCGACTACTCTGCTCAGAGTTGTGGCTCGTCGCCGTGGAGGCCTCGTCTCTGGTCCTCGACGAATCCGATTTTGTGGAAGAAGACTCGGATCCGATGCGCGGCCCCTTACCCTGGGCAGAGGACGGAGGCGGGCTGGCGGGCCCTCGGTGCCCGGCGCCGGGTGGCACCTGTTGAGGCGGTTGCTGAACAAAGTGCTGCGTGTATTGACCGTGGGAGACGGCGGGCTGCTGATTGCGTTGGCGCCGTTGTTTTGGCTGGTTGTCCTCCGGGCTGGTGCTCGTGCCATCCGTGAGGTGAGCGGCGCCTCGAGCATACCTGTCCCCCGACGCGCAGCCCCCGGTAGGCGACGGCCTCCTGTCCCTGCGGCCGCTCTCCTGGGGAGCATTTTGGCTGGGTGAACTGGGGTAATAATGAGGCGGGGGGCTACCGTGGTGGTTCCTTGCCGCATACGAGATCAGTTTGTCAGGCAGGGAGCAGTCCGATTGTTTCCGAGGGTTGTCGCGAGCCGCCTTCTCCTGTCTCGGCCGCTGCTCCCTGTCCTCCCCTGAGCTCTTTCTGTGCTTCTTGGGTGGGAGCTGAGGCTTGACCGGGCCAGGTGTTGGAGCTTGGGCCGGTGCCTTGCTGCTACTTTTGTCATTGCTCACACCCAAGATAGTGAGAGCCGACGGACTTATGACCTGTTTTGTAATCTCATCTAGAAAGGCTGAGAATTGCAACTTTCCCTGCACAAAATTTGCCTTGGCCTGCGCCACTTGAGCGCTTGAACCCTTCCCTTTCTGTCCACCAGGACCTCGCCCCTTGGGGACTCTTGGGGAAAGCACCTCCATTGACTTAGCCTTGCGAATGTCTGTGTGAGGCTGCTTGTTCTTGAGGATGCCTTTGCTGGGTAGCTGAAAGGAGGACACAGCTCTTTTGGGGCCCTTGGAGACCCCTAACAGAAAGTCCTCCTCACTGAATGCCAGGCTTCGGTTCAAACTAGCTGCCTTGTACAGGTGCCCTTGGTGGGCGTGTTGTACTCTGGACTGTTCCTCTCCAAGATCCATTTCGTTACCCTGCAGGAGGCCTTCTTCACTTCTGCTGAGACCTCGGTTAAGAGATGCAAAACCCCGCTTTCCCCTCGTTTGTACACCCTCGTGTATCTCACTACAAACACTGTCCTTGTTGCTGTGTTTTAGGGTGGCAAAGACAATGGGTGTTCCACCGGCGTCCTCCCTGAAACCCCTGCGCGCATCTGAGATATTGGAGCAGGACAGGGAGTGCTGTGGCTGCTCCGCATGACGGAGAGAGAATGGATCATTTCCACTTTCCTCCGTGTACCATGAGGAAAAAGAGGACGAGGACGAGGATGAAGAGAGGGAAGAGGAAGAGGCCCTAGAGAGGATTACAGGTGTTTTGTGGTTGTACAGTATCTTATCTTCTTCGCAGTGGTGAAACTGCTGAGTTGGATGACGATGATGGCCGTCGTGATGATGGCCGTCGTGATGAGGGCTGTCATGATGAGGGCTGTTATGATGAGGGCTATCAGGGAAAAAGCGACCATGTTGATGGTGATGGTGGTGCCCGTGGCTTTCATCTGTGTTTCTGTCAGACTCATCAAACAATGTGTACCTACAACACAAGGACACAGGGATATAATTATTGATAATAGCTGTTTTGTATGTTATAGCAAATAGCAGACACTTATAACTTCAACATTTGTACCAGAATCTATATATTTATTCTGAAATGGAGATGCCTTCAAGTGTGGTTTCTACTAAAAAATATTAATAAAAAATAAAAATAGAATAGATGTCTTGACTGTTAGAAGTAAATGTAAATCTGTCAGATGGGAATGCAGCAACGTACCTGTGTGACGGAGGTTCTTGGTGAAGGGGAGGTTGGTGTCGGTGATGGTGCTTCCGCGGCTTGATCTCGTCCGAGCCAGAAGGGCTGCGAACAGGCTTAAAAAACTTCTCCATCAGCCGTCTCCTCACTGGTGGTAGCCTGTTGACACCGTCTTGGTTGGGTCGACAAGGGGCACTGATGGGGAACTCTGTACTCTAGCTTATTTTTTCTAATTATCTGTTTTTCTAAAATGCTATAACTTCAATGTCAGTTCCAAAAATGACTACTTCAGAGTAGACGATAATCTGCTGCTGTTTCTGACTACAGAAGAGAAGAGATTTCCAGCATGTGGTGAACTTTCGTGAAAAATAAACCAGAATCCAAACTATAATAAGAAGTTTAGGCCTCAAAAAATGTCCTTCTGAAAAAAGGGTTAATTCTCCAAGGGTTTTAGCAAGGTATCCAGTAGTCGGACTGTTTCTGAGTTTGAGTTCTTCTGTGACTGGCCGCAGCATAATAAAACCCTGGCTTGTGAGCAGGAGGGTATGAATTCCGCGTTGGTGGCTTGATTTTGCATCACGCCTGATGTAACAGCTGGGCACTCATTGATCCAGTTGAAAGAGAGAGACAATCGAACCGAGCCCTGCGGAAAAGGATCAATAATATAGTTCACTTAACCAACCGGTATACGTAGCTGGCAGAAGTAAGGTTTTCCCATATGTTTGTGCTGCCTTGTGCTTCATGGTTTTATTCTATAATCTTCTATGACACTTTTTGTTTAGTTTGTTTTCATTTCCAAAAAGCAGAGATCAGCATAAACCAAAGCTATTGAACTTCCCAAAGCTGCCCCCATTGAGAGGTCTGCTGATTCCATCTGGCTGAGTTCTAAGGGAGCCCATTTAGGATGGGTGGGCGATATGACGATAGATACCTTGGTTCAAATGTGTCAGCCAACCAAGGTTATGTCATACGATGTTTACTGTAGAACCTATTCCTACTGGGTCTTGAAAAAGGAACTTTAATGCTGCAAAGCCATAAGCAAGACTGTTATGGAATTAGTATAAATACAGTGACGAGTCGCTTTGATTTCTGAGGTATCTCATTTCACGTTTGGCCGAAACATTATTTTCCGGTTGTCTCATTAATAATCTGTCTTAGTTTTCTTGATGTGTGCTTGTGTGCTGTATCTGTAAATTTCACAACATCTGAGAGAGCTTTCATATTCCAAACACTTTCCAGTTGTCATTTCCGTTGAATACGCTCCATGGCTTCTAACACAATCACAGAGGCCTTCAATGCAAATTGAGAACAACACCTATATAATGTCTTTGCTTAGCAGGTTTCACACTATGGTCCTTATAAGCCTATAGCATTTAAAGCCTGGCGTGGCATGTCCAGCACATGACAGAGGGGGCCTCTTTTTCTAATCTGTGCGGGTATTTCCTTGTCTATCAACATGACAAAGGTCCATTCATTGAGGTTGGGGGAGCCTGAAACTTATACAGAGGACAACACCCCACATAGCTGATCAATGACAGTGAGTGATCCTGCCCACCCTTAGAATTCACACACTAAGCGTCTATCCACAAATGAGAAAGGGTGTACATCTTAGTCTTTCCCGACGAGTGTTTTCAGAATATTGAGTTATTAATTAACAGTTTAAAATCTGAATATATTGAATTAACTATTAGGATTAAGCAGCTAATCATATAAGTGAATGTTTGCACAACTCATGACTTTAAGTACTAATCAACTCCAATATTGTTTTTTTAAGTTAATCTTCTTTGAAAGACTTATAGAACCTAACTTCCTACAGTCAGAGAGAAAACACCAGAGACAAAGGGTTTAGATGTGGATATAATCATTTCTTATATTTCGGGCCAATTTATCTATGACATTTGGGTTTATTTTTTGAATAGTGTATCTCAAATTATGGTTAAGATTACCATACAGTACTTTGGTATCTAGACCCCGCTCTTCAGGACCGATAGCTATCAAGGCGAGGATAATTAAATATAACATGGGAGGTTTGCCCAGACTTGTCCAGGCCACAATGCTGGGAATCAGCAAGAGGACAGCGGGGAGGAGAAATAATGCGCCCTCTGCTGGTTAGTAGAATAACTCCTGCTTTCTCCTTTCAATCTGGTAATTTTCCACCCTGTCCTAGCAACACAGTTGCCTGGCACTGGGTGTTTCTGGATATTTCTAGTTTAATCACGTAGACCCAACAGCCAACATTAACACTGATACTGAACCTCTCACTTCTTAGGTTGAATTGGACATGAAAGACAAAACTAACAAACTGGAGGCTTGTAAAATTGGATCTACGTGATGCATTTGATGTGAAAATAACTGCCAGGATAACTGTTTCAAATGACCTACTCTACCCAAGAGAATCACTAAATGATGATAGCTTCTTAAACATAAGCCATCCAGGTTTTGAGAGATGAGTGTGCAGTTTTCTATAGTTTATCAATAAAAAGTAGCCTAACATTGCAGTAAAAGGGAACGAGATCCGGCAATACAACCGTATTCCAGTTTGATCCGGTTTTGGACAGTGTTGCAGGCAAGATTCATCCGCGAAGCCGTTACTGTGACGTCAGCTGTTTGGGCTGTTAGGTATCATGGGATTTTAACTCTGAATTACTGAACTACTTTGCGTATCGTATATTTCCAAATAGGAGTCAGCAGACAACATTAAACAATGAGCATAATAATATCTATGTCTTACCGAGACAATTTAGATGGGATCAGCTATTTCTTTTCAACTACACTATTTATCATTAATATCGCCGTATAGCCTAATTTAGTAATTTGCTTTAATCAACGTTCTGTTCTGAGCTTCAATCTAAGGCCAGAATCAGCTTTTGTAAGCGTTTAAGTTTCAATGTGGGAACTACTTTTTTCTCCGGATGAATATCTTCTCTCGCTAGAGCCGGATCACCCAAACAGTATAAATACCACTATTGACGCCATTCCAACTCAGACAGCATTTTCCACGACTTCGTTTGGTGCCGTGCGGGCAGGTTAAACCAATCTTGTTTTCTTTGTTTCATTGTCTGCGAGTCTCACTTGTTATGGGCGAGAATATCTCGGTTTAAGCTATTTTACTTGACTTACTTGATACTTTTTTGTTGTCGTGGTGTGATCAGAGCAGTAGGCCCTGTATCGAACGATCAGCTTCAACCCTTTTGAACGTTGATCTATTTTATTTTTTAAGCACAGCCTTTTTGTTTTCTTTTGAAATATGTTTCAGTGGGTAGCTCGTCTAATCAACCCTCCATATCATCTCGATTTCGGCGTTAGCTTTTTCTATTTTCTCGACGCGAGTTGACGTTGTATGGTCAACGGCGGGCCACGCGAGCCGAGTTTATGCTCACTAACGTTAGTTACGTTGGTAACGTTAGTTTAAAACGTTAGTTACTTTCTAACAGTTTGTTAACTTGTTAACAATATCCCGACTTGTCCTAGAAACATTATGTTCTGGTTCATTTTCAATATAACGACGATAGAGCCATTTCAAGTTGGTGCTTCTAATTTTGGTAGCCATGACGTGGCAGCTTGTAACCGTTAGCTATTGGTTGGTTCGAGCGACTCGTGACGCAACTAGAGGGAGTGGTTAGGGTTTGACCTGCGTCCAGGCTAGCTGTGTCCGCTAGGCTACAATATTGGTGCTAAGAGAAACCTTTTTAATAACGTTAATCGTTTAAACTGTGCGCAATGAAGATGAGATAATGGTCGATCGCGATAGCCCTTACTTAAAATATGAAATATAAAAAGCGACAAATAGTTTCAAGTTGTTCGCATAATATCTAAGAAAGCCAGGGATAACCTTGAAGGGTCGCCGTGTGAAAGGGGAAGAGTTAAGTGGGGAACTTAGCCAACGGAATTTGAGGAACGAGTAGTTGACAAAGAAACCCGGTTGTTTTGGAAAGGATCAGTCACGGCGATCGTATTTGTAGACTCTAAATATGGTGTATGAGGTCCGGGACTTGTGTCTTCGATGTATACCGTCATCTAGGCTGGCTAATTAATTTTTATTCAGTAATTTCTAGTTAATCTTTTATAACGGCCATTTTTCTGGTTTGACGTTATTTCACATTTTATTTCCGTAGACCAGAGAAACGTACCAGTTGTCAAGGTACCAAAGCTCAAATAACCAAAATAGAGCTTTAGTTGTAGCACAATGAAGACGGTGTAGACCTTTTTTTCCTTTTAAGTTATCACCTTTTTTTTTTTTTTTTTTTGGCTGCCTAGAGAAGACAGAAGAGTTTTTTTTTTTTTTTTTCCTGGGGAGGGGAAATGGACTGAGTTGTCAAGGGGAGGAAATGGACTTAGTTAGATGAAGATCGCAGGACCAGAGCGGCGCGGGGCCATGGGAGACGGGAGGACCAGTGTGTGGAGCCAGGCAGGACAGGACCAGAGGGCGTGGGCGGACCACAGTGTTTCCAGGCAGGACCAGTGGGCGTGGCGGGAGAAGCAGAGGGGCCCGAGAGAGCGTGAGGCAGCTACAGCGGCGAGTGTACACCAGAGGGAGCCAGAGGCGCAGTGCAGGGTAGCAACGCCGCCAACCGCAGCAGAGTGGCCATCGCCGAAGCAGTTGCAGCAGTTCCAGAGCAAGCCAGCCAGTGATCAGAGGGTGGGACGGGGCTCAAGTGTCTTCTTGCTTCTCAAGTTTAAAACGAGGCGGTGGTTTGTATATTGGGCAGCGGTATCTCTCACATTCACAGGCATTTAGTTATTATTCCAGAAGCAATTGTAGAACACAATTTCTCGCACAGATTTCTTCCTCTTTTCAGGCAAGCCGTGTAACGCGTTGTGTACCGTGGTCACCCCTCCCGTTGTGCGCTGACTTGAGTGTGGTGCTGTCTGCTGTGATGAATGCCGTCGTAGTGTGCTGGCGAGAGGAACATCATGTCGGACCTTCTACTCCCCCCTTCCCTGCGATCACAACTAGTTCCCCCCCCAAGCCGGAGGCAGAGGCGCAGTCCCTTTGTCGTCCGATAGGTCCTCCTCAAAGAAGCTTTCAGCATTGGCGTGTGCGAGTGGATGGTCTCCTGTCCGGACGGTTGAGTGTATACTGCAATCTTCAGTACTTCAGCGTCTCATCAGTGGTACAGATCAGCTGCATCTACCTCTTAACCCGAGCAGTGAGTTAATGCATGAAATGTACATGTGGGTGTAACTATCCTGTACATCAACTCCTCGTTTCCCATACTGTTTAGTCCATTTTGCCATCAAAAGGAGTCATGTTTTGATAGTTAATCCTAGATAAAGAAGAACTGGGGTTAGGGGGAGGGGGCATTTAAAACGTGTTTCGAGTTTTCTTTCCACAGGCATGGCCCCCTAAAGCTGATCTTCAAAAGAATCTCCCCCCAATTCTAACCACTTGGTACAAGTTGAGCTCATCTTAAGTTTTATATCGCGGAGGATCGGGATCATTCACACCCGCTTTAAAGAGATGTAGGAAGGTATTTGGTATTGTTCAATACATCCATTAGATTCTTTGGAATGTGTTGTAAACTGGGTTTTATGCACATAACTTTGGAAGTGGGATGGGGGGGGTTGTGGGGCGTTAATCAGTCTCTTCCCTAGACTTCACAGCTCCATGTTGCCCAACGCAAAATGGCTTGAATAAGAAACCTCCAGGCGCACCCCAACAAGATTCAAGTGGACTTTTTGCCCCGCAGGATAGCAACTTCAAAACTAGTCTCCTGGTGTAGCAGGAAGCTCTGTTTTTCCAGGGAGTGTGGTAACAAGTCTCTTTACTACGAGTCATTGGAATTCTGTACAGGATTTGCTTTGTTGGGTTGGGAGGGGCTTGTGTATTTGTGACTCTTACAGATTAAGTATTATGGCCTGTCCTTGAAAAATCAACATTCAAGTCCACGTCTACAGTTCTTACGGAAGGAATCCGTCGCGTCCCGGCCTGCGGTATTTGAAGGTTCTTCTGGGGAAATTTCTTGAATCTTAATATGACTTGTCTTCATAGTGCTAGTTGTCCTTATTACGGCAGTACTGTAATGAAAGTAATCTAGTTCTGTACTGCATTATTGGACGGGTATTGTGGGGAGTGGCTTGTGTCCTTTGCATTTTTCAGTGTGCTTCCTGTGCGCTTTCCAATACCCGAGACCACCAGGAACTCTCCTAACTCATTGTTTGTACAAGTTTCCTTGCGCAGCAAGCATCACGTAAGGTCACTAAACGTGTTCATATTTCTCTTAACATTCATTGTCTGGCTAAATACCCTCCATTGCAATTCCTTTGCAATTAGTTGCTATGCCTTGTATTGACAATACAATGAGTGAACTATCTGTAAAGGATTTTCTTATTGCGTAATAAATGCATAGCTTGTTGTGATTTGAATACACTTTTGGTATGCATTTGTTCTTTTGGGGGGGCCTTGTGTGGGGCAGCTTTTCTTGTGCTTTTTCAGGTATGTCTAAAGCTTGGAGCTTGGTAGAGCACGGATGTGACCAGGGCTTGAATGACATCCTTTTCAAAGTGGAAATTGAAGGCAGATAAGTGGAATCCATCAGATATTGATGTTGGAAAGCCGAAAATTCTGAACACAAGAAGAGTCTTTATCTTAACTGGGCTCAACTGCCCCTTGTTCTTGACATGAAAGCAACTTGCTATACTTGACTGTAGAAATAGCACTGTTGTGCTTTCTCGACCAGAGTCTTGTGATAACGAGAAGATTTGATGTGCCCTCATTGACTCTAACGTTATCTGCAGTAAAGCATTTGGGTAAGGATAACAATGGTCAGTTCTACGATACTGTGAGGGGGGGTTAGGGGTGTCTCTTGTCTGCCTCTTTGCTCTTACAGAACATACCAAAGGAAGAATGCAGTCTACCTAGGACCGCACGGGAAACCCTCTGCCCGTTGAAATCAACCAACACGCAGTTTGAACAAACTGAGTCAGGTTTTTTTTCTGTGTAGACTGGAACGATTAGCCCTCAGCTGCTCGTCCTTGCGCAGCTGTGCAAGTGACAGGTTGACTATTCCAAATTACTTGCAGTCGCGCAACTGTGCGACACTTTTCCAAATGTTAAGTAGCTGAGGAAAGCTGCGCATTGTGCAGCTTTAATTTGGTCTGAGATGCAGCGCAACGGTGTTGCTTTAGTGTCGTCTTGTGTTTTGGTTGGGTGTATCCCTACACTTCTCTTCACAGACATCAGGTGCAAGACTGGTTCAAGCACGAGTGAAGTCCTCTAACCTGGAGCATGTAGTAAGATGTTGGCTTACCTTTGTCAAAATAAACTTCTGCAATGTTTTAGTTGACAAACTGACATCTTGGAACTGGCTTTATGTTAACCTCAAATCAACAGTAACGACAATGCTTTACTAGCATATTCTCTTTGGCCATGGAGCCCTACTACTTTGCATCTTAACCGTAAGATGAGTAGAACCTTGAACCTCTGAGTATTTTGTGGTGGGTGTTGTGTAGATCACTCTTTGTTTCAGATCATTTTCGTCTGTCCGCTCCGATCTCGCCTGCCTCTGAATGCAAAGCCATCTGTGGGAGCTGTCCGCACATATGAGTGGTCCCTGAATGAAGTACCAACCCCCTGTGCGCTTGAGCTTAATCTGACCCCCCCGACGTCCTTCGCAGAAGCCCCGCTCTCTGTGTTTGTGTGCCCTTTTTTTTTTTTTTTTGTTCTTCCTCCCTCTGGTTTCTCAGGTCGCATTTCCCCCTGAAATTGTCTTAATTTGTCACCTGGGATGGCCTAACCTGTGATGGAGAATTCACTCGCATTAAGATCAAGAGCTGCAAGCTTGTCTCACATTTACTGCATCACTTCTGTCTCATGGGTGCTAAGTTAAGTAAATTTGGTTCTCTTGATTCCTTTTTGTTTTCCTTTTTAACATACCATGGCTTTAATGTGTAACTCGACATGTTGCATGCACATTGGCTCTGCATAACATTTTATCCGTAACACACGACATACTGTTCATGACGTCGTTGTCAAACATTGCAGTAGCATTTGAATCTGGGCGGGGGGAGGGGAGGGGGGCGCGGGCAACAAACATTCTTCTCTCTTCCTTTCAGATTTCTCGTTCAGCTTAACTTGATTCTGATCCGGGCGACTAAACCTCTGCAGGGAGAGTCGGAGTGACTTGGTACAGCCTCTAGGATGCGTTCTTAATGAATCACTGAATAGCTGTGGTAAATACTGCTGTTGCGGTCCACAATAACAGCATTGACACAACTTGTCATCGACGAAGAGTGGGTTGTGTGGGGATTCTGCGGGTGGGGGCGGGGCTTAAATTGTCTGTTTTTCTATTGCAGCTGTAAACTTCAGTCTCTGTATGACCCGCAAGTCCAGCTGAATGGCAAAGGGGAAATCCTGTTTGCGTTTCACCAGGGATTGTGGTATCGTGGTTAAAATGATGCAGTGGATTCAGTCTTGTAACGATGCATTTTCGTGGGGAATGCCGGGGATTTGGGGAAACAAGTGTCTTGTCTTCTAGTTTCAGCCTCGTGACCGAGAGAAATCGTCATGTGGTGACAGGAAAATATAGCCGCCAGGTGTCAAGTGGTTTTCTTTTCCTGGAGGAACAAACCACTTCGGTCTTTTGTTCCTCCAGGTTTTGCTTTCGCCCCTTTAATACAGCAACAACAAAAAAGCAAAAGACTCCGGTGGTGGCACTCCTGACTCTGTCAGGACGGGGTTCAATCCCCTGCGGTGTCTTGCTTTTATGACTGCTGTTTGGAAAATGTATTTAGCCATTAAAGGCTTCCATTTGAAGTCAATTTAATAATTATTTGACTTGAATAAATCAACATGACATTTAACTTGTTGAGTTGTACGGCTGAGCTAGCAATCTTACTATTGCACATTTTATCTCCCGAAAACCTATAACGTTTATTAGCCAACTTCGACATGTAGCGTTGGAACTGTGTGCTACATTGTAAAATGGTCCATGTTTTTACTCTTCCACTTTTAACTTCACTTGGTTTAGAAATTTACCCCCATCAAATAGTCTCTAATAGAAATGCTTTAGCGTTGGAGGCTTTGGACAATGAGATGTATCCATAACTCTCTCCTGTGTTTCAGTGTCTGCGAACTAGTGATCTGACAAATGTCCCTTTATCAAACTTGTTTCCTCACGTAGGTTGTAAGACTTGTTAATGCAGTTTGGTCTTATTCTAAGCATCTAATAAATGGAGTGAATCAGTTAACCTTGTCTTGGTCGTACTTCCAGGGTTCAGTGTTTTCCTGATTAGATTAAGTTTTGTTTTAGAAAAAAATGTGAGCACATTACACCAATTCTTAAATCCTTGAATTATGCACAAATTATGCATGTTGAATTTCAATGAGCAGCTATTTGGAAAAAACACTCATATAAAACGGGTCATTGTCAGAAAGGGAACAGGTCAAAATGTTCTGGAAAGCCAAGTTGGCTCAAAGTAATGTTTTCCAAATCTCTTGGGTCAGAATATTTTGAAAAAACGTGTCCAAATAAAATATTGGTCAGAATATTGTCATGTTTGGGGGAAAAAGTCATCTGACTCAGGTGCTGTAGATTCCAGAAGTGTATGATCTGCCACCTGGTGGAGAAACCTCAAACTGTCTTTACTGATGGACAGTGATATTATGTATACCAACCAAACTTTTTTTTAAAAACAGCATTTTCTTTTGAGTTTTGATATTTTAATTTCCCAAATGAAAAAAGCCTTATTTTATCTCTCTGAAAAGTGACCGTTGACCCTTGAGGGTCGACATTCAGACGAGGGCGGAGCCGAGCACGTGCAGGAGGTCCAGCTTCAGGTAAACTCTGCCGAACGAGAGGAACACGCCGAGGACCGAGGACCCAACCAGAACCCACAGAATCCGGGCGCTGAAATACAGAGGAGCCAGCCTGCAGAGGGATCGATCAGCAATCAATCGTTCTTACAGCTCTAAACTCTGGGGGAAAAGTTCTCAGATTATAGGATAAAAGTCCTGCATTAAAAATAGGTATTAGTATATTTGTTTTAATCATAAAAGTAGCGGATTAAAGCGTACAATGTATAAACGTATGAGTCAAAAGGACAAAATTTGAAATACGTTATAACAAACAAACTTTATTTTATGGTTCTTTAATGAAGTACTTTACGTTGACCCGATTTTAACAGTGAATAAAGTCTCCTACCGTTGCTGTGACGACTGAGAATATCCACGAAAGTACCGGAGGCGTCCGTACAGGTAGAGCACACCGAGGACTGAAGACACACCTGAAACAATAAAAGTGCAGATGAAGATTCGACTGAGGACTCCGGTGAGATGTTTGATGTCCGCTCACCTTGACTGAAGAAGACTCCGGAGGTCCACAGGACGGAGAGGAAGATCGGGAAGTACTCCGAACAGTTGGCCCTGAACACACCGCAGAGAGTTAATGTGAGGAGGAGAAGCTGCAGTCTCTCTGGTGTCCACCAGGGGGCGACTCCTCGGGTCCCATAGGACTCTACTCTCTCTAGTTTCAACTCAATACCGCATGATGTTCATTTGGCAAATGATGATCCATTTATTTCAAAGAGACCATAAAGCAGGTTATTGTTTAGGGCGGGGCTACACGGTGATTGTCAGATCTCAAATAAGTCAGAAATGGTTTGAAAACGTAAAAAAAGTCATATATATATAGTGTAAGATCCATTTTTGATTGTTAGCTCCACCCCCTTGGGTGGTGGGAGGTTGTTTCAATTAGGCCGCACGGTCAATATAGTCAGGTGGGTTACCTGGCACAGGTGTTGGTGAGAAGCGAAATTGTTTTTTGACCGTGAGGAGAGCGTGAAGTGTGGACGTGACCGTGGAACGTGAGCGAGGAACGTGAGCGTGACAGGGTGGAAGAGGCATGTAAGAAGATAATTGGATGGTGCCATTAAGGAACAAAATAAAGGACAATCAAAGAAGTGGAAATGTCTCAAGGAATATTTTAACGTGTCAAAACAAACTCAAAACTCCAACCAAGAGGACCTAACTTTTGATAAGAAAAAAGGGTCTTTACATATAGTGTGGAAAAATAAAATCTAAAAATGTTGGTCCACTGTGAGGAACGTTATTAAGAAACGGAAGGCAGCAGGCACTGTTTTTAAGGCCAGCAGGCCAAGAAAGAGGCAAAGAAAGGTCCAGGACAACCCTCGGGCCGCCTCCAAAGACCGGCAGGTCATCTCGCTGCACTGTGCATTGATCAACCTTTCAGCGCACAGAGAACAGCTGTATGGGAGAGTGATGGGGAAGAAGCCTTTTCTGCACGCACACCACAAACAGGCCGGTTTGAGGCTAGCCAAACTACATTTGAACAAGCAGGTTCCTTTATGTGCCGCTGAGATAAAGATCGAGCTGTTTGGTCACGCCAAGAGGCGCTGTGCATGGAGGCAAAATAACACAGCAACTTCTATTTCTGCTATGATGTATATGGCATATTTTCTGTTTATCAAATAAATTTGATTTATTTATTGATTTATCTTCTGACAATCTCTCACTTGTTTTCCTAAAAACATTTTGTAGAAAATGTGAAGAAGTCGCATGAACAAAACATGAAACCATCAGCTGGAGGAACTTATTTTTGGACTAAAGTAGTTCAAACATCGGAGTGTTAATACACAAGCTTTAGCTTCCCCGGGTCCACGGAAACTACGTCAATTACATCAATTACATGAACGTGAATATTAATCTGCTGCTGATTTTGATGAACATAACAGTTAAATAAATAAAGACTGACTGAGCTCTGAAGATGCGATCAAAGGCCGGAGGTCCAGAGGTGGCCGGAGGGGAGACCGAATACTTCCTCCTGGCGTAGATCACCTGCAGGGAGAAGTAGGCTTCACACACACACACACACACACGTATATAAATACCAACTCTCTTCAGGCTGCAGCCGCAGAGAACAAAGTTGACCTTATGTTTGCAGCAAAATGCAAATATGAACCGTAATAAACAAAACAGCTCATTGCATTGACAAAAACAAATGAAAGCAAAGACGAGGGAGGCAGACGGGCGGCTGACAAGAACATAAAGAATATAAAGAATAGTAGAATCAAGAGGAAAATGTCATAAAACACGTATGCATGTATTTAATATACAAACAGAAGCAACCTGGGCATCATTTACACGCATTTAAAGTGAGGACAACTAGGCTCCAGTCTAATTATCCTTCAAAGTAAAGCGGTATTTCCCAGCATGCATTGTTACCTTGCTGCAGGACGCCCAGCACGGTCACAGCGGCGAGGCCGACCACCGCATCCTCCGACATCATCACAACAGGGGAGACGGAGACCCACACAAACAAACACACAAACACACACACGCCCGCTCAGCTGGGGCCTGAAAGCCGGTCTGACAATACAGGTAACACAGAGAGAGAGCACACCTGGGAGGGGGCGGGGCAAAGACGCCCCGTCACCCTGGTTAACTAGTGAGCTGTTAGTTTTAATATTTAAACGACTCCGGTTGGAAACTAGTGGATAACTTCCTTGAGAGAAGTCAAAGGTATCTTAAGCTCGTTCGTCGTTAAGTATTTATAACAAATAAGGCTGGCGCGTGCTTCTGCGTCTTTACGCACCGTTGGGTCGACGCACTCGTTTCAACTCATGGTTCTTGCGTGCGTTGCAGAGCAATTCACCGCCAGAACAATGTTCAACGTGTTTTTGTCGATGACGACCTAGAGAGTCACGTCTTCGTGTGTGGAAGTCTTTGGTTTGTTTATGTATCGTAGACGTTATTGCCCCTTGTCATCGCGGACACATTTGTCCCGCATTTTCCTCCACATCTTTCGCAAGTAGACAGGAGTTCAATCACTCGGCTGAAGAGAGCGTTTCCTTCCCTGTGGGGAGCAAGAAGGTCAGACAACCCTTTATGACACCTCAGAGAGGTTTGTGTTGCCCAATGAGGACGACACATGTTGAAAGGATACACGCGTCGACCCCCCCTCAGCCACCAGGACGGACTATCAAGAACGCACGTTTTCAGTTGCGGAAGTACTCTGCCGTTGTGGGTTAGTTAGACGTCACACAATGAATGAGAGGTCAGAGTTCATGGGAGAGGTCAGTGTGCAGGAGATCAATTCATTCCCGTTAGTTTAAATAGTTAACCAGGTTTATGAGTGAACTAATTAAATTAGTGACATACCAACTTTATACTAAATTACCAGTGGAATGCAAGCAACTATAGTTTGTACTGTAATACCAGTATGAGAATTATACTGGTGAAAGATGTATTTACCTCGAGACAGTTTACTGGAGTATATCTACATCATGGTTCAAGTACTTGAAGTACTGCAAATGGAAATTCAACTTTTGATGTAATGAAAGTAGCAACAGCGTCACGTTTGAGAAGATGATCAGTTGTAAATTGATTATATAATTAAGTCCACAATAAAGAAACACAGAAAGAGACAAACAACCGAATTGTTTCTAAAGAACTATATTTACATAATACTCTTGTTTTACAGAGAACCATATCAAAAGTATAAAATACTTACAAAAACGCTGCAATATATAAAAATAACATCTATCTTCTGCAGATCAATAGGAAAGTCATACATACATACAAAAAATATATTTATAGACATTTACACGGTCAGAAGAGCCGGGAGGCGGAGCCAGGCTGGAGGCCTAATATACAAAACATTACAAATAAAATAAACAAACTCTTTGAAGTCAAAGTCAGTAGATTGATCCGCCGGGTCAGAGACAAAAAGGCCCGATTACGCTTATCGAATAAGAACCACGAGAGGAACACTTGTTGAATTCAGCGTCCCGACAGAAAGTAGCGTTTACTCTTTAAAGTCAGATTCAGGAAACAAAACCGCAACGTTTAGAATTTGGGAAGCTTGTAAAGAAAAACAGGTTTTCTTCCACTGTGGGAGTCATTTTGATATTTGGTAGAACGCCGCCTCACATTAAGAGAAGCACAACATGCCCAACAGGTTACAAACCCAAACCGTTATTTCCCCCGTTTACACTAAAATCTACGGGAGAATGTTCAGTCACAAAGACTTTAGAGAAGAAAACATCTGGAGACCTCAGGCGGGACCAGATGTGCAGTTTAATGCTCACACAGGTTTATAAAGTAAATCTGTCACAATGAGCTCTTAGAGATGAAAAGGGGTCGAGGGCTTGAAGCCAGTAGGAGTCGCTCGGGCTCCTCCTTCACGTTTCAAACAAAGTGTTCTTCACACAAGCTCTTAAACCTCAGAGAGCAAAAAGGAACACGCGACTGTTTCTGCAGGTTTTACTGCGTTTACTTTTAGTTAGAAGCGACAAAGACTTCAGTGAAGTTCTCGATGGGATTCCGAAACGCATTATTTGCTGAAATAAAGATCTATTCAACTAGAAGCGGAATTAGAAATCCAGAAAGGTCAAAGAGACACACAGCAGCCGTAAACAAATAATCCATAAACAAAACACACTGTAGTTTTAGACATTTAAATATTTCCCTCTCGTATGAAAATGAACCAACTCAGTTACTTTTGTTTTTTGTAAACAGAAAAAAGACCAAGATGACAAATTTCTAAACAATCCACATTTTAGAGATAATGTGGATTTTTAAACGGAATCTATAAATGTCAAAATGACAGATTTGTTTTAATTTAATTGAGGTTCTTATTAAAAAATAATAAATTCACAAATTGAATCCGTTCGCATATTGGACGTGTGAGAATGTAAAAAAAGAAAAAGAAAATACTACTACGCATCAAATCATAGCTCGATGCAATCTGTGTTAGCGTTAGCTCCTTTGCATAGCCGTTCAGACGGCTAACGCTAACCAGATACACAAACTCGCAGTTCATAATTTAAGAATGAAAATAAGTACTTTTGATTTGTAGTCAACGGAAGTAAAAGATGCAAAAACGCCGCTGTGCTTCTTTAAAGTGACACATTAAATGTGTTAAAACGATCAGAGTGAGTTCGCTTCATCAAACCCATGACAGAGCGTCTCCGGCGGCCTGTAGGGGCGCTGGCTCAGTAGTCTTAACACAACTCCTCCTTTCAGCCTCCAACAGGAAGTGTGCAACAGGAAGTACACAAAACATCAGCAGTGTGTAAAAGGAAGTACAAACATCAGTGTGCAGATTTACACACGAGGTGGAAACAAACTGGTATTCTTTTAGATTTTCAAAATGAGACGTAACTTTATGCAACATATGCCGAAGTTTTGTTTAATATCTTTATGTTTGGTAAACTTTTAGTGGTGACTTTTTATAATTAAAAAAAAAAAAAAAACTCATTTCATTCACCAAAATGAAACTTTCCAAAACAAGTGTAATTTATATCATGATATAGAATTAAACACCCTCAATAACTATATTAACAAAAGAACTTCCTGTTTGACCTTGTGTGCAAATCTGCAAAACAGCCATTCATCCTTGAATTGTCAGATTTTTTTGCCCGGTACCGTTCTCCTAAGATCAAAGGATGAAGCACATCTGGACTCCAGATGCAGGAAATTAAACCCTTTTTTTTAACCGACTGGACAAAACAAACTCCCTCATGCTTCTAGTTCATACACATACAGTACATATATGTATATATATCTGTGATATAACTCCACTCTGATAACAATGAGAATGTGACAACGTGACGTCTCTTCACATCAGGACAGCTTCACTTCTTTACCTCTTTGTTTTTTTAGCGCTCAGACCTTGTTAGCCGTGTGGCTAATGCTAACGGGCAGACTTCCCGTTGGGACATTTTACTTTTTACACGGCACACAACAGTGTTGAATTCTTTTACTTTTGTATTTTCCTCCTCCCAAACTCGTCTTTGGGGCCTCTCGGCTCAGCAGGGCTTCTCAGGTGCAGACAGGTGTGCGTGGCGAGCTAGTGGTGGCCCGCGAGCAGCTCATCCAGGTCGGCCATCCACTCCTGGGTGCTCTGACCCTTCAGCAGCGAGTCCACCAGCTCGCTCTCTCCGGCGAAGCTCCCCGACGCCACGTTGTACCCGAACGACACCTGCTGCTGCTGCTGACTGGCAGTCCTGCTCACCTGGTATCCCTGGTTACACTGCAGCCCCTGCCGACCGCTGCCCTGCGGCGGCCCGAAGGCCGCCAGGTCGGGCAGGACGGTCTGGTTCTGATTGGCCTGCTGCTGAGTCTGTTGCTGGGCGGCCATCGGTGGGCCCAAGTTCTGAAGGTTGGGCGGCGCCCTCTGCTGCTGCGCCGCTCCCATGTTGGTCTGCATCATCTGGTGCGCTGCACTCAGCCCGCCCATCGGGCGCCCGCTAGGGTTGGTGCCGAAGGGCGCGGCACCTGGTGGCATCTTCGGAATGCGCGACTGCTGCTGCTGCATATGGAAGGCGTTGGGGGGGAGGCCGGCGTTGCTGGAGGGCGGCTGCTGCTGCTGCCAGGCAGCGCCCTGCATGCCGCCAGGCATGGCGGCTCCCTGCATGCTGCTCTGCATGGAGCCTGGCATGCGGGCGGCAGCCAGCTGCTGCTGCTGCTGCTGCTTCAATAGCGCGGCGTTGGGTTGTGATTTGAGGTGCTGCTGAGCGAGAAGGTTCTGCCTGTAGGCGGCGCTCATGGCGCCTAGAGGCTGGCGCTGCAGGCCGGCCTGCTGGGGTGTGTGAGATGGATGTGATGGGTGGTTGGGGTGAAGGTTCATGTTGTTGTAGAGCACCTGCTGCACGTCCACACCGGCCCCGCCTCCTCTGCTGCCGCAAGACGACAGACCAATGTCGCCCTGGCTCCCGGTCGGGGGCGGAGCTACGCCGCCCGACGGCCCGCTGCCTGGACCGATGTTCATACCCATCATGCCTTGGTTCTGGGGGAACATGCGCTGGGACCCGGGGGCGGGGCCTCCCATGGACCCGACGCTGCCCATTGGCTGAGAGGAAGCTGTGAAGGAGAATGTTTGTTAAAGAGTTGTTTTACAGATTTTTAAATGATCAATTAACAATATTTTAAATGATGTTGTCTCTGATACTTTAGAATAATTGGTTGGAATCTTAAGTGTTGAATGAGTTTCTCATCAGCGAATTAAATAAAGAATCCTCAATAACTTAACTAATAAACTCAGATAAACAGGAGGATGATGTAATGGATTAAAGACCACTTTATTTTTTTAACAGTGTTACATGTGTAACATCAGATTCCTCTTCCTGTTAAGCAGCATGTTGCTGGTTTGATCGCAGTCCAATATTTATGTTAAATGACACGTATACGTTTATATTATTAAAAATAAAATTAAAATCTTTAAAACCTCAAAGTTATTTTTTGATTTCCACCAGGACAATTATTTATTTGATGGTTTTGAAGTTAGGTTTCAGGTTTTTAGGTTTATTCTCCTTAAATTCCTTTATTTTTAAAAGAAAAAAAAATGTAGAATACATATTAACACAATTTAAATCAATTAAAAAATGTTTTGTTTGTTTGTAATTGTGTCATTCTACACGCCATGGTACTTTTTGGGGTTCAGGGGTTAATAATAAAAAATACACACCTGTAAACTGGTTGACTGGCGGCTGTGGGAAAGGGTTCTGGTTGGCCGGTTGCCCCGGCTGGTCCTGGTACTGTGGAGGAGGTCGAGTCAGGTGTCTCTGCAGCTGCTGATCCTGCTGCCGCTGCTTCTCCTAAAAAAAAAAAAAAAAGGGCGGCATTATGGGTAAAGTAAATGAACAGCTCTCTCTAGTGACTTAAAATCACTCCATTTTGTAGGTTTGTTAATATGTTGACATTAAGTAGAATGCAGTGATTAATACAGTTAGAAAGAGAAAAACAGATTGAGTCGGACAATTCTTTATTGTGTTGAGGTTTGGGCTCCCAGATATTTAATCAAAAAACCCTAAATCAATGTTTCTATTTCCATAATGTCCCACCAAGGCTACTCGGGGTCACCAGAGGTCACCTCCTGAATTAAATGGGTGGTTTTCATCTGCAGCTCTGAAATAATAGAATCTTTAATCTCTCTGGCTTTCAGCGTGGAAAATATTCTAAATATAGTGTGCACTTACACTAATAGCAATTCTTTTACTATCTTATTTTTACGTCTCGTATTCATGAAAAACTTGTGACCTTTATACAAACGCTGTGAAGTAAAGACGTCCAGTATTAAAAGTGTTATCAAAAACAAAAAGGTTGATTTGGGGGCAAAACACATACAGAAACAGACTTCTTCTAAACTCTTCTTCGTCTGAGGCGAACCTCCATTTACCTGTTCCATCAGCTGCTGCCTCTGCAGGTACTGCTGCTTCTGCTGCTCCAGGATCTGCTGTTGATGCTGCTGCTGCTGCTGTTGTTGTTTCAGCGCCGCTGCCGCCGCTGCCTGACTGCTCAGGTACGCTGCGTTGCCATGGTTACTTGACATGGCGTTTGACCCCGACTGGGCAGCCATGCCGTTATTTCCAGGCACCGACGTCATGGCGCTGCCGGGGCCCGGGCCATGTGGAGGAGCCGGATAGGAGTTCTGGTCCTAATGAGAAGAGAAACATGTCTTCTTTAATCATAATAGTAATGATGAAATGGAGTACAAGTACACAGTAGTGTTAAAGCAGATCTACTTGTACAGGTACTAAATGGAGGACTAAAACAATAGTTTGTACAACTACAGCAAGAAAAAGTTTGAAGTTGAGCCTTAGCAGGAACAGAGCGTCCAAAGAAAACAACCAGCAGCTATATTTAAATGAAGAGAATATGAAAGGCTGCTTTGTCACTGCATCCCCCTCCTGACCCCCCTCGTCCACACTGCGCGTGAGCCTTAGTAACCAGCTGCCACACACACACACGCACGTCTGAAGCCACTGAACAAAAGGCCTCCTGCTGCAGACAGACTTCACCTCCACTCTGCGAACTCTGAGTGTCCATCTGCAGCCGCGGGGAGAGAAACCAGTACAACCCAGTGGGGAGCGAGCTGAGCGAGCTGATCGATGCTGCTCGGCTCAAAACAAGCTGCGTGCAACAAGCTACAAACATCTCATCCAGATTTATTAAAAGGCACAGCCTTGGAGAGGGACAACAGTGTGGAGACTCCGCCCACTTGGTGGTGAAACACCAAAAAAAAAAATCAGAGCAAAGCTGCATCAGAATCAGGAGACATTCTCCAATGCAGCATAATGTTCAATTTGTACATTATTGTCCATTTAGAGTAAAACAGACCATAAAGTAGAGGTGATTTAGGGTGAGGCTACACAGCGTCGTCTGTCTGCTTGTACACAAAAACATGAGGTATTATTGCCTATCATGAAAGAAATAGAGCGCTTCAGCAATGAGTCCTGAAACCTCTTCCACACTTCTCGTCTCAAAGTGTCTTTGGACATCACTTGTGCTCTTAATACCTGCGTTGAGATATGGGATTTCTCATAATATAATCAAATAACCCATGGAAGAGTCCGATTGGCTTTTGCCTCACTTCCTGTTGGACACGGTTGATTTAAACCTCCAAGACAACAGACCTGGGGTCAGTAAAAAACCTGGTAAAAGTTGAATGTTCTTCCTTTTGGGCTAGAGAGTTCTGTGAAGCCGTCGCTGTGTCAGAACACAGGGAGCCAGCAGGAGACTCGCTGCAGTAACAGACTCTCATTGTTCAGGCTCCCATCATGCATCACTCCGCCACAGCTGCGTGGGAGGCAGGAACTGGGTTTGTTTGTTAGATACCTCCTGAAGTCCACTAGAGACATTCATATTTAACCCACGGCCCTCCAAAACGTCCAACTTAAAGAATGCATCTTGTCAGTTTGTCGTCGCTAGAAGCTTCAGAAATCGCCATCATCAGATCTTTGTGACGGTCCTTTAACACATTGTATGTATTCTAAAGGACTTATTTAAAACGTAACTTAAAATAAACTGTTTACTTGAACTACATTTTGTAAAAATATTTCAATTCTGAGCACCTCAGGGAAACTATGAAACCATGATTCATTCATCCGAGACAACGGTCATGTGACAGTGAATCAAGCTTTGATGGAACTTTGATGGGAGTAAACGCAGAGCAGAGGACATTAATAACACTTGTAACGTGTAAACATGTTGGACATGTAGAATCCATTGTTTGTGTGACCATGGATTTGTAATTTCAGTTATTCCAACTGTTATTCTGCACTGAAGACGTGTTCTAATTCTCTCTACTTCTGGCCCTGATGGTTTGGTTTGTAGAAGGACTTATTTTGAAGAGAAACTCCAAGACCACAAAGAAAAAACATCTTGAAAATGCTTCAGGATTTAGAGGGATAAACATCTAAAGTTCTATAGAGAAAGCATTTAGTTCAAAACCGACCTCATTCCGATTTGGGGAATGAAGGCCTGCGTGTGCGCGTGCGTGTGTGTGTCTTTGTCCAGGAATATGCCGTCGGCCCGGTTATGAAAGCTGAACAGCAGCCTTCTGATCAGTCCATACAGCTGCTGTGATATTAGCACCCATGCTAAAGTTAGGACCGATGCTAAAATTAGCATTCTAAGCTCAACCTTTAAAATTGCATGCCGTTGAAATTAACTTTCTCTTATTTAATAAATATAAAATTATGCGTCATTTTGACCTCTGATGACCTTCATATGTATTGTTTTGGTCAACAGAACTGCTCTAAAACAACTATTTTGCTAATTGATTAATTGTCGCAGAATTTGTTTAGCCTCTCAAATATTGTGATTTTCTCCATTCATATCACACAAATTAAACATTAAAGTGCAATTTTGAGTACGTGAAATTTTTCATCATTTTCTAGCAAGGAGATGAATCGAGCAATCTAGAAAGAGATCAGCTGATTAATCGATGATGAAACTGTAGACTTCCTCTGAAGAACCAGCAGAAGGTCCTCGGAGCTCTCTGGGTTCAGGGGGCTCGGTTCTTACCTGCGGTATGTGCTGACGGAAGTTCACGCTGTTCTTCTGTTTGATCTGCTGCTGCCTGAGCAGCGTCAGCAGTGCCGCCTTGCCGTTGTTCTGGGTGTTGGGGGGCCGCGGGGGCCCTGGCCCCGCCTCAAAGTGCGACAGAGGTTTTGTGTTGTTGTAGTTCAACATGGCGGCCGAGGACTGGGACCCCGGCGCCGGCGGGTGGCCGATGGGCGGCCCCGGCGTCGGGTGACCCATCACGTTGGCGTGTCCGGCGGGCCCTGGCATGTAGCTGCCAGCCCCCGCCTTGGGGGGACCTTTGTTGGGCTGACCGGGCATCAGCAACTGCTTCTGGGAGTTGAAGTCCTGCGGGTAGAGGGAGGGGCTGGTGGGCTTATCCATACCAAAGGCGCCCCCTAGTGGGCTCTGGGAGGCGTTGGCCATCTGGGGCCATGAGGCGGGGTGGACGTGGGGCCCCTGGCTGTGGAACTTTGCTCCTGGCTGCGGCTGTTTGTGCTGCATCTGACCGTGGAGGTGCTGGGCTCGCTGCTGCTGGGCGGCCAGCTGCTGGAGTTGCTGGGCGGGGGACAGGTCTTTAGGGACCGGGGGGCCCGGAGGGTGATGGTGGTTGGGGGGAGGCTGATGCTGCCTAGGCGGAGGGGCCGTCTGGGACAGGGGCAGAGCCGGGGACGAGGCCGAGGCAACGGGGGAGCTGGTGGGGTGAGGAGGAGGAGGAGGCCCGGAGGTGGCAGACCTGACGTGGGGGGAGCCGGTGCGTGAGTCTTGCTCAAAAGCCACAGTTGACGGGGAGAACTCAGTCTTCACGCTGACCAGATCTGGAAGAAGCAGACCCTGGGAAGACTGGCCTCCTCCTCCTTGGCCTCCTCCGCCTGCCCCAGCACCGCCCGGCACCAGTGAGTCTTTGCGGTCCTCCTCGAAGCCGTCGTTGAGGATGTCCTGGATGTCCTCATAGGCCACGGAGCAGTTCAGCTCCTCCATCAGCTCCCTCCACTCCTGCTCGTTAAGGTTGAGGTCGGGGAACAGGCTGTTGCTGCCTCCTCCCGGCGGCGGCATGATGGGCAGGATGTCGTCGGGCTCCTGCTTCATCTCCTTGCAGTGGAAGTCTGTTTCTGCGGACTCCCCGGCCGGCGCGTGGGTCCCGTTGGAGTTCAGGGCGTCGCTGAGGCCCAGCTTGGAGTCCAGCGGGGAGCCGTTGTCCCGGCAGGCCTTCTTGTTGGGGGGGAAGCAGTCACTGAAGCCGTTGCCCTGATCTCGGCCGATGGGCGAGCCGGCGTTCTCCAGCTTTCTCTTCACCGTTTCCTGCAGCTGAGGAACAAACAGACAAGGGTTCAGAACTACCAACGGGTCTTTTCCAACGCAGGTAACCCCCGCAGTTCACACCAAAGGTTTTGATTATCAAAACATAATAATAGGCAAGAAGATGGGATTCAAAATATCTGATGCAAAAGGACGTAGAAATTTGCTAAATATCTAATTTTCCTTTAACTGAATCCTTCTTTAAGCTCGGCCTTTACTATTGCTTTGTGTTTGTGAAAGACCAACTTTTTGCAAAGTCATTTACTTTAATAGACCAAAATAAAAATGTATCTAAGGGGCCGAGCTACCAGAGACTATGGTGAAAATATCGATTGATCTGATCAATTGACTCAAGTGAAACCTCAGTGTCTGCAATTCAGACACTTGCCTTGTGAAAGGAGTATCTTAAGGGTCATAACAGAACCTCTCTGTGCGCGAGTGAAATTCAGGCTCCTCCTCCCGGTGTCGGGCGCCGCCGCCCGTGCAGGACTAAGAGTTTCTGATAACGGAGTCAGCTGCAGGCGATGTTACGTAACGAGAGTAACAAAGAGCCTCCTCAGAGCAGCAGCGGATCGCTGCTAGAGCTCCGGATCTGCAGGGAACATTTGGAGCGGCCTCCCGGTCGGCTGATGCGCCACATGTTGCTATCAAAGAGTTTTCCTTTGTTTGGGGTGGGGGGCATAAATCCTTGCAAGCTGTCAGGTGATTGGTTTGTGTACCAACACGTGGAGTCGACCGTAAACTGGCGGGGAACGGACGTATAAAAACACAGTATTTTTTATCTGCTATAAGCAGAAAGACAAGACATCTTAATCAAATCAGAAGATGGTCCAATTCAGAACAGCCAAATGTGGGTCGTATTCTGAATATTAGGATATTATATCTTAAAAGAAAACTGACTTCTTATTCGGTGTCTCATTTAAAATCTTGCAAATATACTGGTTTACTTTCACCAGATTATTTAAAAATAGTTAAAACTCTGAGCTCTGGTGAAACATGGACATTCTGATTGATTCACCTGAAACCAACTGTCATGGGACCATAAAACTTTGACTGCACTTCAGGAAGTGAACAGTGCAGAGAGGAGCTGTTAACAAGTTACATAATTCAATATTTACAACACATAGAGATGCCATGTTTTTACTAACAATGGTAGAATATCTCTCCCCTTCCCACTGTCTCCCTCCCTCCCACTCTCAGGGTGTTTTGTTGAGTCAGCAGTGGGCGTTTTAAGTGTTTTAAGTAAAACATGCTGACTATAGTGTATTTAGGGAATACAAGTTATATTCCTTCAGATAAAGTGGACTACAAGGAAGGAAGGAAGAAATAATGACTAATGAAAACTGTTGACTCAGTTTCTTAAACTTGAAATACTGGTCTGAGCGTTACCACGGTCACAGCACTGGTGGTAGGGCGGCCCATCTAACGTGGGTGGAGGAGGTTACAAAGCACAGAGCAGTGCAAAGGCATTCTGGGAGTTTAAGTCCCTATAATCCGTAGACGGCTTCGGCAAGTACGACTACTACGAGTCATCTTAGGTTAATAACTAATGATACTTCTACACTGCTGACTGATGATACCACCGTTACTACTAAAACTAACAAGGCTGGACTATTTAACTATTATTTTCTACAACTAATGATACCACTTACTAGTAAAATTAGTTATGATTAATAATTAAAGATACTACTGCTACAAGTAACCATACTAGACTTGTAACTAACGGAATTACTACACTAATAACTAATGACAGTACTAGTCAAGTATTAGAATCGACCGACTGGGTCCAAACCAATAAACACATTTTTTTTCCCCTCTCAACCCAACGTGATCAAATACGTAATAAATAAGTATTCCTCCATCCCATATTCAGTGCATTCTGGCATCACACGCACAATACAGGTAAATTACCCTAAAATTTCCAGTTCCCTTTTATCCACGACACAGACAAATAAATAGATAAAACAATGAATGATTACACACGTTGCTGGATTAATTCCTTCACCATGACTCACATGGTGATGGTTAGAGTCTAATTTAAAAGCAGTTAAACAGATTTCAGAGAGGCGAAGGTTAACGTGACAAACACACTAAAATTGATGGGAGTCAGTTTCGAAAAATCAGAACAATAAGAGATAACGGTCTCTGCAGAATGCTGACTGAAGCCTGCTCAGAAGATACTGAAAGTCTGTTATGGCTGAAACAACAAGGTCTGCATATTTTTCTCAACACAGATTTAGACAAAAGGCTTCTAAATATCTTTAGTGACTCACACTGAAGGTTCTGTCTCTCGCCACAAGAATGTAAAACATCCAGCCCTGTTACGTCAGCTGCTCGCGCTTCCATTGCATTCTTTCCTGCAATGGAATCATTGTTTCATATTTTAATCAATAGTAATTATTTGACTTTACTGCGTGGTTATTTTTATTCTATGTGTTTGTAAACACACTAGTAGCAGACCGATGAGTCGTCTGATAAAATCAATATATAATATAACAATAATCAATATATAATTAAAGATGCTTGGTTTGCTCCATAATGTGTTGTAATGACATGTTTACAGCTATGCAAGCTTAGATGTACTGTTACTAGTTATTGTTGTTAAACCATCTCAAAAGGTTCATATCTTTGTCAAAACTCTTTGGAATCATTGAAAATAATTATTTATGTGTTGCTTTTGTGTAAAAGCGAGCAGGCTCAGATGTATTGGTAGGTTACATCTTCCATCAACATAGGACATTTTTATGATATTTCGGTAAATAAAATAAATGGATTTCTAGATAATCCAGGAACTCAACAATTGTTGATTGAGTTATAAATAAATCTATAATATTACCATTGACTTTTCATATTTACTACTTAGATAAAAACAATAGTCCATATCAATATCGGCTCCTAAACTCAATTTTCAAAAGGCGACGTATTAACATCAGGGGAGTGACATCGCTACCCACAGGAGCCAATCACAGCACTGCAGAGGCGACGTGGAGCGTGATGTCGACAGAGCAGAGCAAGGCGTTTCCTGAGTGTGTTGTTATTCCAACACACAAACACAGTGATGCGTCAGCTGTGGGGGGGGTTTCTATTGGTACTGAGTCACCTCACAGGGCTCCAGTCAGCACGGAGCACTCTGGAGCAGACAGAGGGTGGAGTACTGCTGGTATCAGTTAAGACTTTAAAATACTACACAACACCCACACAGAAATGGTCAAATTATTTTGCATTTAAAGTACCGGTAGCAGGATTTTTGGTCTCTGCATCAGAACCGCGTATCGAGCCTCTAAAAAACTTTTTCTAAAAGAACCCAAAACCCACTCAATTATCACAACATCTGAAAAGAACCTTCATTTCAGGGCTTAAAAGTAAGCGTGTACTCTGAAAAGCACCACCCTCAACTCTGAGAATAATAATTAGTTATATTACATGGGCTTCTCTAAAGAGACTGGAGCCTTTAACCAAGAAGGGTCGCTCGGAGGCCGTGACTATTATTAAATGAAACGAGACAAAGAACGAATCGTTTTTACTAGACGGACCCATTCGGGGCTGAAATGAAGTCGCCATGGGAAAATAAAGCTTAACTGTTATCAGAATCATAACATATTATTACAGCTCAACAATAATGTAAACAGAAGGAGCTGAAACAAGTGGTATTACAAACAGATAATCACTCCATGCAAATGAGAATATTATGGATGTCTTGGCTGTCATTTATTCTAAGAGTAATATTTAGTTTTCAGTGAGGCCTTGATTTTTTAAATTCAGCCCTTTTTTAACTTAAAATGAGTGACGTACAATTATTTATGATAAGATCAGACATTATTACGTCATTCAGTTAATTTGGAAAACTTGTTTAGCTTTAGCTGCTAAATTAACTTTCTTTATTTGATTGGATAATACAGAAACAAAGACATTTTATTTCTGACCTCTCCAGGAGTAAATTGTGGAGTGCCTTGAATTTAAATTAAATACTCCGGCCCTCTATGATCCTCACTAGAACCTAAAACTGACCACAAGAAACCTTTAAAAGAACCGCTGAAAAGAGATTCTCTTGAAGGAACCCAAAACTCAGCAGAACATTTTAAAAAGGGGCTACTAGAACCTTCAGTTACCACTAGAACATGCTAAAGAGCGAGGAGAACTCCTCTATAGAAACTATAAAAGGACCATTAGTACCTCCTTTAAACAGCAAATCAAACACACACAAACAAACAGTATTTAAAGCACATAAACAGTTTGTCTATCTTATATAAGTTTACTTTTTACTCTTTAGATGATGATAAGGGACACAACATTGAAGAGCCGTAAACCTAATTGTGTGCCACTGAAGTAAATATGTTTTGTTTTTTTACAAACTTCAAAGATGTAAATTACATCTTGAGAAAATAGCAATAAGTGGGATTAACTCCTTCCCTGTGAGCACTTCTACTACTGATAAATTGTTTTGAGAACAACCATAAATGCTTCCAAACGTGTGAACTATCAGTAAAATCTACTTTGTTGTTATCCAAAAGGTTCAAACAAACACACACGCCAGTGATCCGATCTCGGTGCCAGTTTCAGTAGAGATGATTTAGACATAAATATTAGTAAGAATGGGTGTTTCAGGCCAGTTCTCAACAGAGATTCCTAAATTCACTTGCAGCCGCAGGACTTTATTATCTAATCTCAGCAACAAAACAAGATTCCTTCAAATGCCACCCATAAATATTTGGGATTATCAAGCCAACAGTGCACTTTGATTACGTCTCTCTGGATAAATGTATCAAAAAAGTACTATGAGACGAAACCTAATAATGTTCTAGTGTTTGAGTTGTAAACATCGAAAAGTAAAAAATAAACAATTTATAATCCATAAATGATGAGTGATTAAATCTGATGAAAAATGTCCCGTTTTGGACAGAATAATCAAGAAAGCAGAATCAATAAAGCAGAACCAAGAAGGAAACTAATTTGGACAAAAAAATAATAAGTAATCTTAAGTTAACGTTCGCTGTGAGTATTCACACTTTATTTGATTTGCCAGGAGGGTGTAATGTTGAGTGTAATGTGTGTCCAATACACTCTTCTGCATTGTAATCTAAGAAATAGCACGTGAGACCTTTAAAAGACTCAACAATAACAGTGAATCCATTCATCTCCAGCGGGAATGGGTTTACCAAGTTGCACATGTCACACACTCACAGAGCAGAGCCCTTGGACCATCATCATCATCATCATCATCATGCAAAACATGGGTGTGATAGTATTGTTCAGAGAGTCACACTGACATTCCCGATTAAAGCAATCTGTAAATATCTGATTTAAACTGAGCACCAGCTGATTGCCCCGACAGCTGTCCCTGTCGGGAGGTGTATTAATGCACCACCAGCCCGTGGTGGCGTGTTTATGCTCCACCGTCCGGTCCATGCCCGCTCACTCACCGCTATCAGGGTGCTGCTCCGGCTCTGCTCCGCCGCCGTGGTCCCTCCGCTCTCCACGAGCTCTGCAACACCGCCGCCGCCTGCACCACCACCACCGCCGCCGCCTGCACCACCCGTTGCTCTCGGTCCGGCCTGGTCGCCGCTGGGCTGCGGCTGGCGGTGCTTGTTGGACCGCTTGGCCTTGGCCTGCAGGCAGCGCTGGTGCAGGGCGAAGGTCTGCTGCCTCTCCAGCTCCAGCCGCTCCAGCGTCGCGTTCTCGTAGCGACTCTCGCAGCTGTTGTGATGCTGCCGGAAGAGCTCGATCCTCCGGCGGAGCCTCTCCATCACCGCGCTGTGTCGCGGTGTAACAAAATCCGCCATCATCAATATAAAATACTTTGTAGTAGTAGTGTTTGTGAAGAAAAAAAAAAAAAAAAAACTCCGACTCAGGTTTTGTCCATAAAACGCTGAATTACTCGGCTCCTACTCTGGGCGTCTATAGACCCCCCTGCACCCCCTCCGCCTTTACAAAGACTCCTGTGCTGGCTCCATGGAGGCGACCTTTGTCTTGCTAATGGCCTTCAGTCACAGCCGCACTCACTACCGAAGACACTAACTGAGGTTTATGTGTGCGACACCACCTCCCGACTTTGCTCTATGTATGGATTAGAAATTGATGCTTGTTTAAATGGATGCGTAAAGAAACATATCTGGTGTCTTGTTAGAGCCACATTACGACCGAGTATAACCCCAAATCGCGTGGAAAAAATCTGATTAATCTCTGCGGTATAAAAAAAGCAACACAAAGCCCGCTGGTTTAAGTGAATAATAAAAATGACACTCCTTCCATTTTTGAATAAATGAAAAGGTGTGCTCGCTCGCTATCAAACTAACTGCCGTTGAGCTAAGTTAGGTTAGCAACATTCCTCCACTTAAAAAAATCAAAGTTGGAGCGTCGAGAATTCCCTTAAAAACTATAATAAATTGGATATTTTTTGAAGCAGCTGGCGTCGACCTATAGCTCACACGTTCACGTGTTAGTTCAGGATAACGCAGTTGTCCGTGGGAGCATCATAACGGCTCTCCACTTTGACCAAAACTTTTATTTTTGCTCGGGTATTAAAAAGTAGTTAGCTTGGTTAGCGGGGACAAGACGAGCTAGTTAGCGGGCTAGCGCTGCCTGCTAACAACTTCACAAACTTGGCAGCGATCGATCAGCCAGTAAAACCGATTGTGTTTATCCAACACGTTACTTGAAAATAAGCGAAAAGACTTTCCAGGTGATTTAATCTTATTTAAATTCACTTACTGTGAAAGCGTTGCCGTTCCGCTCCTTCCTACAGCATCTGTCTAGCAAACAGCTGATCCTCCGCCTCCTTGTAGCTGCTAGCTGCTAACACTATGCTTTACGGGTTAGACGGGCTACCGTTAGCTCGACGAGGAGGCTAAGTGGCTAGCCCGAAACGTCTAAATAAAGCATAGTTATTTATATTAATTTCTCCCGAGGTTCCTGGTGCGGATATTCCTTCCCACCTGACAGAGACGAAGTCGGGATATGTATGTTTTTCGAGCGTTTATGTCCAGTTAAAACGGGCTTACGCTGCCCCTCCAGTGCTGCTTCTATTGTTTTCCAGTGGACAGGCAAGGCTACTCCGCCATCTTGGAAACTTTCTCTTTTTTCCATCAGCGACAGGAGGAATGTGTTTGCTCCCGCCTCGCGGATGAGTGACAGGACAGCCAGCCAATGGACAACGAGGACAACTTAGGATACAAGAGGGACTAGTGAATATATAAAATACATAAGAAATGAGTTATAATATAGTCATAAAACATTGTAATTAAATCTCAGGTTTGACTGAAATGTATAATCTATGTATATCATTACGGTCTTTCAATAACCTCATGATACTCCAATATGTATTTGTACCACTTATTTGCTGCTTTTCATAGTTTCATAGAAAACAAATTAAAGAATTAACAGGACAATGTCACTTACAAATCAACGAAAAAACATTACAAGATTGTACATTTATCTTAACAATTTGCATGACAACCTTATTTACACGTAAGATTTTTTTTTAATATATGCTGCAATATAACTAATTTTTCTAAATTACATTCACTTTTGATTTAGTTTCATTAGGATGTGGTCTGAAAGTATTCTCATAAAATTATTTTTTCCTCTCGTATTAAATATTTGGTGCATTGCACACCTTTTTTTAATGTTGACTTAATTGTTACTCTATTGCTTTTCCCCCTGATATATTCTAGTCTTTAATCTTTGGCACAATAATGTATTCAGGCTTAATGTAAACGGTGCAATTAATGACGTCCTATTGTAACATGGCACTTTTTATAGTAAGTATAATATTAAGATATTAAGTTAGCTTTCTGAGAAAGAATCAAAATCACATTTATAATTAATTCCGTTTCTTTTGGCCTTTTTATTCATCAAAACAAATGTTGACTGCATGTCCACATACACACACTCACACTCATTCATACATACTCATCCCGGCTCCATCACAGTATTTCTATTCAAAGACAGACCTTAGGCCCACCTTTCTACATAGTGTGTACATCAGAAACAGGCCGCAGGACCAACCGTTACGTTTAGTTCAAAACACAATGTTGACAAATAAAAAATAAAAAGCAGAGTTACAGAGTCATGTAAAGTTTCACCAGCAGATACAGTGTTCAGTCTACAGTCGGTTCAGCTAGGCAGCTTCAGCCAGACACAAAAATAGAATCAGAGACAAAAACACAAGAGAGAGGACCACGAGAGCGGCTAAGACTGACACATTCCGGGTGGGAATGCCGGAGGAGGCCGCCGGTCCTTAAAGCCTGGAGGTCAACGAAAGGTTAAATCACAACACCGTAGGGAATAACATTAAGGACTACAAGCAGCGAAGCGCACAGCCAAAACAATCCTGTTTACCCTAAAAAAAAAAAAAAAAGAACATGAAGGTTATGGAAGCCGGAGATCCCACCGGCCACTTTCCCCCCGTTGGCTACTCGTCATGCTGTTGGTCAACAAATCCAGAATGAAAGTCCACAGAATACAACAAGAGGACACATCGAGGGTACAAGACTGAATTCATGTTACTTGTTTTAGCGAACAACTTTGACATTCACAAACCTAGCTTTGTTTTACTTTTTAAGCGCTTTGAATCAGTACACTTATGCTATGTGTTAGATCCTTCTGGATTATAAACCCAAAAAAGGATTTCCTGATTGATAAAAGAAAATTAAGAAACTTTACAAAGTTCATGATTGTTTTCCTCAGCATCACACCGGAGGAGAGAACCTTTTGTCCCGATGGTGGCGCTAATAGGTCAGGATTGCAGCCCAAAGCTACTGAAACTTGTTTGTGGTTGTCAGCTGATGGGGGGGGAAAAAAAAAAGAAAAAGATTTACGCTTTCATTTTGGTGACACCTGGTGGTTGGTCTCCTGTTTTAAAATGTGTCTGGCCTATTCTGCTCTCCTGGATGACATGATTATTAATATATAAACTGCAGAATACATTTCAGCCAGGTGTTTGCCATTTAGTTTTTCTTCACTCAAAGTTCACTTACTGGCTGTTAGCAGAGTCTCACAGTCTGTATCAACGGATCAAATTAGCTTACGTTGTCATCGCGTGACCCGGGATGATCCGGGAGTTAACCTCAAGTTCAGTTTGTTACGTCAAACGGCTGTTACCTAAACCGCCGAAATGGATTCAGGTAGCAGAGCGTCTGTTGGTGGAGGTGTCGACAGGTGACTGTTAAGCGCTTCACTCTTCCCCCTCGTGCCTTTCTTTCTGTTCACATGGGGTTGAAGAAAGACTGACTGGGTGTCGTAACGCAACATTAAAAGCGACACAGGCGATGCAAAGGTAAACTGATCCACGCCCAGAAAGGATCCAGGTGGATAAGAGGACCCAACGAGCTTTTGCCAAGTTTATTTGGACAGATAAAAAGTAGCTGTTCAACACAGAAGGTGGAATAAAACAAATCTACTCATCTACTACTAGAGAGTAAAAACCTCTTCTGCTGACAGAACCAGGTGTCAAAACACCTGCGTCCAACAATTAAATCCAAGGGTTCCTCTCAAACGGTTCTAGGCTCACTGGTTCTGACCTCTGACCCCCCCCTCTGCCATCAGGAAAATACACAGAAATACAGAAAAAAAAAAAAAAAAAAGAGCGCTGTGTGTGGAGCCAACAGCTTTACAACAAAACACAACTAAACTAGGAAATGACAAAAAAAAAAGGTATCAGCGGCCATTCTTATTAAATATTAGCATGATGGCTAATTACTAGCTAATTTGATAAATCTATGAAGGCCAACGGTTAGTAGATGAATTAGCGGCTTACCAGGCTAATTAGCTAGTTGTTGGTAATTAAATTACAATATCTGCGAACTTGTTAGCCGCCCCGTTGTTAACGCAGAAGTTTGTGGGAGGACAGCTTTAAAATAGTACAAGTAGCCGTATTACTACGGAGTTGTTCATGAGCCAATTAGCATGCTAGGAGACTAATTTGCAACACTTTTGGTGGCTTCATTTCCTGATAGTTTTTTTAAATCTCCCAGAAGGCTAATGGATCAACTGATTGCGTGAAGTGAATTGCATGTTGCTCACAAGCTGGTTGCTTGCCCTGCACACTAGACTTGTTTAATGTTCAAAGGGCTAATTGGCAATACGTTTGTTGAAAAATTATCGACTGTTTGTTGGATTCTGACCAATTTTAATCTTACTAGCACACTGATGTTGAGAGTAGCACTGCGGTTGAGGGGCTAGTAAGAAAGACGTTTTTAGATTTATATTCTTGACTTTTTGTTATTCTGACGGTTAACCTATTTAGCAGCTTGTTAGCAGGCTTATTGGCAATACGAATGAATTCAGAGTTTGACAGATAATTCGTTTGACCGTTAATTAGCACCAGATTACCGGCAAATTAGCAGCGTTTCATTTAGCTAATCAGCAAATCTTTGAATGTTTGTTGGATAATTGGGATCACAGTTGGCCTAATTGGCACCCTGATGTCAAAGCTAATTAGCATGCCGTTGGTCACTCAAAAAAGGATGCTGCTACTTCACATTGATGGCTAAGTAGTGGGTGTTGAAGGCCAAATTTCCATCAGTCAGGACACTAATTAGCGGGACGTTGGTAGGGAGGCGTTTGTTAGCTCAGGACGGCGCTGGGCGGTTAGCAGGCGGCGGGGGCGTAGCTGACAGGACACATTGATCCCATGACTATGAGTCTAAGGTGGAATGATGCAGGAAGTTTTAGTTAATCTCAATTATATTCTCTTTAAAAAAAAAAAAAAGGAAAAACCCTCAGTCCTGTTCACACTGGAATTGTGATTAGCAAGCATCCATAGGTCTTGATTAGTTTTCATCAGCTTTGCTGCTGCCACGGGGTTCCATTTAGTCTTCATTGCCTCGCAAGAGGAGGAGGAGGAGGAGAGGAGAGGGGAGGGGAGGGGAGGAGAGGGGGGGGCGACACTTTAGGAGGGGGTGTAGAGGTCAGATGTAAATAGAGATCTCAGTCCTTTCTGGCCTTCCTGTTCCTCGGAGATCTCCGCAGGACGTCGTCCTCCAACTTCTACACCAAAGGAACAAAACTTAGGGTTAAATTTATTCGTCCAGAGACAAGAGCTGGGCTGCAACAAAGTATAATCTTTCAATTGATTTTGGGATTAATTGGATTTTTAAAAAAGCCAGTATTTCCAACCCTTCATTCTAAAAAAGAACAGACTGCGCACATTGTGAAGTTTTGTTTTTGCACTTACAGGTTGCTCCTTGAACATCATTTATAAATAATAAAGAAATAGAAATTACACTACACTCAAACTTTCACTCAGACGCACACACCCCCATATTAGCTTGAAGCTTATTCATTAAATGATTACATCATTGTGAATTTATACACCACATTTAGCTCAGCTTAAGATGACCAATAGTCAATCATCAAGTCAAATTTGTCAAAAATTTAATAATACATTTTTATCTATTTTATTAATTTGTTGTTGCAGCCCCAATAAAGACCAAAACATTCTGTGACAAAGGTCACACCAGAAAACGAAAGTTACATTCAGGAGGAATTTTGCCAAGCTGAGACTTTAAAGCCACATGGTCATCCGTACTCTTTGTTTCTCACATTCCAAGTCTGCAAGAACGCCTAAAAAAATTGACTAAACAAATTCCCCCAAAAGAGTAATTACGCCCATATTAGGGAACGGTCCCTCTTCACCTCGTCAGCCGTCGCCTCCTTCCCTGCATCCTCCTCCTCGTCTTCTGCGGGAATTTCCTCTCCGTTCTCTTCTGCAGCGGCAAGAAAAAAAGATTTAAAGGTCAAGCTGACTGTGACGGACAGGTGAGTAGTGTTTCTTTGAATCCAGCCGTCGTAGATACCTGGACTGCTCTTCTCTTCGGCCTTGTCCTCTTCTTCCTCGTCCTCCTCTTCCTCCTCCTTCACGTCGGGCTGAGCTTCATCGGTCTTCTTGTACTCTGCTGCTGGTGTCTCAGGACTCTTCTTCTGCAGAACACAAACGGTGAAAATCTTCAGAAACATCACTTGCATTCATTCATGCGTCCAAAATCCACTGACTGAAATTATTACACAAAATAAAATCAGCAAATCTCTTTAGATCTGGATCATGTTTCTATATGGAAGAAGACATCAGAAGACTAAGACTTCCTGCACATTAGTCATTTCAGCTAGACAAAAAAAAATATCGAAATCCTCAAAGTACCTAAAGAAGTCAGATGAATGTAGCTAGTAAAAAGGCTACACGAGAAGTGAAGCTCCTACTTGAAATAAGTGCAGGCTGTTTCTGAGACTACGGACGTCCAAACAACAACATCATCACCAGCACAAAACAAACACGCAAAGCTACTACTATCATTCACCGGGCCCGAGGCGGGTTGATTCGAGGGTCCAGCTTCGTTAAACTCTTCCTGTAAGCTGGTGAGACTCAACTGACCCTGATCTGATCCTGAAGACCTCTGTGGAAGCCACACACATAAAAACACACACCAGACTGAGATAAGGCCGCAGGACGGCTCAGAATGATTCAGGTACATCGGCCTGGCACTTCTGAACTTTAAGTCTGTTCTTCTCAGCATTTTCCCTTGAGGTATTAAGACTCCTCTAACCGGCTAACAGCACAGTGTGTGTGTTTGTTTTACCTTGCCGGTGCAGCAGAAGACAATGATAAGGACGAGCGGTAGAGCCACAGTGAGGACGTAGACGATCCAGAGCCACGGGCGCTCCTCCGCAGCGCTCAACATCTGAGTCGCCAAACCGGGCTGTGGCAACACAAACAGTAACACATTAACACAGAAGACACACAAATACCGTTATCAAGAGAGAAAAATGATCATGTTTGACTTTGAAGGGACAGTAGTGGGGCTATGAGAGGTTTGTGTGAGCTTCTTCTATTGTGTCGGTTTTACTACATTCCTACTTTATAAGAATGTTCTTCTGTGGGAGCCTTTTTCCTTTAATAACAGCGCCATACAAAATGTCTTTACTCACATCGGCGGCGCCCTCAGCGGCCTTCTTAAGCCCCCAGCCGTCGGCGGCCCAGCGATCGGCGGTGGTGCGGTCGTCTGTGATGAAGAAGTTGTCAAAGAAGATGTCGGAGGTCATGGACCAGAGCTCCAGCCCCACGGCGCTGAACGCAGTCATCCGGAACGGCTGAAGGTCCTCGAAGAACGCAGGGTTCTGGATCTTCCTCGGCTTCCACACGCCCTGGAGGAAAGAAACGGGGGCGTCACACAAAAGGCCCGGACGTCTCGCCACAGGGACGGAGGGGGCGTGGCTTACAAACTCACCTGGTAGTTGGGGTTGTCAATCATGGGTGGCTTCCACTTGCCCTTGTGGTTGGGGTTGTCGATCATGGGCCGTTTCCAGGCACCGCAACCTGGGGCGGCCTCACAAGCAGGGTTGGGGACCTGAGGGGCCTCCCATTCGCCGTCCATGTCCTCGTCCCTGAGAAACACGGGGCACAGACGGATGAGGCGAGCGGGGTGGTGTCAAGGAGGTCCACTTACAATTACATATTTTTTTAATCAGCCATTCGGGGGAGCCACGGCTCTCACCAGTCTTCGGGTTTGGCAGCATCGGGGTCTCCAATGTACTCGGGCTCTTCGTCCAGCCAGCCGTCTGGTTTCACTGCATCTTCGTCAGGAATCTGAGCGGGAGCGTCTTCATCCCTACAGACAAACAAACATTAGTCAGATTATCTCATTCTGAGCCTGCTGATGATCAAACATTTGGTAACAGACTTCTAGAGCACTACGTAGTATGCGTGCTGACCAGTCTCCTATATATGATGAAGTATGTGTACTGACCAGTCTTCGGGCTTGGTGGCGCTGGGGTCCTGGATCTTGGGCCTCTCGTCCCAGTCCTCTGGCTTCTGGTCGTCGGGGTCCTCGATCTCGGCGGGGGGATTGACGGGGGGGGTCATGTCCGTCAACAAGCTGCCGCTGTTCACCACTGTCTGATCGACCAGCACCTCAAAGGTGTTATCGGGGTTCAACACTGGAGGAGGGGGACAGAGATGAGGAGTTACAACCTGGACGGATAATAATGGTGGTTCCCCAGTGTACAGGTATGTCTTACCCAGTGTGTACAGGTGAGTCTTCTTATCTGTGTAGTAGGTTCTCAGGTCAGAATCTGGCTTCTTGGCATGTTTCTCTTCATATTCTCCAGTTTTGGGGTTTTTGTGTCTGAAGATGAAGTGCAGTTTGTATTCCTCTCCACATTTGTCTGGTCCGAACATGATGGTATACGGAGTTTTATCCACGAACAAGTCCTGAAGTCACAAGAAGGTACAACGTTCACAGTCTAAAGCCTCTTTTCATACAGCTTTAACACTATATCATGCAACAGTTAACAAAGACGTGTTAAAGTTCCTATCTTTGTAAAAACCCAGCATTAAAATGTACTTCTAGTCAAGTACTGTATTGCCATTATAATCAATATTAATAGTCCGATAACATTACTATAAACTGACCAGGTTGAGGTCGGGCGTCTGACTCAGCAGTTTCACGTAGGCGCCACCGCAGTCTATGCCGGCCTGGAAGTTGACCTCGTACCTAAACACAACACGGACATGAAAGAAGTGAGTGGGATCCAGAGGAGGGGATCGAGATGTGTGAGAGGAGAACTTCTTACTGGACAATGAGCGGCTTGGTGTCGAAGGTGAAAGGTCGCAGCAGCTGGGCTGAGATGGCGTGGTGTTTGGCCCGAGACTTCAGGACCAGGCCTTTATCGCCGGGGAGCTTACTCTCCTTCATCTCCTCCACCGCCCATTTACCTGGTGGTTACATAATCAACTTATTCAAAAAACTAGTTTGATGGTCGGGTTACTTTCATCATCATCATCAAGTAAAAACCATTTCTGGTTCTAAATGAGCGCCGGTTTAACAGACTACAACAACGAATACTGCTTTTACATTAATATATAAATACAGAAATATGTTAAAGTGCTTTAATATTTGACTGACTATACTTACTGAAGGAATGATTTAGTGCAACAGTATTGTATTTGGACTAATAGTTTTTAATACTGTGGCATTTTTTCCTTCCCAGGAAAACAGTATTTGTACAGAATGGTACTTTTACTATGTGGTAATGGTACTCTTGGTGAAATAACACATCTGAATATCCCTCCCCATTCCTGCATAGTACTTTATGGATTTGTGATTAGTTGTTTACGGGTTATGGCTTACCGTCGTACTTGGCGATGTCTTCATCAGCGTCCTCCTTCTTGGCAACTGAAAGCACCCAACTGGAAACAACACATCGATTCAGGTACCCACACACAGGCGAGTTCACACAAACACACAACACACACGAGTACTTACCCATCTAGTGTCCCACGGTCAAAAGACTCAGCTATGAAATGTTCCCCCATCGGCTCTGGAGCCTTGTAGGTTACCTGAGGCGGAAGGTGAGGAAAGAGTTCCATGACAGAAAATACTTCAGGTGCATTTACATTTGGTTGCACCTTCATCTGAGGGATTTAAATAATGTGAATGAACTGGATTTAACACTTTGAAGCTCAAAACCCAAAAGATAAAAGCATGTTTGTTTTTAAACACTCCAAAACCAAAACTAAATTGTTTATATCAGCCAGAAGCTGTAATCATTTTTGCTACAATCTAATTTTTCTGACCATGCCTCAACACATGTATGACATATTTTGTTGGAAAACCGGAACCAGAAATAACCCGTTTTTCTAATCTAGAAAATGTTTTTTCATCAAAAATATTTTCTAGATTTATAATTATGCCCCAAATAATCAGTTATCTAGAAGAAGAAAAAAATAGAGAAACATAAAAGTAAAAATAAGATCACAGTAATTAACTACTTATATTTGTTATTTCAACTTAAAAGGTGACAATCAATATAGAACAACAAGCTGCTAGTTTTCTTTGTGAGTTTGGAGCGAGGCCTCGTCCACCAGCACCAGAAGTAACGAGCCAAACAGGAGTCCCACCTTGGGTGTAGGAGGAGTTTTTGGTGCAGCTGGAGCTTCGTCCTGCACGTCCCCTTCCTGGTCTTCCTCCTCGGCTCCGGCTAAACCCAAATCCAGTTCGTCCTCCACGTCCACGTCGTCACCAAGAACCTCCTCCATCGGGTCCTGAGCCCGAGAGAAAGGGGCCACACTGAGGCAGAGGAGGCCCACTGCCAGGAGAACCAACAACCCGACCTTCTGATCCATAGTCTATGAAGGGGGAGGAGGAAGAGAGAGGAGGGATAGAAGGGGGGGGGGGGGGGTGAGTTAGCACTGTTTTTACGTTCCTCACGATGTGTCCCCGGTGCATTTTAAAGCTCTACAGACCAACCCATGAATAAACCACTTCATCACAGACTGACGCCGCCCCATCATTAACACACTGGTTGTTAACGTGCGTCTCCCTGGAAACCACCTGTCGTCGGGGTGACTGAACACCACTCACAGGACGCGCAACCCTTAACGAGATTACTCTCACAACACACACACAGACTTACTCTGTTGCACATTGACACAGAGCCTGACTGGTTTATTATTAACACAAACATTTCACTGTGTAGTTTACATGTAAATTATGAAAACGTGTAGAACTGTGAAGACAATATCTGCTAAAATAGCAGTTTATTGCCCACCGTCTACGTCCAAAACAGGAAATTAATACAAAGATTATACTTTAAACAATAATTGAGTCACAAAAATCATCCAATGACGACCAAAATGATCAATTTTTGGAAAAAAAACATTTAACTTAGAATGGATATTATTTACCACTGAGATGGTCTTTATATTTGTAGTATATATTTAGAATTTTCAGTTTATACATTTTTTAAAGCATGTTAGTATGTTAGTAAACTGTTAGGAGCCGCCCAAAGGCAAAAAGGACTAACTTTATTTCCCAAAAAACTTTTACATAAAATTGGTTTTATGCTGAAACAAGACAAAGTTTTAACCACATCAGACAACTAAATTTTTATTTTTACTGATTGAATTACTTTACATGTAACGAACAACGCTTTTTTTTTTAAACTGAAGGCGTCGCTGCTTTGTGTTCGGGGGATGCGTCGGAACCGGCATATAATTACGTTGTTTTTTTTTAAATCTATTAAATAAAAGATGAACAGAGGCCGATGAACATTGTGTCAATTTGTATAAGAAGTCAATAATCCTGTGGGTGTGTTAACCTGCTTCTTTACTCACTCAGCATAGTTGGGGCTAATCAGATTAGTCTTCAGCGGGATAAGCATTCCCCGGCTAACGGTGCTAGCTACCTGGCGCTACCCGTTAGCTTAGCATCAAGGCTGTCTGGCCAAAGGGTTTAAGGGAGGTTGCTGAAGAGTCATAAAAAATATGAAATATATACATACAACTAACAGGAAAATCATTTTATGCCATGCATATTCAACGTATATTATATAACATTTAAAGTTATATAGAATCACCATTGTTCACTACATATATATTTGTGATCTAAAGGCGCTAGAGTTAGCTTTTCCTTGAAAAAAAAAAAAATGAAAATGGATGTATTTTTCAAATCCAGATAGTGGTTTAGTTAGAATTACTGTCTGTTAAATTCCTATTTATAAAAACTCCACCTTCTAATATAAACATAAAAAATATAACATTCTCACACAACAGCAGTAGTCTTTAAACAAACAATGAATTATTGAGGACTATTTCTGACGGTGGAAGAACTACTACTACTTTTTGTGCAACATCATGTTCCAGTAAGCCCTCTGATTGGCAAATAACAGCCGTCCGCCTCAAATCACTCTAGCAAAACAAGCTGAAGTCGGGTTTCTCGGATGGAGGGTCTGGATTTACAGTTAGTGACTTAATCTGATATTAAAGGTTTATTTAGCCTGCAGGACATCTGCTACTCCTCCATTTGAACATCCGATAACAAAAACTGGTTCCTAACTGGGTTTGATGGGAGGTAGCTGTGGAGAACGACTCCAGTGTTATACCAGACCGGATGGGCAGGTTACTATTTAAAATAGAAAGAGCCGTTGTAAACACAGAATGAATGGCTTAGAGTGTCAACTACAAATGTGTCCCTTTCCCCCCAAGTTTATACTTAAAGCATTCAGTGAGTTTAGATTGATAGATCTATAATAAATAAAGATAAATGTAATGTTTTTATGGTTGTGACCAAAAGGAGAGGATTAATGGATTTACCTAAATGTGCACACACACACAAAAAATCTAAGTATTAAAAAAAGAAAATAAAAATCAATTGAATTGATTAAAAACAATAATTTTATTATTGATTTCATGCTTCTTCCTTATTTATATATGTGTAAATATTCACTGCATTCTGCAAATGTACCTTCAGAATTCCAAATTTGTAGTAGATTTATTTGGCTACCAGAAAAGAAAATGGCTTCAGATTTGTGAATTAGAAAGATTATGGTATTTAGGTCTTTTTTTTCTTCTTTTTTTTTTTAAAAAGGCCAATGAGAATTTAAATGTTTCACTTTGCAGGTGAGAAGTTCGAATTTGTGTAGCTGGTTTGTGCAGCACGCCGCCCTGGAGCAGGTTGAGCTGGTCGGTCCGCTGCATGAGTCAGTGAGACCGGATCACACTAGCCCATAAAATCAACTCACTGGTGCCCATTTCTGAACACAAGACCCTAGAGCTGACTTTGTAACGGTTGGGAGATTACAATTGTTTTATGAATCAAATTGATTCATCAAAACAGATTGAACATAATTAGTTTTTTCTCATTTCGTGCCCTTAAAACTCCACATAAATTGGCCTGTATTCAAATAGGTTCTAGTGTTGCGATGAACTAGGACAAGATAATGCATCACATACGGGACAGGCAATCATTTAAACAACTGTTTTTTTTAGAGGAATTGGATCTTCGAACACTGAAGTAAAATATTGATTACATAGAGGCATAAATTGAACAGATATGGGCCCTTTAGTTAAGTACCACAACCATCAACATCCCTCATTTTTAGTGATTTAGACATGTACTCATGAAAAAAAGTCATGTTTTCAAGGTTGTCCATCCCATGAAAAAATAAATATGTATACATGTTTTGTTGATCATTTCATTGCTGACAACTAGTGGAATTGTTACTTCATCTTTAAAAGTGAATGATTAATTAAGTTAAGTAACGTCAACTTGGATAGAAGGTCGCAAATACTCGTTAGTTAACGGCTCCATGTCTTTTCACTTGTTTACACAAAATCCAGCTTCACATTACTTATAAGAAAAACAAGAAAGACTCATTTAAAATTGATAAATTAGGGTCAACTAATGCAGCTAACGTGCTAACTGACCCCATGATAAAGATTCCTTTTTTATCACTTCACCACCACATCATATTTATATTCGGTAAAGATCATTGAAGGTATATAACTTATTTAACTTTATCGAGGATCCGCCGATTTCCGCTACGAACGCATCTGACAATTAACTAACGTTAAGTTAGCTTAGCTTAGCTGCGATGCTGCCTGCGAAGGAAAATTAGCTACGGTTTTCTTGGAATATGAAACACGAGGGGACTTTTAAGTCACTTTACTTAACAGCAGCATCAATCTCAGTTAAATACATCGTGAGATGTTTATGGTTCGGGGGATATTGGGCCAATGTAGCATGCTAGTTTGATAGCTGAATTCACCTGCAGTTAACGTTAATTAGCCCCAGTTAGCTACTGATGCTAACGGCGTGCTGGAGGCACGGATATTCGTTTTCAACGACTAAAATGGCTGTTATTTTAATCATTAACATACTGAGAGTATTAAAAAACGACATTTCTCAGAAAGCGCTACTCTCCAGCAAAGCTCCCCGGTAATAGGTGCAGTTTATCGGTCTCTTAACTCACCTCCGGCTCTTGGATGTAAACGCCTCGGAACGACTGAGGAGCGTCACATGGGATATTGGAGGGCACAAACCACCGCCCCCCGACGTCGCTGATTGGTCAGTGAGAGGAAATATTTGACGTCGCCTGTCAACGGTCAACAGCTGATTGGTCGAAGGGGGAATTTCGGTCGGACATGACAGCTGCCTGCCTGCCTCCCCCACCCCTCCCCGAGCTGAACCTCGTGGACAGCGTTGGTTGGTGGAGCTGTCAGAGGAAGTGCTCGCTGATTGGCTGGAACCAGGGTGAAGAAAAGGACTGCGATATGATGCTTGAGGAAAATACCAGAATCTTTAGCGATTGTATTTTACCATAAACATTTAGTAACCTTTTGCGTTCAAATTAAAGTTTTGTATATTATGTAAAACTAAATTTGATGATATAAACATAAATCAGATAGTGTAATGGTATTATCCAATTTTAACGTGAGAAATATAACATTATAAAACTATTATGTGTGTACTGGTATGTAACTATATGTACATTGCACATAGATAAATGCAAAATTACTAGAGTAACATCCCGTTTCACTGGACAACCCCATGTGGATCCCAATAAAACCACACATTAGTATGTTCCTTAAAGAGAGCCAGACTATCCATTACCACCTCCTCCCAGTCTTTACACTAAGCTGAGCTACAAAGCTAACCCTGTCTTAAATCTATATGAGCAACCCCCCCCCCCCCAAAAAAAATATACCATTCCTTTAATCATTTCAGTGCAGAGCTGTGGAAGTCATGTGATCTCCATCCATGTGACCCTTTGCCTCAGCAGACCACACAGCACCAGTCTGCTTCTTTTGTTCACTTGAATGAAGCACAGCACTGCTTTTTAAACCTCCTTGACCTTGGAAATATAGATTTTTAAGGAACCATTTCTGTTCAGACTCATAGAAAAGTTCAAAACCTGCTGCCCCAATGCTAAAATGTGTGTGGTCAGATGTCAACGAATAGACTTACTAATCAGTTTAAACCTCTTGAATCTAACCAGGGTGAACATGTCAGACTTTTATTGTGAAGAACCCATTTTTCAGGGCCACTCTGGATTACTTCCTGTCACCTCATAGGGGGGGGGGTTCAATTCACACCAGCAGCTTCTCCTTAATTGGCTCAGTCGCAGCAGAGTGATGCTTGGTAATTTTCCCTTTGATTAACTTGAAAACATTTTCAGAAATCTGTCCACCAAAACCCCGCCCCCAAGCCGGGAAACCAGAAGGCCTTCCGCCACACACCTGCGCCCAAATGCAAAGAAAATCATTTAAAGTTCCGTCTTTATTACAAGTCACAGATTGGATAGAAGTTGAGGATCATTTAAATAGTTTTTATCTAAAGGATACAAAAGACAAACACAGGATTATAGCAATGCATTCCAGTGCATCTTATAGAGAAAATAAAAAGACCTAGAGATATCGCTCAGTTCTCTCCAGATCTGTGTTTCTTTTTCATCTGAAAATCCAACAAGGAAGTTTTGACAGAAGAGCTGATCTTGTGGAATTACTAATAATTAATAAATAACTAAGCAATCAAAGGATCTTCTGATTTACAGGAACATAAAAGCCTTTTTAAAATTGTTTTTATTCTAATCTGAATTCTGCATATTGATTGTTGATGTCTTGGTGGGATTATTATTATATTAATTTCAAGCCCCGTTGGCCGCCCCCATGAAAACACAAGGACATGTGGACTCTTTAAAGAGTGAAAATAATAATTTGAGGGAACACAAAGAGACTAAATCAAGGTAAAAAATTAAACCCGACGGTTGTTTCAGCAAAAGAGTTGACAAGAGATTAAAAGAGAGAGAAAAGACATGAATCTCTGCACCTGTAAAGTACACAACAGCAAAGGAAACTCGAGTAGCGGACGAGTACGTAGGAGTACTTTAAAGTACTCTTAAGCACCTCGGAGTATTGCATTGTACTGTAGAGTATTTTAAAGCACTGCAAAGTACAGCAGAGAATGTAAGAATATTAGAAAAATAATAGCACTGAAATACAATTCTCGTCCATTGTCTCATTGTCTTACTGTCCAATGCTGTGCACCAGCCGCCATGTCAAATTCCTTGTGCGTCTAACATATTTTGGCAATAAATGTTCCTGATTCCTGATTAAATGACTATAAAGTTTATTAGATGACTGCAAAGTTCATTTTAGTGCTGTAAAGTACAGTCAGTTCAAACAGAACTGTAGCACAATTTAAAGTACTTTGAAGTAAGTAAAGTACTGTAGAGTAGTGTAAAGTAAATCAAAGTACTACAGCAGTAGTCTATAACAAGGCCTCAGTTAACTTAAAATAAAACAACTTTAAAAGACTTCTTTGAAAAAGTGAAACAACAGCCGTCGTCATCAGTAGTTTAAAGCAACATAGATGTGTGAAGGCCGAGGTTTGCAGCAAAGGATTCTGGGTACTTTTGTCCGTGGACCAGTCTGGGTTTGAAGTGAGTCTGCTCTTCGTCTTCGTTAAGGCAAACCTATGAACCCCCCGAGCAGCAGCTACAGACGCACATCGACACACTGAGAGGGCATTCATATGGAAGTGTGTACATCTCTATGCATATATGCACATACACGGTTACTGTTGAAGGGGGAGGGGGGGGGGGGGGGTAGAAAGGCCCGGACCAACCGCCTACAAACAAGAAAGAGGCCTTTTGAGTCTTTTGAAGCAGCAGGGTTTAGAGGATGTGGCGCCGTTGCCTCGGCGACTACCAGTGTTTTCAACATCTACCCTTTCCTGTATATACAACATAAACACAGCTTCCTCCTCAGCCGGCAGGGGGGGAGCGACCGGGAGGCCGGCCTTCAGGGTTCAGGGTCCTCTTCGGCCACTGCAGCGGCAAGGTCCGTCCAGACGGAGGGGCTGTGGCACCGCCGGTGAGAATCCGGGAGGTTCACTCTGCTTTCTTTATAAAGATCTGAGTTGGGGGGGACCGGAGAAAAAAAGCGTGAAAGCGCGGTTAGTACAACACGTCGTGCAGGAAGATGATACAGTTACGACAAGTGTGTACTTAAAGCTCAGAACATATTTAACATACTTATCCATAATAACAATAATAATATTCAATGATTATCAAGGTCTACATTTTTTAAAATCCCACGTCCCGTTTTCTGCCGCTGACATTAATTGTTCATTATTGCAGATTCATTTTATTGGATATGGAGCCCTTCGTTTGATTATATTTGTTGATTGACACAGCTGATACCTAATTTGCAACCCCCTCAAAAAAAAAGTCAGTAAACCATCAAATATTAAAAATGTTATACTTTTACTTTGCTATGGTAATTGTATACTATATTTCTAGATTGATTCATTATTATGTTTAATGGTGCATAGTAATGTGTTTAGAGCTTTGTGTTAAGAAGTTTAACGGATCTATTTTATATTCATGTGAAAACATCACCAACACAACATTTTACAGTTTAAGTGTGAACACGTGTCACACATGAGTGGAGACAAAACTGTATTTACACCCTGATGGTTAGCGATAAACTTGTGAATGTGAGAGGGAGCTGTACTGATTAACATCAGTCCGTTACACCAACTTCATGAAAGCCTCTCAGACTAAAGCGTTCTTCAAAGGATTAACATGGAGATGGCTTCTCCTCAGTGAAAGGTCAAAGGTCAGGGGTCCACTCTGCTCTCTGGTACAGTGGAACTAATCCTTATACAACGCAATACTTTGAGGGCGGTTAGCTTCCACTAAAACAAAATTACTCTTTGACCTTTGAAGTTTTTAAGGGTTATTTGCAGATGTTTAGAAGTTGTTCACTCAGCTCTAATTATTTAGATGGTGGAAGGCCGCTCAAAGCCTCTCCAAAACCTCAGAAACATGTCATGAATCTCCCTTTCAAAAGCATCCAGGAAACACCCTTAAGGACTTCTGGAATCCCGTAAAACATTATTGTCAAGGACACGGAGGATGTTCCATAATACCCCCTGCTTTTCAAGGATGCATCATTGACCCCCCAAAACCCCATGAAATCCTATCACACGCTCCTAAATGGGAATTCCTAAGAAGCTCTAGAGCGTGGTTTTGGTGCCCTCTTTGAAGTCCCTAGAACCTTCAAGGACACCAAAACCGTATCATATACAACCCTTTTAAAAAACGATACCTCTGAATGAGCATTTGGAACAACTCAATAGAAGACCTGCTGGAGGCTTTGGACTTTGGATCTAGACAAAGAAGACGGAACATTCTAGACATCCAAAAAGACCAAAGTTGGTACTTAGTATCTGATGAAATCCAATCCCAGTATCAGTACCTGTCTGATCTCCATGACCTCCCGCAGGGACGACATCATGGAGCATCAACCAAAGAAACCTCTTTGAAAGGTGTGCAGCCTTTGTAGGCATCTTCCTGAACCCCTCCATCTACCTCTCAAACCTCCAAAACCCTTTTTGGAACGACTTCAACTGTGGTAACATCCTTCTTAAAGCCCCGTAAAGCGCTCCAACATCTCTTTAAACCCTAAATCCAGACCACCTCCGCAGGAACCCATGAACTGAAATGAGGAATCGAGAACACGCTCTTTTTTTTCGCATTGTCACGGTGTGGTTTTATTTCCTGTCTTATTTTGTAGTTTTCTGCTTCTTGTCTCCCTGGGTAACTTCACTTCCTGCCTTGTCCTGTCATCCCCTGTGATTGTCTGAATGTTTCCACCTGTGTCCAATCATTTGAGTCCTGCCTTCCCCGCAACCCCTGACACGCAGGTACGATAAGAACCCTGGTTCTGGTCCGGGCATTTTTTTTTACCTCGCTGAGGATCACCCAGACCGGCGAGTCCGTCAACACCGAGAGCCGCATGGCCTCCAGGGGCCCGAAGGTGGGGTCCACCTCGCCCTCCGCAAGGCCGCTCTTGAACGTTCCTGAAGAAGACGAAGGTCAATGAGATCGATGCACCCGGTGACTGGAATCTATGGCACTGTCTGGACTCACTCCCAGAATGCATTGCAACCCTAAAGCGGTTTCTCCAATAAAATCAGAGCATTCGGTAACTTATATAAAAATGAAGGATTAGACAGAACATTTAAATATTTGTACAGTTCATGCCAGTAAAGAATTTGTTACTTTCAGATGATGTAACGATATTGATAATGTTGATGCGTTAATAACAAATTATTTGGAGTATTAAAACTAATTTTAATAATGTTGTGATTTAGAATGTTAAAGTATTGATTACTATTGTTCTTTCTTTATTCGTTGATAGTAATTAAAGGGTTTTTATGCCGTTTGAGACGATTGTCATGGTTGTTAATGTAACCAGAGATCCATGAACAACTACTCATGAACGGATGTTTCTTTTCCTATCTTACATTCATTCGTCCTCCTTGGAGTCTTGTTCAGTCTTATTTTCTTACAGTGACGGTTTTTGTGTGACTTCACCTCAACAGTGCGGTAATCCCTTTGAGGATTTACTCACTGGGATTATCACGTTGCCAGGTACGAGCGTGTGACCGATATCCCTGCAAAGAGCAGCGTCTCGGGGGGGCTTATTGTTCATCACCAGGTGTTATTGTTGCTTTAATTCAATATCCAGACACGTGTACGACCGCCTGAGAGGTTTTCTCAGGAACAGACAGGACTAAAACATTGTTAACATGAGTCTCTATTGGACATTTGTGAGCTGACGTTGGCCTCAAAAGGAAAAGTCAGTGAAATCCATCCTCTGGGGAGCATGAATGTGTGCAATTTACATGCTTCTTTTGCGGTCAATTAGAAGAATATAGGACAAGTAATTGATCGGGAGTCAGTTAATGGAGTTTGTGTGAATCATTAATCTATGAATTACCTGGTAAACCTGCAGAAAGGCCTCAAAATAAAATACCCATGAAAACCCCATGAATGTAAAGTCCTTATAGACCTTTATGGGTTATTTCAGGGAATATAAGGCGATGTGAGCAGGATGTCGGAAGGCGGGCAGCTGAAATTAATAGAGTGAGGTAGAGCCGGACAGATCGATCCCCCGACTCACCTGAAAAATAGATGAAGGGAGATGAAGAGCTGCTGGTAATTTATGATGTCAGATTCAAACATGTCTCTTCTTCTCTTCGTGACTTTTGTTTCTTCTGGACCTACTTTTTACTACATTTCTCCAGGTGGATATAAATCGTTTGGACTGAAAGGTCAGAAAATACTTGTATGTTTCCAATGTTACATTGTTTTGTTTAAATTGAAAGGATATCCACTCGCCTATTTCCCAAATAATCCAGAATAAACTATTATTTCCTTTCAAATGTACGGGAAAATATTTATCCGTGATATGTAATATGATATCGCAATATTGATATGTATACATATAGTGCTAAAGTATGTATGAGTCCATCAAACTCATACGTGTTTTAACGCACTTATCTTATTTCTTTATATTGTTTTCATTTTTTGCTTGTATACTTTTATCTTATTGTATTCTATTTCATTCCATATTGCACCAATTCACCAAATTCCTCTGTGTGTAACACATGTGCCAATTTTGATTCTAATTAAGCTTAATAATTCATGAAACAGAATGATGGTGTACAAATAGGTAAGAAAAATAATAAGAAAAATAAGTCCTCACAAAGATAAAAGTACGGGACGACAAACACTGGAAGGTTTTCTCTGATATTTACAAGTTGGGCTGAAGATGCAAAGTTTACTTTTTTGGGAACAATCTCATTTGATTATATGAGAGTCAAAGCCATAAAAACAGAAGAAGTAGAAGAGTATTTAGCAGCAACTGCTACATACCAGAGGTTCATGTCGTACTTCGTTCTGTGGTACCGCTCAGGTGTTAAGTAGTGGCTGCTTTTTGTTGCTTCTACTGGCATTACATCAAATGAAATTGTTCCCAAAACAGTGAACTTTACATCATCAGCCAAATTTGTAAATGTTCCACAAAACCTTTCAATGTGTGTGTGTGTGTGTGTGTGTGTGTGTGTGTGTGTTGTCTTGTACTTCTATGTTGGTGAGAACCAATTTTGTTCTGCTCTTCTTTTGTGTAAAGATTTGTTTGAAGGTCAAGATTTGTGAGTCCTCACAAACGTAGGAACATGAGAACAAGTGTGTGCGTGTTTGTTGTCATCGCTGCAAGAAAACAAGGAGGAGGAGGAGGAATGTTGTCCTGAATAACTTTCTTCTCGTTAACACAAAGGTCGTTGAGCTTGTGACACATTTCAACCCGTCTCCTGACTCCAGTTGTAATCCTTCACACGTCGAGATCTCACAGTCTTCATATTAACTTTGTTCTCTTCTAGTGAGAAAACAAGAGCGAAACTCAACCCTAAACTCTTAGCAGTTGATTTGATCTTGTTAGACATGTGAAATTGTCATAATTAGGAAACTAATCCCTCCATAGTGGTAAATATGTGTTTTGTTAGGGTAAAAGTTACCTTTAAATTGAATAAGTTCCTGCATTCTCTCTCTCCTCTGTGAGAAAATGACTTCTCTCTTCATTTATACCCTCACTAACAATTGTACACAAGAGTTTATGGTCTCAATCTCTAGTTTCAAGCCTTCCTCGATACAGCATGATGTTTATTTAGTAAATTATACTTAATTTAGAGTCAAACAGACCATAAAGCAGCGGGAGATTCAGGGCGGGGCTACACAGTGATTGACAGGTCTCAACCACAGCGTTATTTTACTGCCTGTTTTCACTTCATAGATGTTAATCGTCACCCCAGAAACAAAATGCAACTCTTCATTGTTTCGCTTACTCACCGATCCTGATGAATCCGTCTTCTGTTCGATGGTACTTTGGTGCTTTCTCCTTCCCCTCGGTCAAAGCCTCTTTGTCTGCCTGAATGTTCTGGAAAAACACACAAACACAAGCTCAAATTCAAATGAATTATCTTTGTGAAGTATAAATAATGTGTAAATAAAGTTTGTCTGTTCTGTACAAACAGACTTTATTTACACATCATTTATAATTAATAGATCATGTATAATTCAAGTTTGTTTGTTCTTCACAAACAGACTTTACACATTATACATATATACAGAATTAAAGTAGAATTAAAGTTTGAATTATTCCGTACAAACATGATCCCATGTAAGTATGGTGGAAATGTCTGTTACATATTTAAAAAGTATACATATTCATGGCTGGATGGATGATTCCATTGATGATTGAGTGGATGAATGGATGTATAAGTAGATAGATGGATAAGTGGATATATAAATGGATGGATGGCTGCGTAGATGAATGGATGGATAAGTAGATAGATGGATAAGTGGATATATGAATGGATGGATGGCTGCGTAGATGAATGGATGGATAAGTAGATAGATGGATAAGTGGATATATGAATGGATGGATGGCTGCGTAGATGAATGGATGGATAAGTAGATAGATGGATAAGTGGATGGATGAATGGATGGATGAATGAATAGATGAGTGGATGCATTGTAACTGGATTAAAGACTCACGTCGAAAGGTAGAACCTCCACTGACGTGTTGAAGAGTTTGTCTCCCGGATGTTCGATGTTCCCGCTCCGAAAAAAAAACCTGATAGAGGAAGAAAGAAGTTCAAAATAATTTATAAATAAATGTATTGTGATTTTATATGTTAACCCCAAAGTGCCCTGAAGTATCTCATACTGTTGTTGTATCTTTGAGCTCAATTCACATGAAGCTCTCCTTCTTCTGCGCTCTTCTTGCACACATTGTATCTGAGAGTGTATCACCAGGTGATCCTCACACCCGTATAACACCTGTGGCTCCCTGGTGCTCACCTCTCAATGCGGACCGGCGTGAAGAATCGTATCCGAATGAAATCCCCCGCCACGGGCGTGAAGGCCCAGAAGAAGTCCTCCCCCAGGTAGGCTTTCTCCAGCGTGAAGTGCTGGTAGGTCTTCATGCTGGTCGTCACCTCCGCCAGCGGGTTAGCGTGACCCTTATGGAGGGTCTGTTTCCCAAAGTCCTTGTCCTGCAACGCATCGGGGAGGTCGCTGAGGTCAAATGTGGTTAAATTAGAACGTTTATTTCACATGCTTATCGGGGGAGAGGAGGGGGGGTCGTGTTCCAGTGTGTGCTCGTGTGTGGCCTCTCTGTATTTTTGGAGAGAGATGAAGATGACGGCATTGTGCGCCGAGCAGAAAGTAATGCTAACAGTCAGCCACCCGGAATTAGCCTTGTTCCACGGACTGGTATCGTCTCCAGCTGCAGATGACTAACGCACCTGTGGTTCGCTGCACAGACGCTAAAGATACGAGCAGAAGAAGCGCGGCCGCCGGCGTTATTGTGATGCACTTGAAAGGCTTGGAGGGCAGCGGCTGTGTTTAGCCTGCGTCTGCACGCGGCCCGAGCGTCCCTGAATTGCCCCCAATATGCCCCATTGATTGGAGCAGATCGCCGCGGCGGTCCTGATACCCGTCGCTCCGGAGGTAGCGACGGAGACGCCGGGAGACGCGGCGCGTTCGAGTCTGCCGAGGCGTTTGATCTCCATCCCTGTGGAGGCTAAACTTCAGCTGGACCTCATCGGCCTCCTTTCCTCCCTTCCCAGTCCTCCTCCCTTCCCAGTCCTCCTGCCTCCTCCCTTCCCAGTCCTCCTGCCTCCTCCCCTTCCCAGTGCTCCTCCAATCCCAGTACTTCCACCCTTCCCAGTGCTCCTCCGTTCACAGTCCTACTAACGTCGCAGTCACCCGGCGTGCCGCCGATCCAGTCCTCCTCCCCTCCTAGCCACTCCTTCCTTTCTCAGACTCCCGCCTGTTCGAGTCCTACTCCATCACAGCACCCCCTCCCTCTTGAGTTCCTCAGGTGTCACCTCCATGTTGTAACTGCACGTTTAACGGGCTGAAATACCCTGAAGCTTGAATGAATACAACCCCACCCAGTTACCTCAACATGGAAATGTTTGTATCAGTCCGGAACAATATCACAGGAATCTAAAGAAGTACAAATATAGTAATATTATTTATTAACAGTATACTTTATATAGAAATACCAGGATTAAGCAGAATGTGGCCGAACGATTTGAAGGCAGGACAAAATATAAATCTTTAATCTAAGACTTTATCCAGTCAGTGTGTGTAAGTATTACAGTATTTTAATGGACAAATCCAATTTAGATAAATAGATAAATCGCTATTGATAATTAGTGTAAAAGATCATTTTTGTTTGTGAAAGTATTTAGGAGAGAAATCGAAACATTAAAAAAAAGTACCGTAAAACCTGAAAAACATATAAAGTGATGAAAGTATTCACATTTTTAACTGCTGTTGGCGGATGTCACAAACACAGGCACACACACACAGACACACAGACACACAGACACAGACACACACAGTACCTTGAGCTTCTGTATCTTTCCAGCCAGAGACGAGTGAGTGCCGACGTGCTGGAAGAGCGACGGCTTGAAGCGGATCCTCAGGTTGGCTTTCTGCCTGTCGCAGTGTTTCTGAAGGGAAAAAACACACAAAATAAACGTTTCACCTTCTTCGACAGCAACACGACGACGAGGACCAAGCGTGGACGTTCCTCACCGCGTCCTTCTCCGGGTTGCACACTTTGACCCACATGATGTGGTCCAGCAGCCAGTCGATGGGTTTGTCTTTGTAGAACATCAACATGAACTCCACAATGAGCGACAGGTCCAGAGACTTGAACATCTTTCCTGTCGGTGAAGAAGAGGAGGGACGTCCACTTCAGTTTCCACTTCAATTCACCTGTTTTTAACATTTATAGAATGCTTGTAAAGCACTTTGTGAAATTATGTTATTGAACACATTATCTTGCAACATCGTCATGGTTTTGAATAGGTTTTTACTTTCTAATTAATTTGCCATATTTGATTATTTTGGTTTTCTAGTAAAATAATAATTAGTAGTAGTATTTTTGGCAATTTAAAACCTTACGAGATTCTTTCTTTTCTCCACTATTATTGAAACAGAGTAGTTCTAAGATTATTAGTATTCATGTTGTGACAATTTAGTTTCATTAGGATCCACTAGACGTGAGAAGGAGACTTAATGTCTTCATATTCATCTGGTGGATCACATGAGTCTGCTGGAGGGAAACCTCGTCTTGGATTAAAGGTCACACAGAGCGCTGAAGAGAACAACGAGGAGTCAAAAGGGCCACAAGGAGATCCGGCCTCCTTCAGGGCCTCCCTGATGTGTCTGGACGTTTCATCCCCGAAGGCCCCAGAATAATAATTAATAAATAAAACAAAACAACCAAAGCCTGCGGACCGGAAAAGCTAAACTTAGCAAATCCAAATTTGAAGAGTTGAATTAGTGGACGACCCCGAAGCTTCTTTCCTCCTCGTCTGATTTAATCCAGTGAGTCAGTGAGGAAGGAGGAAGGAGGAGGTTAGGGAGGAGCAGAGTGGGGTCAGAGCGGTTCACTGAATACCAGGACCAGTGGGAGCACTGGGAAAAGGAGGGAAGGAGACCCGGGGGGAGGACAAAGGGTGAAGGGAAAGGAGGAGGACTGGGTGGAGGAAAGGAGGAGCAGAGGGGGCCAGAGCAGTTCAGAGGGCTCGTATAAACCATGACAAGGAAAGGAAGGAGGACCGGGGGGAAGACTGGGAAGAGCAAGGGTGGAGGACCAGGAGGAGAACTTGGAGGAGAAAGGCAGTAGGATGGAGGAAAGGAGAAGAAAAGATCATTATTATATTATAATAATTATATTATATATACTAACCCTAACCCAGAACTAATTTCTTCATGACTTTTGTATTTAGAAGAACAAGATGAAGAACAAAAAAAAAAAAAACTGAACGAATCGGATCAATTCAGAAAGATGAAGTCAGTTATTGAGCTGCAGCCCCTCATCGATTGGCTGAGAGCGATAACGACTCCGATGAAGAGTTCTAAAATGATATTGTGTGAGAATGGAACTCTTCTTTCTGTGTGTGAGGCTTCGTCAGAGGGAGAAGAAGAAGAAGAAGAAGAAGAAGAATTGGAGGAGAGAAAACCATGTGAAGAGGAAAAGGTGTTTTTCTGTGAGAACTTTATATAACAGTATATTCAGCTCTTATATCCTACGTATTGTGTATGAAAATATATATAGAAGCAGTCAGCATTATTTATATAATATTGTCATTATCAATATTATTATTACTTGTGTTCTAAATGTCATTATCATCATAATATTGTTATTGTTATTATTCTAATATAGTTATTATCCATTATCAGTATTATAATTATTATGTCTATTATCATTACCGTATCACTGTTATTATCACTATTATTGTTACTATTAGCATAATATTGTTATTATCACTGTTCTTACTGCAATAATTGAGCATTCTGAAGCAGAGACTCTTCACTTCGCTGCCCAGTTTCTCTCTTAAAGAAGAACAAAGAGTTTCTGATGAAGGGCAAGCGACGGACACTCGCTAAATACCCACAATGCAACAGTTTCATCAGCCTCACACACCAGGAGAATTACATCGAAGGGTTTATTTTGCTTGCTTTGCTGCATCAATTATTATTTTGCTGAAAACAAGAGCTTATATTTTCAACAACAGTGAAAATGTGTTTTGCACACATTGGTCAAAATTATTTAATAATCAGATTTAATCCAAAACGTTTCGGTTGAGCCTCTAAAATGAATCGGCGTCCCGTCAGCCTTTGGCGGCAGAGAGAATATCACACATAATGACATAATTGATCGCCAGTCAAATCAATAGTTCACACTTCAAATGTTTAATTTCTGGATGGAGGAAGCGGCGCCTGGAGCGCGGCGTCAGAGTGATTATCACTAAATGCAATCTTTAATGTTCTCCTCGCATCACTGACAACATACCAGAACGCTTATGGCTCAGAATAAGATCATCATAAGATTGAAGAAGTCGGTTAATTGCTGCTCCGCACGCAGGAATTAAGAGTCAGAGGATTAATCCAAGGATTATTTTATGCGTTAATCAATCGAAAATATCGTGAAAAAAATGAGAAATACATAACTTCCATTATAATAACCAAAACAAATCCGTAGGTTCCCTAACGAGGGGCCGAGCACTCAGGGACCTATTAGAGCGAAGTGGAGCAGCAAAGCCTCATGGGAAGAAAGTGGTGCTGGGTAATTGTGTGTGTGTGTGTGTGTGTGTGTGTGTGTGTGTGTGTGTGTGTGTGTGTGTGTGTGTGTGTAAGAGAGAGCGAATGAAGCAGTAAATGTGTGAGTGTAGAGTCTTGAGTTGTAAAAACAGAATAGAAGCAGAAGAAGACAAAAGCTTCCTCCAGAAATACACACGCTCTGTTTCTCACACGCTGTTCTGATCATTCATTTCCAAACCAGATTCAGAATAAAACTTAGTTAAATGTATTTCACTAAAAAATGAATATTTTAATTTTAAATGCGTAACAAAACACATTTAACGATCTGGAAAGAAAATATTTTGTCGTATATTTTCATACATAGTTGCATGATGGCAGATATCTTTCATTCTGGGTTTCCAGTCGTTGCCGATCTGAACCATCTAATCAATAAGACTCGCTGATCAGACCTGGTGTCTGTCGGAGCTTAAAGGAGATATCTGACTCCAGATCAGCGGGTTCCAGGAGGATTAGAGAGCAGATCATTGATCTGCTGGGTTTAATCCGACGGTTCAGTTTCACTATTATTAGTATTATTATTAACTATAACTACAAATATTCAAAGTAGTATTCCTATTTTATATATTTATTTATTTTATTCTATTTTATTATTATAACTATTACCATCACTCCTATTACTACATCATAATTATCATTATAGTGTGTATTGATATAATTATTAATGATTGTGTTAATAAAACTACTACTACTATTATTATTTAGATATGTATCTAATATTATCATTATTAATAATAATGTGAAGGTCAGTGGAGGTCAGTGACTCACCGATGAAGCCGAGCTGAGAGAACTCGAGGATCATCCATTCTTCTGACGGCTGCTGCAACGCGAAGTTCTTCATGGTGGTGAAAAAGTTCGGCCGAGCGACGATGTCGTCCTCCAGCTGGGAGACATGGAGGGAGGAGGTGGGTGGGGGGGGTGCAAGCTTTATATATACTTACAAGGCGGTGGAGGTTATTTTACGGACTAAACTAAAGAATTACACAATCAATAAAATAAGCTGAACCCTTTAAAGAACTTCATAATGTCTTCATTAAAAAGGTCATTTGACTTATATTTGGTTAATGTCGTTGAGTAACCGGTCAGAATAGACTCACAGTAAAATGAAAGCTATGCTTCTAAGTCAGATGATGTTTCTGCTCTTATACGGTTTCTCTTTTTCTTAATCTTAAATATCTCCCAGTGATGTTTCTGTCTGTTTCTCTTCCTCTTTTCATCTTAAAAGGAACAAAGACTTGACACCCACATTAATGTGCCCATTAGTCTACCCACAATGCAACAGTTTCATCAGCAGGCTTACATCAAAGGCTTTTTTCCCTTTAATCTCACATCATTCATATTGAGTTGATTTGTGTTTATTTATATCGTATCACAGGACAGGAGAGTAGAAATATCAACACAGATGTGAAGAGGATTCACTAATTCACTAATATTTATCGTCGTGGGAGAACGCACTTAAACATAATCAACTTATTTTGCCAATTTGAACCATTAAATAACTAAATAAAAAATGTGAATTAATTTAATACATTTTTTTGTTTGTAATTTCATACATTAATAAATATTTTTTGTTAATTTCTGTGAATATTTACTGTAGCAGAAATGCTTTTATAGTGACAGCTTCTTTCCTTGCTACCTGGACGTAGTAAGTTCCTTTAGACTGAGCGTACATCATCAGGAAACAGTAGTCCAGGTTCTGCTTCGTCCTCCACCTGAGGAAGAGGAGGAAGCTAAAACATTTGTTCGTAAAGTGATTACAGTCTTTTCAAAATCACAGCGTCCTGAAAAGGTAATTCAACTGCATTGCATTAACTGACTTATTCACATCCGTCTGTGAAGGAAGTATTTAGAATAAAAGTAATAAAAGACTCTTCTGAAGAATGTGTTAAAGCTGCATTCTCTCTAATGACTAGTAGGGGCGGCATCAGTTAAACCTTCTCCATTCTTTAGATAAATAAAGCACAACAAACAAATGTTTCCACTTGTTTTTACTGTTTTCATTTCTTCATTTTACGTCTGATGTCATTTCAAATCTAAATCCAGATGTTTCCTCTAAACTCGTGAGAATGCAGGAGAAGAAGCGTCTTTGTGTGAAGTGAAGTCGTGCTCCTGCTCCTCCAACGCTTATTGTGTCAATAATCCCGCTGAGGTTTACAACACACCTGGTTTACACCTGTCCTAAAGAGGAACTACAGCTAGTTAAAAACCACAACAAACATCAACAACAACAATATCAATAACAACTTCCTACAATTCGGATTCTCCGGCCCCTAAAAGGTTGAATCTATCCTCCCCTACATTAACTTCCTGCATCCTTCCTTCCTCCTCCCCGTGTCCCCTCCCCCACTCCTCGCTCCCCCCCCCCCCCCCCCCCCTCCGACTTCTCTGTGTTTCCACGGAAACAGGGCCAAAGGGGCGAAGCAACAGGGTATTAACTAAGATGATGTCACCTCAATCTGCCTACTGTTTTATTTTCAGAGAGGGCTCTGTCAAGGAGATAAGGAAGGGAGCGGAGCAATTTAAGTTTGTGTGTCTTCGTTTCTCGCTGTGTGTGTGTGTGTGTGTGTTCATGTGTGTTTGTGTGTGTGTGTGCAGTTAGCTTGCTCAGTATGGTTCAGAGCTCCATGACAGGCTGACCGATGCCTGGGAAGTTGTTTAACACACACACACACACACACCTGACTCTCTCCTTTGGGTCTCCGAAGGATTCTCGGAGTCGAGAGAAGTCCGGGTAGAAGTGGATGGACGGAGAGACGACTTCCAGAAGACCCGACTGAATCTCTGCTGGAAAACTGAGACACGAAGAAAACATAATGTATATTTTACATATATTTATATATAGTATAGTATCATATTATTTAAAGTGTGACACAGTGCACTTAATGCCGGGACAATAACGTTAATTAAAACTGAGACAAAAGCGAACTTCATGGTCATCACAACTACAAGTGAAAGGAGAAGAGAGACAGAAGAAGAAGGAGAAGAGGGGAGAGGGATGGCAAGAAGGAAGACGGGAAGGAGAGGAGATAAAGGGGACACGGTAGAGACGGTAAGCGGGTCCAGGGAAAAGGTGGTAGGCAAGAAAACGAGAATGAGAGAAAAAGGAGGAAAGACGGAGAAAAAGGAGATAGGGAATAAAAAGGAGGATGAGAGAGGAGGAAAGAAAATCATTGGAGGCAGGAAAAAAAGCAAGGATGAGGGAGAAGGAAATAAGGACATAGGATGTAGTGAAAAAAATCAAGGATGAGGGAGAAGGAAATAAGGATGTAGGATGTAGGGGGAAAAGAAAGGATGCGGGAGAAGGAAATAAGGATGTAGGTTGTAGGGGAAAAAGAAAGGATGAGGGAGAAGGAAATAAGGATGTAGGAGCAGGATGTGGTAAATAAAAAAAAGAGAAGGAAAATGAGCTGTGAGTGAAACCTTAACAAAGGGATGAAAAGAAGGAATTAGAGTGTAAGATAAAAAACATCATTCACGCGAGTGAGTGTGTGTGCGTGTGTGTGTGTGTGTGTGTGTGCGTGTGTGCGTGCGTGCGTGCGCTTGTGTGTGTGATAAATGAATCATGCTCCAACATGCTGCACTTTGATTGCATGCCGTAAACAATGGCGCACACACAGCTGTTCACACGCGATATAAAAGCCTGCAGGGTGCGAGCCGACATCAGAGACAACACACAAACACACGAACACACAAACGCCGTGTCTCCTCCCGGGCCGGTTGCCGGAGAAACCGCATCCCATCATGCAGGTGGACGACTTACAGGCGCTTCAGGTTGTCTGCTACACTGCTGGCGTACTGCTGGTCGGCCTGAAGACACACAACACACAGGAAGTTAACAGGTTCAGGTTATTCATATTTAACATCACACCAAGGCCGTTACTACAAAACACCAGCAACGCGTGTTGTTACGTGAATTTTCTGAATAAAATACTTTGCTGGGTTCAAGAACACTGTTGAATACTTAAATACATAACTCAATGTAGTGAAAGAGATAATGAAACAGTTGGTATGGTTCCGCAAAAGAAGGTGAAATACTCTGTTACTTTGGATGTTGCCAGATTTTCTATGAAGATAAGTGAAGAAGATCTGTGAAGAAGTTTATTTTTTTTGATTGGATGTTGGAAGAAAACGCACAGTGTGAAGAGCAGCGACCGGGCGTCACTTTTTGAAATGTGTCGGTAAATATTTATATTCTTTTTTTATTTTATTTTGGTCACTTTATGATTCTTTTCTACAGGAGCATCACAGTGTTCATACTTCTACTTTGATAACAAGGTAAAAAGTATAAATACGGTAGAGAAAAGAAGAGAAGTGTATCTCTATTGAGATAAATAAATAGGTGTTTTTATTATTTTGTCCACCCCGATCCCTTCATTGGCTGCACGTTTCCCCGAGAAACAAGACGAGGATGTTTTCTCTGTTCTGCGCTAGTTGCCAAACTTATGTTCTTCATCACCGTAGCGTGTTGGAACACAACGCACACCCTCTCTCACTCACACACTCACTCACACACTCACACACACACACACACACACACACTCACACACACGTGGTGGACTGACATCATGTGAACGTTTTTTCTTCTCACTTGAACAACAACATGAGCAATCGCTGACATCACAGTTGAACCCTCCTCTCGACCAATCAGGGTCCAGCTGGGACCCGATCATGTGGATGTGCAGGTCGCTCTCACACACTAACACTCACACACACAAATCTCCACCAGCCAAGGAGAGTGTGTGTCTGCAGGGAGCGTGTTTGTGTGCTTTGTTTCGAGGTCCTGACGGTGCCAGCTGGGTGGAGCTTACCACAGAGCTCGGCACTAACAAGGAGCAGACTAAGAGTTCACAGCGTCTTTTTTTAATGATTAATAAACTACACTTCTGTAACTAGGTACTAGGTCTTCTAGTTTACTACATATCGGAGGGAACTATTTAACTTCTATCTCATTTATCTGATAACTTAAATAAAGGAGGATATTAAAACATGGTATTATCAACTAGTGATGATCATTGTAGTTTAATCTACCAGCAGTATATAAGGTCATTCATATTAGCTGCACCCTTTAAACCACATTAAAGTTATGATATAATATTCTGCATACATGAGTACATTTTGGTGCCAACACTAGTATTTCTCTTATTATTTTTTACTTCTTTAAGCTCTGCATATATTTATTCAGCTGTGTGTAACGCATGGATATTCTTCTTGAATGCATGAAAACAAACAGATTGAGAACATAATTCAATCTTCAAAAAAAACATTCTGCTAGATTCAAAGTATTATTCGGGATACTTATCTCCAGACTTTGTTTGATGAAGAGTTGAGAGGAAGATAGTTTTCCCCCTCGTGATCTGAGCGATTATTTAGTTTACGTTCCCCTCCTCGCCGATGTTAGTGAGTTTGTCTTTATTTATGTCTACATTCGTCACGTTGATACCTTGTGTTTTTTCTTTCTCCAGGCTGCATGTAATGTCTGAAATACCCCCCTCCATTTTTTAATCTTTTATCAGACACAGTTTTCCGAGCAGAGGGGGGCGTTGGGTTGGGGGGGGGGGGTTGTTGCCACGGACTCTAGGCGGTGGAAGTGGAGCGACGTGTCCGATGGAGGAGGGGCAGAAGCATGTGATGAAGCACGAACGGGCACTACAAGCGAGCACCCTTGCTGAAATCAGCGCTTTGCTAACCTGAACGCAGACACCATTATGTCTCTGTTCTGTTTGAATAACATACAGTACCAGTCAAAAGTTTGGACCCACTTTCTCATTTAATTGATTGAAAAAATGTGTCCAAACTGTTCCAGACTTTTGATATATATAATAAATAATATAAAATCTGTACATTTGAAGTGGAGTCATCTGGACGATTTTTCTGTTGAACAGGAAGCGACCATATTTGGACAGAAGAGGATGTAGAGACTTGTATACTTTCTGGTAGAGACCTGTCAATCAGCGTGTAGCCCCGCCCTAAAGCATACCCTGCTTTATGGCCTTTTGACTCTGAATGGAGCACAATTTACTAAATGAACATCATGCTCTAATGAAGAAGACTTTAAACTAGAGATTGAGGCCATAAACCCAAGTTTACAGTGTTCTCTGAGGGAATAAATCAAAAGAAAGTAGAGTAATTTTCTCATAGACTTCTATAAGACCACAGGAGTCGCCCCCTGGTGGAGACTAGAGAAGATGCAGCTTTAACACATAGAGAGCGGAGCATATAGGTAAATATACAAACAACATACGTATGAGTGTGTGAGATCTGAGATTTAATGACAACAAAGAACAGCTTGATAAATAAAGTTTCAGGCGTCAAACTAATAACGGCGCACGAGAAGCTGCTGCACTGTGTGTGACCCTTATCACTGTTACTGCGAACACAAACACCCACACCCACACACACACACACTGCTGTAAATGAGAGCAGGAAAACTCTTCACACTGAAGTGATTTCACAGCTTAAATAATTCAACGCACACACACAAATTTTTTTTCCTCCCCTGCAGCGGTTAGCGTTAGCACAGACGCTAAACACTGAGATTATCAGTCTGTGTGTGCGTCGGGGTTCATTATCTAAACCACTGACCTTTATAATGCATGCATCAACACACATGCTCGCACTGATGGCTAATTACCCACACACACACAGACACACACGGACACACACACGCACACTCACTGACCTCAGCGATGAAGACGACGATGACGCAGTCGTCTTTCTCGGCCGGACTGAGCTCTGACATCAGAGAGCTAAGTGTGTCTGTCAGGTAGGAGTGGACCTCCCTCTTCACACTGGGAACCCCCATCACTATGGAGACTGCACACACACACACACACACACACACACACAGACACACACACACACAGATATAAGAACATTTAAAAGCCTCTCTGTCTTCCTTTAACCTTTTTTTCTCTGCTTGATGCTCCGAGGAAAAAACACTTTGTGTTCAGTCCGATCAGTTTCAAAGCTTTACGCAGACACAAACACACACGCACACACACACACGCACACACACGCAGATACGTTTAAATTAATTTATTTATCTGTTTCCACTCGTGTTTTTTTTTTCTTTGCAGCACCATAAAGTACTTTGTGTCCGACAGACGAGTTTTGCTCCGAGTGCCTCATGAATACATTTGACGGCGGCACACACAAACGCGCACACACACACGCGCTCACACTCTTATATTCTGTGTGTTTTATCTGTATTATGCCCTCTGTGTACAGCAGGCTTTGTCCGAAAATGGTCTACAAAGCAGAAAAAACGTTTGTTAAATAAATTCGACCCGACACACACGGTGACCTTGCCCCGGCCCGGCTGGTTTTAGCTGTTTGTTTTTCTCTGCATGGAATGTGGAGTACATCTAGTGTGGGGAGGGGGGGGCAGTTAGTCATCTCCCCAGGGAAGGTGCACTGTGGCCGGGTTGATGATTGTGTCATTGTGCCTCCGGGGCGAGGAGTGGGAAGGCGCATTTAATGCATTAAAGTAATATGGTGAAGATGTTAATCGATCTAATCTGGTCCGGCGGTTGCCTCTCACCCCCGGTGCGCCCCTGCCCCAGGTGCACGGCCGGCTGCAGGCTGTCCTCCCGGTTCAGCAGGTGAGGAAGGTGGTGGAAGATGGAGGGAAGCTGCAGGACGTTTTTACTGCTGCTCACATTCCACAGCTTCAGCCTCGTCTCCTCTGATAAACGGGAAAGAGAAGGGGCCGGGTGAGGCAAGAAGAGACCAGTTATAGCAGGTTAGACCAGGTTGGGTCAATGTAGACTAGATAAGGACAGGTTTGACGACGTGAGGTCAATGTAGACTAGATCAGACCAGGTTAGATCAGGTTAGACCAAGTTAGGTCAATGTAGATAGATAAGGACAGGTTACATCAGGTTTGACGACGTGAGGTCAATGTAGACTGGATCAGACCAGGTTAGATCAGGTTAGACCAAGTAAGGTCAATGTAGATAGATAAGGACAGGTTACATCAGGTTTGACGACGTGAGGTCAATGTAGACTAGATCAGACCAGGTTAGATCAAGTCAGACCATGCAAGGTAAATTTAGACTAGAAAAGGTTATATCAGGTTGGAACATAAGAGGTACATTTTGACTAAATTAGTTCAGGTCAGACCACATGAGGTCAATGTAGACTAGATTAGACCAGGTTAGATTGGGTAAGACAATTTGGTATCTTCTGAGACATGTCTTATTTCACCCAACAAGCCCTCTTAGTCCGTCTTACATTAGTCCCATGAGGAAAGCTTTATGCAACAGCTATATTTAGGTGTATATAATCCATTTTTCAGGACAAGTTAATATGAAACCCTTTTAGACCACAATAAAAGCAGATTACGCCACGCTGTAGCAGGATTATACTGACCCGAGAGGCTGCTCCAGGTGCGGTTGATGTCTCTGAGCGCCTGTTTCTCAGCGATGGCTCTCTTGATCTCCTCCAGCACCAGATTCAGCTCCTTGGAGCGCCGCAGGTTCTCCTGCTCGGCCGAGTGAAGGCGCTCCCTCAGCGCCAGGAACTCCCGCTGGTAGATGTCCACCACATCTCCTGCAGGGGAGACAGGTGGAGAAGGGTTACCTGGGGTTTTGAGGCTTTTTTTAGAACAGGAAACGGCAAATGTTACGAAAACCAGCACGCAACCGGTGAGATGTCTACAAATAACAAACATTCAGGGTGTTCAAAAACTGTAAGAATACTTTTTTGTATACAAAAACGGCCACCAATTAACAGCTGGTGGACTTGAAAGTATCGACAAGCGAACATCTTCCTCTGAGCCATCGAGCTCCATCGACAACATTTAACAGCTTTTTTCAAGGAATCTTCCTTCATAAAGATCGAAGCTCTATAGGCAGGATTCAAAATATTCCCTTCACATAACGGGACATGTTTTCGTATCGTCTTGTGTCTCATTTTTTTATGAATTTCTCGATTTTAATACCGGACCGTTCTGATTGATTACATTTAAATACCAGAAGACAGACATTTAAATATGAGCATGTTTTTTCTGATTTGCCATCGCTGTCATGGACAGATGGAAACGAAGAGACAGAATCCAGCTCCTTGGGATTAACGAGAGAGTTTATGGGAACAGACAGGTATGGGGGAAAGTATATATATACGTAATCTGAGTGAAAACATGAAAATAAAAAGCTTAATCCTTTGATCTAAAAGCAGCAAACAGCACCCATCATCCTTCCATCATCCCTCTCCGGGTTAATGCTGTGTGAAAGTAAATCTGCTGTAATCCCCGGTTATTCAGATGAATAAACTCTCACATCACCGCTGCTTTAAATAAGAGACGGCGTGGAGTCCGTCCCAGGGAATAAACAATAAGCTTTATTCTTTGTGTTATTCAGCGCGAATACTGTATAAGAAGATAAAGATTAATTTCCTACATTAAAGAAAGGCCCACGGGATATATATAGAATATATATTCAAGTAGACTATGAAGAACCAAATTAAGGCCATTTTCACTTCATTTTTTTCATGTAGTGTACTTTTCATTTCAATGTTATTAAACTTTTGGTTTTATTTCCTTCCAGACATGGAAGCACAGAAATTTCTTTAACCATAATTAAAGGTCCCAAGACATAAATCCCTGGAATATTAAGTCCATGAAGGCCTCACCTTTTGCACATTATTTTGGCTTGAATTCTGAGTATGAGTGCTAAAAAGTATTTTAATATTATGCTTTCAATGTTCTGTCAATTCTCCTATTTAGCTGCATGTTCCATTTGTTTTATTTACTGGTTTGAATTTTGGAGCTTTTTGTTGCAGTGAAACCCGAACCGCTCGTTAAAAGTAGAGAGAACCGCTGGATGAGACCCGTCTGGATCGGTAGTGGTCGAGATCCTCTACTCTGTTTGGCTGATAACTGAAGTGAGTTTCTGAGCATGCACACACACACACACACACACACACACACACACACACACACACACACACACACACACACACACAGACACACACACACACACACAGACGAGTTTTTAATGATGCTGCTGCCCAGTTATTTATCTGCATTGATGAAATAATCTCCTTCCTGCAGACTGATGGTAAACTGGTCCTTGTCTGTGCTGCAACTCCAACTGCTGAAAACAACACAACACCAACATAATCACACAAGGCGCGTGTCTGTGTGTGTGTCTGTGTGTGTGTGTGTCTAATGACTTCTGCAGCCTATAGGCTTATCTTTCAGGTCAAAACGGGAAGACGAAAACACAAATGGGTATACATGTTTTCAGACACAGTGAACAGCTTGTGTGTTTGTGTGTGAGAGAGAGAGAGAGAGAGAGAGAGAGAGAGAGAGAGAGAGCGAGCGAGCGAGAGAGAGAGAGAGATAATAACATTGTCTTGTTTGAAAGTCAGGCTCTTTACAGGATTACAATCTTCATATAAATATTCACGCTTTGACCTCCAAGAGAGAATGATGTCATACGCGTGTGTCCGAGTGTGTTCACTAATTCACTTGAATAACGGGCGGAAACTAAAGCCGTCATGTGAGGTCAGAGGTCACCGGCGTTCAGACACACATAGAGAAGTTGGCTTAGATCAATAGCTGAATGGAGACGGATAAACAACACTAATACACTGTAATCTGCTCTATAATACCGCACACACAAACACACACACAGGCACACACACTCTAACGTAGCACGGTTGAGTCATCCTATCTGTGTGTGTTACTGTACTAATATAATAAGTCACTAATCACAGGGTGGAGACCAGGCAGGTAATGAGATTACCCAGCATGCTCTCTCTCTCTCTCTCTCCCTCTCTCTCTCTGTTTATCTGTGTAACAAACACACACACACACACACACACACACACACACACACACACTTGTACAGGATGACTCACTGTTGATGTCCTTCATGATTTTCGGCTCATAGGAAACAGGATGTTCTTTGAGGTGTAAATGAGACCTTTAGTCTCACAGTTTTGAATATTAGCCAGATTTTGGTTGATTGATTGATTGATTGATTGATTGTGGCAACAGTTATCATCATCAGGCACTCACAGTTCTTTATCTCAGTCAATGAAAGCAATGTTGGCATAATACTATGAATGTAGTACTGCCCTGTCTACGTTATACTTATATGTGAAAACAATCACAGATTTTACTCATACGTTGTACATATAAGGGATAAAAGATACTCCTCATTTGTTTGCATTTGACTACTGAGTTAGGTTTCAATAAATAACTTAAATGCAGAGAATCAGTCAGTGTTTGTTATTAATAAATCAGAAGGCGATCTATTTTATGATATCTTTGTATTAGCTTTTGTTCCAGAAATATGATATTGAGCATAAAATATAACCTTTGGCACAGTCGCTGATCACTTTGACCGGACCTGAACCACAGAGCAAGGAAACACTATTCCACACGTGTTTCCCTCTGCAGGTTAATAAGTCGCTCCGAACCTCTGAACCTCAGACGGCCTCCTTCTCCCCCAAGAGCCCAAAAGAAGATCCCCTCGTACAACACGCACTCCTCACAGCAGGAGAAAACCAACTGATGCTTAATCTTCGGGTTCGAGTCCTTTGTTTGGTTTAAATTGATGACAAAGAGTCAAAAACATTTACACTCTGAGAACAATAATTCAAAATAGAGCAATAAATAAATAAAAGAGTGACTCTGTGAACCTCCGCTTCTGCTTTTGTGCTTTGCCAGTAGATGACTGGAGAACAAACAGCTGGTTAGACAATAACCAGGTGGTTTCAGTCTGGCAGTTAAACAGGAAGTAAATTACCCCCCCCAGCATGTGTGTGGGTTTAAGTCAGAGAAAAACTGGGAAACAGTTCATTCCCCACTGGTCCCAGATCAGCTGTTTGTTCAGCGAGCTCAAGTTGATGACAGGTTCGAGCCCGGCTGCTCCATGTCCCATGTCGCAGTGTCCCTGAGCAAGACACCTAACCCCTAATGGCTCCCCGGGCAAAAATGTAAAAAGCCATGGGTTAAAAATGCAATGTTAGTCGCTTTGGGATAAAAGCATCAGCTAAATAACCTGTAATAATAATAATAAAAGATGAATGTGACTTCTCTGCCGTTAATACATGTGTTGTGCTGCCTGGGTTCGGGCTGTGGTGACCGCAGGGTTCAGGCTGGTATCCCAGAAGCCTTCAGGGCTGATGGGGAATCTCTGAGAGGAGAGAGTTTGCTTTTGAGCGTGTGATTTTTCACGACCGTCCTGCGGCCGTCCTCTGCTGTTCACAATGATTTATTATGCAACACTCTCTCTTCGTCCTTGGTTAACCTTCTGTAAAAAAAAAAAAAAAAAACTTGGCGCCAAGACTCTGCATCTCTGAAAAACATCCCAAAATAATCTGCTGGCGAGATAAGGAGCATGAAAGAACAGAAAATAGCACATAGATTGACAGAAAAGAGGCGAGCAGTAGGTAAACTGTGCGTCAGAGCCAAAGTTCCGTGGGACAAACAAAACAAAGCGCTGTCCTCTCTTTGTCGCATTAATTCTCACAGATCGGAGGACCGGTGGGGACATTAGCATTCGAACCGGACGGACTGAACCACCGTCAGCGGAGAAAAACGTGCGCAGAACAAAAGAGAACAAAAAGCGAAAGTGAAGAGAGCCGACACAAAGGAGCAGAAAGCTGCTTTCAGACTAAACAGATCCAGTCGGCTCTCGTTGAGGTGGCAGGTGAACCCTCACGCGGGACGCCTCTCTGTGGGAGGCTGAACAAAAACCACCTGGTTTAAGAGTGCTGTGAAACGGGAGATACGTGTAGATGTTGGCAAAACTTATACATTCTTAAGAATAATGTTTCGCCTTAGTCAGCATTGCTTAGACGACAGCTGTGCTCTCCCACACAGAGGCACATTTTGTTCTGGGTCCTCTGATAATCAAGACATTTGTGCGTCAAGGTTTAGTCTCGCGGCACTTAGTTTTTGCCCAGAGTAACCGCTGTTTTTCTAGCAGTGGATGAATTTTTCCACAACTTTGTTCTGGCAGCAACATTCGTTCTGCTGAGTGAAGTCAAAGCTTCATGTGTTCACGCTGCATTCTCTCCACTGTCCACCAGGGGGCGACTCCTCTGGTCCTATAGAGGTCTATGAGACAATGACTACTCTCCGGTTTAATCCCCTTAGCAAACATTGTGAGCACGCGTTTATGGCTTCAGTCTCTTGTTTCAGGGGATTTCAATACAGCATTATGTTTATTTAGTAAATTACGATCCAATTAAAGTCAAAGTCAAACAGAACATGAAGCGGGGGAAGCTCAACGTCTCACTCAACGTCCCCCTTCCTCCTCAGTCCAAATCTGGTCACTTCCCGTCTAAGCTACTAAAAGGAACCTTCTTAAAGGCCGGCGCATGCGTCTGCGTCGTTGCGTCGACGCACTCGTTTCAATTCATGGTTCTAAAAGTCTTGCGTGTGTTGCAGAGCAATTTCATTTCATTTCTTCCGACAAAACTTTTTCAATCTGATCCGTTCTCTCGTGAACATTGTTCGTTTTAATAATGGCGGTATTGTGCTATGAAAACGGAAATGTGAGACTCCGTAAAGGATGTAGTTAGCAGACCAATCG